ATTTTCTTCATCGTAACGACAGCGTTCTACCTAGAATGCGACGTGCAAACATGCAGTTTTTATTACGAATCTCATCTTGTGTTGATGACTCCGGTCCATTTGCAAGATCTTGCGCAGATATACATGAGCGATAAGTTAATTGTATTCGTGTAAAAATTTGAAATCATTTATATTTTAAGAAATTCAGGCATTTTATAGATTTTTTTTCTTCTTAAAGCCATTATATATATACATATATATATATATATATATATATATATATGTATCTTCGGAGGATATAAGTATATTGAATTATGGGAGGCTCGATTGCATTTGCAGAATTTCATAGGATTAAAAGTACATTTTGATAATTAGAATGTAATGCGCTAAGGAGTCTTTAAACGGTATGTAATATTCATGAAGAATATGTCAACACGGAAGTAACTCTCCATTAAGTGATATTTTTATAATAGCATGCAGATTTTCACATATTTAACAACTTTTAAATTTTTAATCATTTTTCCAATAAATAAAGTACGATCTATTACGAAGAAAGAATTATGGAATAAACGATTTCTATTTACTCGAGAAAAAGAAAGAAAAAATGAAAAACCAAACAAAACCAAAGATAAAACTACGGCTATCTTAAATTTATGAACCAATGTGTTGATATACAATATCATATATATGTGTGTGTGTTGTGCGTGCGCGTGTGTGTATACCCATTTATACGTAGCGCATAATTACGGGATGCGGCTATCAAATTTCTTCCGTAGTAGGCAGTTTTTTTTTGCAATCAGAAGCTCTCTATGCACGGATGTACTTGCCACTAGCAATAGAGTAGTAGCTTTACTATGTGCGCTTCTACCTCTTCTTTCGGATTTCTCGTGATTATGCTTCTTAATATGCGTCTATGCGTCCTGAATTTTTCCCAGTAGGTCAAATATCCATGTGCACAAATGAAGTTTTCATTTTTTTTTTTTTTTTTTTTTTTTTTTTTTTTTTTTTTTTTTGAAACAAGTTTCAACGGCTTTATTTTCATGATTCTGTAATAATGGTCTGTTATTGGCTTTGTGCAAAGTATTCCAGAAATGTGTTTGTTTTCATTATTGTCTTATTATGATGCTTTTGAAACGCTGAGAACATTGTATTTGCGTACCAATTATTATTCTACTCGATCGACGACTCCTCAGTTTCGGGAATATTTTCATTAATTTACAGATATTCAATAATCACTAATCATTTATTTTTATAAATTTGACCATTATTTTAAACTTTTAAATCATTTTACTTCTACATATATTATATGTTACTTTAGTTCGTTTTTATACAATATAAAATTTAATGTAATAAAAGTGTTCTTTTTTTTTTCTTTTTTTTTTTGTATAATTTATAAGTAAATTATAAGTAAAAATTCAAAGAAATATTAATAATCTATTTGAGCATTGTTTCATCAATTAGCATAGCTTTATTTATTAATTTATTATCAATATAACAGCGATACAATTTTCTTAAATTCAAACTATAATCTATAATCAACAATTTAAATAATAATGTTTAAATAATAATTCAAAATGGAAAGCAATATTGACACATTTATCAATGTATATTTAAAATTGCGAAAAATAAAAAAAGTCCAATTAGTTCAATGAAATATTTCTATATATTAATATGTAATATTAATCAATTTTTCCAATTTTGCGTGTATTTTTATGAAAAGAAGTTGAGTGTACTTAAGCTAGTAATACTGTATTATGTATTCTAAATAAAATATTCTCTCGCTTTAATCACTTTTATTGTGTGTTCGAACAAACAAATTGCTATCGTGTTAACCAAATTAATTATAGCACATTCAAAATTATGATAAACCTTTCAAATATTTGCGATAAACTACGCTAAATAATATTGCATATTAATGTTTAGGTATAATGTCTAAAACATGATATGCTTTATGCATCGGCATTTACTTGAATATAAATTGTCAATTAAACGAAGACGCAGCCTTTTCCAAGAGCTTTCTTTTCGCGCCAGTCACTGATAAATATATTTATTTCATATTCTTTTCTCGATCAAAATAAGCAAATTTTAAAAATAAGCGTGACGTTGATCACTTAAGCGAGATTATGACATCGAGCGTGTGCGAAAGCGTTAAAATGTAGCTCTCCACTCTTCAATTTACATTTCCATCGATGTCTTCTGGTACTGCAGGAATACCTCCCAACAAGGTCGTACAATCGTGAAATACATACTGTAAGCGTCAACGAAAGCAAAACATAGAAATATCATATCATAGTAGTATTTCACGAGAATCAATGGAACTTTCATCTTGATCTGGCATCTATTGTATCCTTAGCTAAATTATTTTATTAAATATCCGTCAATTAGAATTCTATGACTATTTTATATAATACTTAGAGATTCATATATCATTTTAATTAATTAATTCCAGCTTTCACTTCAAGTTATTTTACAAATACAGTTTTGTCTAAATTTCTTCTATTAACGATGTATTTTTATTATTCAATTCTTATAATAAATTTTACTAATTATTCAATTTAATGTTGCTCATTATTTAAGAACAAGTTGAAATTACAAATTTATTTGAGCATGTATTTTTCTTATTAATTTATAAATATTATAATCTTAGTTTTAGCTTAGAAATTTTAGTTTTTCACAGCTAGATATTAAAGTATCTAGTTTATAATGCTAAATTGTTATGGCTTTTAACTAAAATATGTTATTTAAAATTTTGAAACAGTAGTCTCAACATTTATTATAATTGATGACAAATCTTGAATTAATTTATATGAATGTAAAATTGAATTTCATTGAAACATACAAATAATACTAGAAAGTTAATATTAATTTAATAATAATTACCGTAACAGTCTTATGAAGAAAAAATTAAAAATTTAACAAGCTAAACATGTATCATGAAAAATGTAATTTTATATAAAATTGAATTTAGCAAGCATTTAGCACAAACAATAAATGCTGTTTATTTTTCTAGTAAGGTAGGGCCCATATGTTTCTTACCTATATGTTAACGTTTTACATGTTATTTTTGGCAATTTAGTTGCTATAATATATCTTTCGAAATTAGCGAGCAAAGTCAACTTAACTCTCTCCGTAGCTACGTACAAGCATATACGTGTATAAGTAAAGCTTTCACGTTTGTGCGCGCGACGCATGCAACAATTGAGAAGCGCGTGCCGAAAGGATAAACTTTGTGAGTTAAAATTAAACGCGAAGTCGCGCACGCCAACACACACTATCGCCTTTCAATGTTATAGGCCAATATTAACAGGGATAAAAACATTACCTGCAATAATTTGAATATACGTCTGTATACGTTTTAAACGCCACGTTATCATTCTGCAATTGAATTTTCGGATTATACGCGTGTCTCTCTCTCTCTCTCTCTCTCTCTCTCTCTCTATCTCTCTCTCTCTCTATCCCTATCTCTCTTTCTTCCTCTCCCTCTCCCTAACCCTGTATTTATGTGTACATTGTATGACTGATGTATGATGCTTATATATCTATATATACTTTGCATATACTCATAGTGGCTGTATGTATATGCTTATTTACTCAATGTTTTCATAATTGATTTCCTTATTGTAATTTTATAAATTATATACCAAAGGTGCTTAAAAACGTAAATTAATTAATTTATAAAATATTTGCATTATAAATAAATCATTATTCAATACGACGTATATAAAATTCAATCGTAGGATTCATATATTTTACTTATAATGCATCGTTTCATTGCTTTAAGTGATTACTCTCATATGCCTTAATTACATGAAAAAGTATTAATTCAATATAATAAATAATAAAGCAGTTGAAAGTACATTCAATATTAGATTTTCAAAGTAAATAAGAAAATTATCTAGAAAGTGAGATAAAATTTTTATATAGAATTTCTCTATACAGTCTATGAATTTTAAGTATCAAAACAGATCAAATTTTTCTTCGATACATATGCAATGTTATCAGCTCCGACACAAACAGAGAATTTAAATTTCACGCTCCTATGCTCTACTAAATCTATTCCAATCTAATCTCTTTCACCTATAAACTTTTCCTTCCAAATTCTTTTATTTTCTTCACTAATGTATCTCGCCAGCGTGTCCCTCTCTCTCTCTCTCTCTCTCTCTCTCTCTCTCTCTCTCTCTTTCAATCTATACCTCTTTGTCTATATGTGTATTTCGATCCAGTATCAGTAACCACATACTGCTACTTTCTCCTGTAACAATTATTTACATGAAATTTCGAATCTTGTTATTTCTCATTCGGTAAATCTCCTACTTATCATTTCGCCCTTTTCTTTTACGTATATAGAAATTTGTTCCTGTTTATCTACATAACTTCTTTGGTACTATATCCAATTCGTAAAAGATTTCACTTAATAGAATACTTAGAAAACTTAGAATAAACTTAAATGTTTGACTTAGGATATTCGACTCAATCTTACTTAGGGACGATATTAATTTTATTCAAGTCAAATAAATCACAATTACGTATAAGAATAAGTTTCAAATTTTTGTTACATTTTAAATACATTACTTGATAATAATTTTATCATTTCACCATTGCGTAAATAATGATATGAGTAATTGTTAAAAATCAAAAATGAATATTTGATTAAATTCTCGATGCTCCTCGCACTATTATATTCAGTCGAGAATATATGAACATTACAATATTTTCAATAATACATCAAATTTATTTTAATAACTTAGAAATGTAATTGAAAAAATTATAAAAAATTAACTTACGTTTAACGTGTAGATATAAGTGAATTAAAAATGTAACTTAGTCTTTAATGATTGTAAATAATGTGAACAATGAAACCAAAAGTAGAAGAATAAATAAGAAGTTCTTTAAATATAACAATGTAACCTTCGAATAAAACTTTCTCATATAAAATCAAATAACTTTTTTCGTCTCCGTAGTTTTTTTAAAAGTTAAAAATTTATTAGTTGTCACTTTTTCAAATATATAAATAAAAAAAAATGGAAGTGAAGGAAATGTATTTAGAAATACTTTTTGCCGATGAAAGTCAGTATAATCCTTTATAATTTCTATTTTATTTGTATTGTTTATTGGTGTGTAGCTTGTTATCTGAAATAAATTTATCTTGTTGAAAATTTAAAAGAATATTGACACAATGAACCATATTATTATTATTCCATTTTAATTCTATGAGGGCTACCGCTTATAAATCATCTTTTCAAGTTTCTTCGTCTATTTTTGGAACCCACTGATCATAAGATCAGCTTACTACAATTTATTTTTTCAGCATTCATCAATTTAAAAATTTCCCATTATTGTGTGGATTTACGATATAAAATTCTTAAAAGAATTCTGCAAATTACGATGAAATGTGACTTTAGTTATATCTGCATATAATCTATATTCTTTTGTTTTATATATTTATGTATGTTGATAATTGTATGCGCGTGTGTATGTATGTGTTTGCGCGCGCCTATGATAATATATACAGTATATTTATGACATTTATTATGAATTTCTTTTTTTGGTTTATATACTTAACTTTATGTATTTGTGTTCCTTTTAATTAAACAACATAAAAAAAAAAAATGACGATGAAAAATGTATAAATAAAAGAAAACTTCAATTAGCGATCGTTTTTTCCTTCTTTCACTTTTTCATATAACCTAAATGTAATAATAATTATTTACTAGATATAAGTATTATTCAAACAACAATTGACTATTAAATACAATTGTTACACATTATTGTCTGCCAATCCGTATGATAAATAATTTAGGAGAATTTAGGAGAACATTGTTTTACGCTGATTTTTATATTATATAGGCGATATCATTCCAGTATAAAAATTCCAATCTCTCGAAATATATGTATGCGCTTTTTATGCGTTATCAATTGTTAATAAAAAATTGATTTACAGTTAATGATTCATAGATATTTAACTTAATTATTATTATCACTTAAGATATTTAAGTAAGATATTATTAAATTGTTTAAATTTATGTAGCAATGTTTTTCTATTATATCTACTAAAAATTTCTAACTTTACGATGCAAATGAATACAACATTATGTGAATATTATATTTAATATGAATAATAAAATGGCAGTTCGTGTATATTCGCATACCGCATACTACTATATATATTTACATTAGGCATAAAAGAGGAAAGGATGCTGCTGCATCAGATCAGCGTGAAAAAAAAAACGATTTTGTTCCCGGAAAGACGAGTAAAGACGTATTGTATAATGAGCGTAATATCATCGCAGAGGAGATAAGCAATTGGATGATGAAGAATCCCTGGATGACACGCGCCCTTCTTCGTTGTCTTTGCCAACATTGCCATTTGATATAATATTATTATTAAATAGTTATGTGCTGAGAGAGATTTCGTAGTTAAAAGGTACATAAACTCTTTAGTTTCTCGAATGAAAATGCTATACATCATTTATAAAAACATTGCCGTAGTGTATAAGCAAAAGAATTATAGAATTACCGATTATTTTTTTTCTTAATTATAGAATACCAATTATGGATTTTAGGAATATTTGAGAAAAAGATATAATTTAATGAATGTTTGATACTAAAAATACGTTTAAGTGAGAATGATAAAAGTGAGCTATTAAAAATACTAACTTTGACTTACTATTGATTAAACGATTTTTATATTTTTCACATATTAGAAAATTTGATTGGATAAAAATTGAAATTGAAAATTTGAAAATTTACCTTAATTTATTGAGATGGAAAACAATGTTTATCTTTAAGGAATAAATGACAAATATCTAACTGTGTTTATAATATTTAATAATACGTTATATTCACATAGTTTAATTATAGTAAAATAGAGAGTATTATTGAAAATTTGAAAATTATTCATGTTTAACCATATATATATATATATATATATATATATATATATATAAAGCGTTAAAAGAATTTATACTTTCGTAATATATTATGCTTAATCATTGCATAGATTCCTAAATATAAAGATCCATTTGTCAATCGATACTAATTATAAATCCTATGCAAAAGGCAATATATTTAATTAAAAAATGCTATGTTGAAAGCTCGAATTAGAGTTCTTTTTCATCAAAATTTAAATAGGCTGATGCTGCCAAAAATGTTGTGAATAGCTTCGTTTAATCCATTTGATTGTATTCATATCTCACGTCAACACTTATACACAAACAAATGTAAAATTTGCTCTAAACTTTCGATCATTAATTACATGGACTTGTCAGCGCGAGTTGTTAGCCTTAAGCACAATAAATAAATAAAAAAATCGATTTAATGTACTGCTCGTTTATCCAAATAGAAAAATTTTGTTTGTTTTTAAACATTCTTCTATTAGTTCAAGTATACGATAAATGAAGTATCTTTATTATTATTTTTAACATATAGGCTTGATATTAAGACAAATTCATTTAGCATTATTATCTTAAGTACTATCATTCAGTGGGCTATTAATCAATAAATAAATATGACTAAATAAATTAATAGTTAAAGCTATAACGCTGAGAAATTATAGGAGTAACTGATATTAAAATGATAAATTATTATTAATTAACCTCGATTAATCGCTCAATTTCAATCATCGTTTTTAACATTATTTCTATAACAATAATAATACCCTTTTTATTTTTCATTCGAAATAATGAGAAATATCTATATATAAAATATGCATATAAAGCTTTAAAAAAAAAAAAAAAAAAAAATGTTTCAACCTTGTTTTAGTACCACAGAATGTAAAATTGGCTGAACAATCGAACTGGAGTATTCGTCGAGATGAAAAAGAGGATCCGACATGGGGACATTGGAAAGGCGATATTATGCCGAGTACTGGAGGCAGCTTCGAACACATTATGCTCGCCAAGGCCAACCAAAATTCTTACGAAGATCCGCGTGAGTAGACTATCCTTTATCATCCTCGTATATTCATGTAAATGCAGGAGAATATGAAGGATTATGAGCGAAATGAGATCGGCACCAATTTCTCTTAAATCACAGGTTAAAATTAAATCGCCGAGATTCGTATAATATAGTTTCTCATATTAATTTTACATATTAATTCTTTTTTTATCCGAAGTATTCACGATTTTACATATTGCTAGACACTCTTTTTGCATATTCTTTTCTTCTTTTATGTAGTGATAATTATTTACAATAACCATTAATGAACAAACCCTTTATAAGGTTAAATAAATGATTCAATGAACTTTCATTATTTTTGTATTGCTTATTTATATTGACAAAAGTAAGTGATTCAACCATATGACTTTTTCTAAAGAAATTTTTCGGAATTTTGATTTTAATAATAGCTTAATTGTACAATCTATTTTGCCATTATATTATAAATAAACGATGATATCAATATATATATATATATATATATATATATATATATACACATGTACATGATCAATAATAAAAATAATATTTCAAAACTAACTCAGCTTCTATCATTACTATGAGCATTAACAAAAGAGTGAAAGAATTATTTTAACAAGAGAAGATTCGAACAAAATATAACAAGATATTTATAAACATATATTATGGAAAAACAAAAAGGTTATACATTTTTATCATCAAATCATAAATAATTAAATACTATTTATTTAAATTTTGTATTAAGAATAAACTGAAATCTGCGTAAAATATTAAATTAATATGCGAATGTTAAATTGTATTATATACAAAATAATTAACGATTACAAAACACTTACGCTTAAAATTTTTAAATTTTCTTCGATTTATCGATTAAGAGATGTAATAATTAATAAGATTTAATGGATGTAATTTAAACGTATCGTGCGATAACAGTAGTTCAGAAGTTAATAAAATAAAGTCCGTCCACTTTCCTTTCAATGAGTGTTTCTACATTTTCCGCAAAACATTTCAATTTATAACTTTAGCACATGAGAAACTAAACTCTCAAAAGTAATTTGAATTACTTACTATCATAATGAAACATAGCCTGAAAATTTTTACAATATTCAATGACAAGCAGATAAATTTTTATGTCTCTTTAAATAAATAGTAGATACAAGTTTGCTTTTAATTGAACTTGCCATTAGTTAACTTCATAATTCACTCGGAGAGTACGTTAAGAATGAAACCTATAGAAACTACAGCCTCTCGGGGACTTGGAATAGATTATGAAAGAGTCATTGGGAACGTATAATATCGCACGGGATGCGTTCGCTAAATACCCTGCGTTGTAATACTCGGAGACTTTCCAATCTGAGAACCGTGTATATATATATATATATATATATATATATATATATATATATATAAGCATAGCGATCACGTATGCACACTTTAGATATACTGACTACTCGTGCTTTATCTAATGTGATTAATCTACTGCATCGAACGTTAATGGGATATGGAAACGTGCGGTCACTTCAAAACTCACGAACTATTGGTTTTACCTTTTATACGTACGCACATCTGTGAATTTGTGCATCTATACGCAAATGTATATCTGGTATATCTGCACGTGCGATAATATACGTAAGAGATGTAACTCTGTATACATTTATATAAGAAAAAATAATAAAAATAACATTATTTGCTTTGGATTTTCACTCGAAACTCAAAAGGCTATCTTGCTAATCATTTCTGGTTTCTTTTTTTCTTCATATATTTTAATGCTTTTATTTTTCAACACTCCATCGTATTAATGTAACGAAACGATATCTTTATGCATAACTTATAAAAAATTTGGAGATACATTTTCTCATCGTGTTTGTTGAATAAGCACATCTTTAAATGACACAGTAATTGTTTATGTTATCAAAAATACCGCATGCAATATATTATTCTTGATTGATGCATATTAAAGGCGTCTATTATCTATTATAATAAATTATTTATTTAGATTTGTAAAGTGTTTCGGTAGAATGATAATCAGATGTTAAAATACTTTAATGCCTACTAAAATAGATTATTTTAAATTTAAAAAAAAAAATTAAAAAAAAAAACGAAAAAAAAAATAGTTTTTTAAAAATAATAGGGAAAAAAATACGTGTAAATATGTATGTTAGTTCGCAAAAAATAATATTTACATTATCACACAGTAAGATCGCTTTTAAAGTTTGAAACAAGAAAACCTTATCAAAGCATTAAAGTAAATTACATAATATAAGCCTGCATATTGATTTTTGGTTTAAAAAAAAAAAAAGAAACAAAAAAAATATATATATTCACGAATGCAGCTTGTAGCTTGTACTGTACATTTGAAGATAGTTAATAGTAAATAAATTTGCTCATATAATGGTAATTCTCAGTTCAAATAAAAAAAAAAAAAAAAAAAAAAACATTGAAAGTATCCGCTATTTTATTAGATAATGCAACTAATCTCATCAAATACTTTCAACTATCTTGATTAAACATATTTTATCATCCAGTCACATCGTTAGGGTTAAAAAACTCATTTTTCATCAATTATTACTCGTTCAAAACTATTAAAAGACACAGTACAGATAAGGATGAGGGGCAGGGGGGTAGGGAGGGAGCGTGAACGATACAAAATACATACACTGAAAAGTAAGAGTTTATTCATAAATAATTACGCTTATCGCTGTAAAAGATATTTTTCTTCATTTATAATAATTTATCATATATGATAACTTTTCTACTTAATGAAATTCAATTATGCGTCCTTTAGTAGATTGAAATATTTTATTGAAATAGTTATTCTGATATTTTTATAAATGATTCTCTTATACATATATTTATAGATAAGTAACGCATTATGATATTTGTTATTTACGACAAAAAGAAAAAGATTTTTAATATATTACTTTGATAACCAAATATTTACTTGGTAAAAATTATGAGATACAAATGTTATCTAAATATGTATAAAAAATTTCATAATTTGAAAAGGAAACATAAAAGGAAATTGTTCTTTAAAAGTGGATTTCTAGAGGCGAATAATAATGCGACTAAATTATCAAAAGTCCACGTTCCTTTTACAATAACAAATGGCAACTCTTAACATATTTTTGTACGTTGTACTTCTATTTACCATTTTCCATATCATGTACAACTGTCTATTTATAATATAGACAAGTTTATTACGCAACAGCTATAGAAAAATAATTTTATTTTTTTTCTTTTCTATAAAATTAATTGAAACTGTATTTATACTGTAATATAAATCCTGTGTTTCGATTTGTATTAATTTTTTTATATTAGAAAAAATATTTGAATAAGCGATAATTACAACTTCTGATGGTATATTCTAATTAATTAATATAAATATAAAATTCATGTAAAATTATAAATAAAAGTTTAATTTACTTTATAACCAATATAGTTTTGCAGAATTATTTGAATAAACTAAACATTTCTAAATTTAATTAAGACATTCTAGAACAATGCAAACTATATCAAAGTTTTTAAAATACATTACTTCGAAGAAAACTAAATGCCAACAAAACTAATGTCTATTTACAAAATCAAGAAACGGTATACTTAATGTATTATTTACACCTTATTATAATTGTGATATTCCTCCAATTTCTCCATCGAAATGGATTTATAATGATGACGCCTATTTAATAAGCAAAGTTGGTAAGGATAGGAAAATACAATAACCAAACGTTAATTCGACTCGTTCATTTAAAATTACTTAAAAAGACATTGAATTCATAAGTATTTTTTTAAAAGGGCTCTTTCCTCGTTGAAATGATTTGTATGAACAATTTTTAAAGCGCATTTCAGCATGTTATTACTAATTCACGATACGCGATTGTATTATCGATGAAAATGAAATTATACGAAACACTCTTATAGATAAATTTCTTATATTTTGTAGTGGATGACCATTCGAAAGCGGAGAGGCACCATAGCGGCCACTTCCGCCACAGCCAGAACAAGGTATGGGATCCCCATCCACAATACGAATTTACAGCCTTTGGGCGCAGGTTCCATGTTAACTTGAGAGAGGACAACAGCTTCGCATCTCCGAGCGTAACGGTGATTATGGATCTCATTATTCCTTTTCTTATTTTCCTTATATTCCGTTGGTTATAGCGGGTTTTTTTTTCTCCCTTCTCAAGCACTACTCGATTTTTAATTTAGAGCCACGGTACCAGTAATTACTTGCAATTTCAGATATTATAGATAATGTTATTTCCATAATGCAATACTGGCGTGCTTGAATTACGAGAATATCTCTTAAAATAATACATTGCTAAAATTTTATCGTTCGCAATTTATTTTACATCTATATATGTATATATTGTACATTGATTATAAACATATCAAGTTTTGTAAACTGAGCGCACATTTTATTATATAATTTATGTGGAAATAAAGTTTTAAAGAAACCAAGACGATACCACCTTCTCTTTGTTTCGATTCTATAACTTATAATTCTACATTAAAATGTACATGCCCACTGCAAGCTGATATCGCACGATTATCTATTCATAAAAATCTTGATATAATTGAGCAATATAGATAAGAATAATACGTAAGAGTTAGATAGGAGAACTTAATACTCGATAGATATATTCCTCAAGTTACATTTAATGTTTCGCTAATTGGCTAGTTATTATTGCTTATGTCTGCGGTGATATTTCGACTGACTAGCATTAAAATATTTGATTTTCTTATAAGATAAATGATATTTCGCTTATATATAGTTATGTAATCCTCGTAAAAACCAATTAAATCTATAAAAATTATAGAAAAAATTTATATATAAAATTTCGTTTCAACTAGTATTTATATCGCCAATATGTATAATTAGTTAACAAAAAAAGCTACGTAATATCTTATTCCATATTCATCATTTATGAATAATATGCTCATATAATTATTATCGAAGGTGATATAATAATGCATTATCCGGCAATGATTATAATGTATATTATTAATAAGCAGTTGAAATTTTTAATAAATATAATTACTAAAAATCCTATTTTATTATAGTTTTTATTTTTTTTTTTTTTTTTTTTTTTTTTTTTTTTTTTGTGAACTAAGGTTTATTCGATAAATTTTACTAATGTTAGATGAAAAAATATAATTCGATATTAAAATTGCTTTAAAAATTCAACTGCAATGAATTGGAGGAAAATTTTGAAAATATGAGTTTAATTACTTTTATAAAATTCTTGAAAATAACCGAGTATTTTAGAGCTTAAAAGTAAGCCGTTAACGACTAATGACAAATATGAATTTACAATTGGAATTATAAAAGTGATTTATGTTTGACATAATTGATATATGACTAATTTAAATATAATTATTATACCATATAATAAATACTGCCTTAATACAAGTAAATGAAATTATTCTATAAACAAAAAGAAAATTTTTTTAAAAATTTCTTTTAAATTACAATATTCTTTTGTCTAATTTACTATATAGATTATGTGTTAATAAATACTCCTTATTTAAAAGTAAAGTGACACAGTGTAAATAACACTAAATAATCATAGGTATCTTATTTAATAAGTTCAACAGCTAATGACTTCTATTCTAAAAGCTTTTTCTTTTCTTTTTTTTTCTATTTTCTTTTTTTTTTGTTTTGTTTTGTTTTTGTTTTTGCTTTCTACAAGTCTATAATTAAAAAGTCAAAACGAAAAGATATTAAAATAGTTTCTGTAGAAAATAAAACGGTAATTAAGCTGTATCTTATTTTTATAGCGTATGCTATAATTAACATAGTTAGTTGTATAAGTCGAAGACATAAAAGACATTGTTGCAAAAATCTACAGACTATAATTAAAAATGTTGCTCTTTTTTATACGACTATTATTAACTGTCTTTTGAAGCTTATGGCTTACGGTTTAATTAGAATAATCTTACCTGCGCTCTAATAATTACTTTTATAAAAGCTCAAAACTTTAATTCCAGGTAACTCACATCAGCAATAACACCACCAGGCGCGAGTATCCTGACCATCATTTGGGTTGTTTCTACAGCGGATACGTGGAAGGCGATCCTAAATCCGCCGTGACAGTTAGCCTTTGCCATGGAATGGTAAAATGTTTTTCTTAACCACCATTTTACCTGTCTACTATACTACACTACTATGCATCCTTTTTATATTTTCATTTTTTATAATATAAAACTTTTTTTTTTTTATAATATAAATAACATTTTCATTTATTATAATATAAATATAATATAAAAAATTTTACGCTTAGAATTCAAATTCTTATACAATACGCTTATTAATTATACTTTTCGGGATATTTGTTAATAATATATATCTTTTTAAATGTAATTTTATCATACTACTTATTTTTTTTTTTTTTTTTTTTTTTTTTATACAATATCGCATTTTATAAATCAATACTATTACCTACATTTTTTTTTCTCATACTATATCTAATGAAAAAGTAAGAAAACACTTAATTTCTCACTTCAATGTATTCGTAATTTGCAAAAGAGGCGCACTTCAGCAAGGAAATTAACTGTCTATGATTATATAAAAATTACCTTTCGAGTAAAAACTTATTTATGGACTTTTTTTTTTCTTGCTTTTGTTGTTGTTTTTAATCTAGTTAGATAAGAAGAAAAATATCATTTTTACATTGTTACTTCCAATATTACGAGCACTTATGCGGATAGACGCAATTAATATTGATCGTCCAAAAATAGAGTGATTATTCGGGAACGTAGTATGAACAAAAAAAAAAAAAAAAAAAAAAAAAAAAAAGAAAGAAAATAAAGAAAAGAAAAAAAAAATGTATCTGATCTCTTCCAACTGTTACATCGTTACAATCATCACGTATGACTCATCAAGTCGCAAAAGTACGAATTGAAAGAAAGTGAAGAACGTTATAGAGAAAGAATTGTTGCTTAGTTTGCTGCTAAATTAAGTGCGCGACGACATTGATGTTTATCCCTTGTAGGAAGTGGGAGCGAGTTGCATATTGACCTTCAATGAATCAGAGCGTGAACCGATGACGTTACGTTGTAAAATACTCTTTCGCCCGTGTAATCGTAAATCAATTGGGAACTTGGTGGAGTCCGTTTCGATTTATTTCGCTTGCGAATGCGAGCGCTAAATGATTTTATAAAGTCATTCGTTAGACGTGTCGGAGTAAATTTCTCATAAGCGCGCCCGTGTGTCACTTTCGCTCGTTCTTTCGCTTTTTCTCATATGCGCGAGCTTCGAATATGATTGATCGATCGTCGGCAGTTCATCGGCGATTTCACCCAACTTTTGTAAAATTGCAAGCGAATTATATCTTTTATGAATTTGAAATGCGGTTTTCGAGACCGGCAATTTGCATATCTCGCGATATTTTTCACGATTTATTAATCACTCGTCCTACGAATCTTACACGAATCTTATTATTCATTTATCAGAGCCGAGACTTTATTGGGGTAGATTTTACTTTTTTCGATCAATATTAAGTTTATTATAAAAAAAAAATAAAAAAATAAAGGCTATATATTGACGCCAACATAATGTGGAAGTCGAAATAAAATTATTTTTCCAAAAAGACAAATATCATTCGGTTAGTCAATACAAAAGATATATATTTTAGTTTGATGCGTATTAATAAGTATCCCACTTACTGAATCATTTGAAATATTTGAGAAATATTTGTATAAATAGAATGTAGGGAAGAAAGAGACCGAACTCTTAAATTATAGCAAGCGATTTAAAGCATCTAAAAGTATATATCTCTCTAGTGCCATAAATATTCAAAGAGATATTTCTTTTTCTATAATCTGTTTCATCCATGGGCATTTGTCATTGGTTTACTTGCAGACGGGCCATATGAAAACATCTACGGGAAACTATTTAATTAAGCCAACGGAGCATTGGACCGATAACGAAAAGTTAGCGATGGCTTCGCCTCTACAGCACGTTATTTATCGACTCACTAACAGCGATTTCAGCTCATTTTGTACGGAGACAAATCGAACGGCGAACGACTTGCCAGACGATAATGCCGTTGTCAACGAGACGTACGAGTGCGGAGTCATTGGTAAGAGAAAAAAAAAAAGAAAAAAATAAAGAAAAAAAGAAGAAGTGTTTTCGTCAAATGTCGTAATCAATTGGAGTTATTCACGGACGATATTCTTTTCTATTTGCGAGCCATAGATTTCACATCTTGGCGGATTTATCATGACGTATAAGACTCATACGATTGTCATACTGACAATATTAATATCCACACAATTATAATACGATAAATGGAAGAAAAAAAGAAGCAAGTAAGTCGATGCTTTCTCTTTCACCACTTTTTTCACAACATTAATTAAATCAATTGTCAAGGTGAATACATTTACGGTACACTTTAACGGTAAAATTGAAAGAAAGGAAAACCTAATATATATATATATATATATATATATATATATATACATATAGGCTTTCCGGCAATACATCAATATCACCTTCATTTATCCAGAGCAAATAATACTTTAAAATGAGAATGTAAAATAAATTCCCATTATTCCCGGTTCGCGACATTCTCGCGCATTCTCGAGCGAATGATTAAAATTCAGGCAATTCTCGATGAGCGCAGAGTAATAATACGAAGACCAGACATACTGACAAAAGGGAATAACGACGAACGAACTGGCCGCTCAGTCTTTATGTACAGCCCGTGAAAGGTTACAGCGCGAAGTGATAAATCACGCGCTTGCGCTAACATAATCGGCCAACGGGTCGATTAAGTGAAATTCCCACCAGAAGAAGTAACGCCAGTGGACCAAAGACGGCTAACGGAAGCCTACGTTGTGTGTGTGTGTGTGTGTGTGTGTGTGTGTGTGTGTGTGTGTTGTGCGCGCGTGCGAAAACTCGTCCCGATGAATCCACGCTCCGTGAGCACACGAATCTTGGTCCCAAGCGAAAGAGCGGAATCGGTCCTTCGCACATGTCCATCGACATTCGCTGCCAGGTAAAATTAGCTAAAAATACACCGCCCCCTCCCGCCCCCATCCCCTTCTCGCGCCGCACCGTGAGGGCACTGTGGAGGAGACTATTTTTTTTTTTGAAATGTCGATCCGTGCATACGTACAATCAATTTGGGCTTACGTACGATGATGGCCCGTAAATATGTTTAAGCCGCAAATCATGGATTAAGCGCATAATTTGACAAGACGTTAATTAATAATGCCAACGGCCATGAAACCGGAAGGGCTTTTAATGTTATAAAACAATTAATTCTTTGATATTACTAAGGCTTGCAAGTAAGAAATTAATTTATTTTTAGTTCTTCGCTCGGAATTGCCGGCTGTTATATTTTTTTTATATTCATTAAATGCATCCGATTTTTTATCGTTTGCAAAAAAAAACTTTTAGTAATTCTAAAAGCATTCGAAAATAATCGTAGTAGAATCTCATTTATATTGTTATAACCCTATGATTATCGCTCGTTAAATCAACTCGTTTTTCTGAAATTACCGAATTTATTCCAATAAAAGTATAATTAACGTAAAGTATTAATAGTCGTTCGTCAAAACTGATAAAAATATATATCATACGTATCTTATACTCAATGCCATTCCTCTCATTACACTTGTTAAAAAAAATCTCGAAAACTTAACGTGCTCCATATTTGCTGTCATATCAATCAATCATTTAAGAAGTAGTTATTTTCTGTAAATAATCGCAAAATATTCTTTTGTAAGTAAAATTTTTTTGGAAATAGTTCAAAAGATTCGATGAATATCCTAATGGCTATTATTATCTTTTATTTTATTAAAAAAAAAAAAAAAAAAAAAAAAAAAAACATATTTACAAAAATATATCTAATTTAGATTTCACACGCTAATGCTTATATAAAACTAAACGATTATTTCATTTTTTTTCTAATGACAACAATCGATTATGTATTATCGATATTTATTTGTGTGAATCATAAATTTTTCAAATCGGTATAATTTGAGCGGAATAATTAATATGTTGATGAAAACATAAAAGAAGAAAAAAAAGAAAGAAAAAAAAATTGATCAAGGCTTATATTATAAAGTAACAATCTTAATTATCACTTTAAAGCGTACCGTTTTTATAGCATCAATAGCATAATGTCCTACACTATAAATAACCACAAGCATTTTTTATGATGTATAATCAAACTAGTTGATTACTTATACTTACATAAAAATAGATGTATTTTCCAAACCACTCACTTGTCTACATTATTATTACATTTTAATGATGGAAGGAAGGAATAAGGGTAAAAGTAGATTGTATCATCATTTACTTAGTTTCTCATCTAGTGAAACATGCTAAATTATCGTAATTTACCTGTTTCGCTTGATGTTAATCTCTCGCCTTACTTAATTTATCTCACTCTATCAATTACTTACCACTCTTAAAATCCCAAACTGATAAATGTTAATATTATGGTAAATACTTTAAATTGCCTTTATTATAAAAAATTATTCTTACTTATATTTTTACTACTTCTTATTTGCGGACATGTGCATACGCACACACTCGCACGCAAGAGCGCACGTATTATACGAAAAATTCATTCAATAGTATTGATATTTTTTTATTATCTCATTATTCTTATTTAATTTATTAATGAATAATATTGTATTTTTGTTAAACCTATTATGTTAATACTCGAGTTTACTAAAATCCGAAACAAATCTATAATTTTCAACAATTTTGACTAATTAATTAAGTTATTAATGATTACCTTTATTTTACAATGAACATGAATTAATAAATTTGTATTCTGTATTAATATTTTAAAATCACTCTGTAGCATGAATTTTACATATAAAAATTTTCAATAATTTATTTTATTTTAATAAAATATAATTATATATATATATATATATATATAAACTATGTGAATAATTAGTAACTTTAAAGAATATAATGAAAATGAAATTAAAACGTTTTCCTTAAAACTAAAATATCTTCATTCTTAATTGAAATATTTTAATTTATAATTATCTCTAGGTTTAAAAATAAAATTAATAAATTACTTACATAGTAATTAATTAATAGTATTCCTTAATTGTGTGTGCGCGCGCGCGCGCGTGAATAGTATAAATTAGAATCTGCAATTATAATAATGTTTAGAAAAATTTATTCAATTAGATAACTTTTGTGGGCGTATTTGAATAATAATGAAAAGAAATAAATAACTAATGAAACGGCATTCTTTCTTCAATTTCATGCAATAAAATACGGGTTGCAAGTGAATCACAGTCAATTATTGCAATTGCTATAAGGCCTTTGCGTTCATTATGTACGCCAATTTTCTCGCGTAAAAGCGGTTACATTCGACTACGGCTCGTTGGCATAACCAATGCGAAGAAAAAAATAAATAAAAGGCTTGGATTAGTGTTATATGGGATATCAAATTGATTATGCCTGTCTTCGTCCTATTACCAAAGCTGCTTAGTGTTGTCTGTCTTCCAAACGTTAAATACTTTCACGACAATGTCTCAAAACCAATGTAAGAGAACTCGCTCGTTCGCCTCTTACTCTTATTTTTTCATTCTTCGTAAATATGCGATGGTTTCTCTCTGGATCTCGTTTGTTAACACCCGATGTTCTGGTTTTGCTTGATTACAGCTTGGCACTTTTTTCTTTTACGTCAGTACACGCTCCAACGTATCTGAGCAAATGCTCGCGTGAACACGAAGACGATGACTTTATAGAGATTGTAGTTAATGACTTCAAACGGGATTCTTAAGAATACGGGAGTAGAGTGCTATCGACTTTTCGCAATCGTTTGAATGCACATACCTTTTTATTGCGTAATGGATGAAGGAAACGGGATTGTAAAGCTTGTCTTTAGACTGAAAAAATTTTAATTCCTTTTTAAGCTGATTATATTATATTTATTGATTGAACAGGCTGAATAGACAGGAAAGAGTACTAAACGAACATTTCGATATCGATGATTAAATAAATTAAGCAAATTTAAGGATAAAAATAATTATGGCTGCGTCTATTAAAGAATTTGTAATATCAATTAAATGACTAAATGTGCAATTTACGGGAATTGCATATGAAATTAGTTTCATTTACCAAAAAAAAAAAAAAAAAAAAAAAAAAAAAAAAAACAATTAAATTTATTGCTTATGTTATTAATTGAAATTATGTGTCAATTGTCTTATTTCTATTAAGAAATGTTTAAATAATATTTCATTATTCTTAAAGAATTTTTCCTATTATTTAGTACAAACGTTAAAGAATCTTATTAACGATGACTTATACACATTTATTATTAAATTTAATAAATAATTAAATAATTAAAACTATTAATTAATGTAACATTCTATTATTAAATGTAATATTCAATACAATAAATTAGCAAACGATCATTATTTATGCATTATTAGAAATATTTTATAATTTTCGTTTCATACATTTAATCATTTTCAAGAAAAATCTTTTCGTTTTGAAAATTTGAAATCCGACACTTTGAAAATGACAACATCGATATATATATCTGTAATGATAATATAAAAGTATTTTTATAAAAATCATTCTTTTATGTATAGAAATAAAATAATGCATCGTGTAAAGTGATAAAATGAACCGATCGTATTTAGAAGCTAAAAGCAGTTACGTGGCAATATAAGCGTGCACATAAAAAGTATTCATACAACCTACATTTGGCAGGTCAATTTTGTGTCAGACCCATCACTCTCTTACGTAATCTTTTGCTGATCGGATTCGAAATGCACTCTCTTCTTCTTGCATTCACATACAAAAAAGAAAATAAAAGAAAATAAAATAACAAGAAGAAGAAGAATAAGAAGAATAAGAAGAAGAAGAAGAAGAAGAAGAAGAAAGCGCGTCGCGCCTTATTCATGCGCCTCCGCGTTCTCATCTTGCCGAGATTTTATCAGAAATCTGTATAAACGTACATCGAGCGTATTATAAACAGGTGGTTGACTCGTGGAAGCTTCGGCGACGTTGCGTCATCACGCAGTTTATTACGTGCCGCAGGCACGAGGATCCTTGCGCGCATCATTAACCAAGTATACGGACGCGCCCAGCCTCAAAATTAGCAACTACGGCTGAAGGCATGAAGTTTCATGCAAAAATACTCGACGTTGCGCTTTTTTCGTTCTCGGGTTATAAATGTTTAGATTACAAGTGGAGAGGAAACCGAGGGGTCGGCTTTTTTCGACGAATTTACTGCGTGCCGGATGAAATTACTCATACAGTAATGCTGTTCTTCAATCTTGCATTAAGTATCTGGAGTATTGCTTCGGTATTTTCGAGTACTGACTTTTCTCGGTATCCTTGATTTTGGTTAGAAATGCAAAAGGTAACACAGAGCTTGAGACTTATCAAGTAAAAATAGTTTTATACTTAGGTACATGTAAGAGAAATGGTTCAGCTTTTTATTATTTATTGTTCGAGTCGGTCGAGTAAGTTTTCTAAAAATGTTTTCAAGTTATGTTCATTCAAAATAATAATATTGATCCACGTAAATAATAAAAGTGATGTTTTGCATTAAATTAACGGCCTGAGCTAATATTGATAGTTTCTATTAAATTGAAAGTTTATCAGATTATACAATTAATTTACATTTTGTAATTCAATAGTACATGTTGATGAAAAAAAATATACAATATCACTTTATGTAAATTGTCCGAAATACACTTATGTCATGTTAAATGTCGAAGCGACTGATACATTCGAATAATGAAGCTACATATTTTAAAGTAGCGTATTAAATTTATTATGCAATTGAATACGTGAAATTTAATAATTGCAAATGTTTTATTATTGCCAACTATGTACAATTTATTTACTTTTATTTACAACTTGTTATTCGATATTTTAATGAATAATTTTTGTTATTACCATTTACCGTTTATTTTACCCTCACAAGCTTACGTATTTAGTCATTTATTCGCTATCCAATACATTATTCTTTCACAAACAAACGTAAGTTTAGCTAATTTCGTCTATTTTTGATAAAAAAAATTAAAAATAAAAAAATAAAAAAAAAAAAATAAATAAATAAATAAAGAGTCCAATATAACAGCTATACTTTCCACGATATTTCAACAGTATTTTCTAACAACATAACTTTTCATCCTTAAACGTAAATGTCGCTTTATAATAATTCAAAAGTAATTATCTTACCGAACTACAATTCAATTTCCTCCATTGGCATTAATTTTATCAACTGCAAAACACAAGCATTAATAAAGCAAATTATATAAATTTTCTATTATAAATTATAAATAGTAAAACCTCATCGATCATCCATCATTACAATTTCTCTAATTCAAAGTCAATCCATCATATATACGCGCGTGTGTCATGCTATCGTATTATGACATATCTATATGGATCTATTCCGCTCAATTTATTTCAACTTTATTAAATAAATCCTTGATCTAATTTGTGCCGTCGAGCCAAACCCCATTCGCATTTATACGAGATAACCCTCTGAACTCCATCATAAGTTAAGCAAAGGAGACAAAAAGAATCCGCCCACATGGATTCATTATGTGCTCGAGGAAATTGAAGATTCCCTTTGCGATTGATTGCAGATAACGATAGCAAGGAATGTGGGGCGGCGATCCCTCGAGACGACTCGACCGACGTCGGTCAGTTGGCACGCAGACGGAGGCGCCGCAGGCAATTGGATCATCTGCCAAGAGAAAATGACAGCAGGTGATGCATTTTTCCTCTTCTCATCTTCGTTAGACCCATCGTGGGAATACGTAAACGCGCGTCACTCTTGTGCTCTGATTTGTATTTATTATTGAATCGAACGGTCGTATTGTGTCGAAGGAAATATCGTGGGAGAAGAAGCTTTGCAATTAATGAGCTCATTCGAGTGAGATGTAGGGCACTAATATGACTATGACATTACGATTTAATTAATACAATTGCTTTTCATTATCGGCCGAGCGCTATGATTTTCACTCTTAAAGCTTAAAATAAATCAACAAAATCTTTTACAATTTGTAGCCCAAGATTTTTGTAAATATTGTGAAATTTATCGACTGGCTATTTTAAAATAACCAATAAATTAATGGCATCGTTTTACTTAAAAGTTATTATGGAAATTTAGTGTTTTGCTTTTCAAAATGTTCGACTGTAATTTATAACAGTTCTATTAAACTACTAAAAAAATTAATAAGAAAAACAAAAACAAAACAAAAAAAAAAACGAAAAAAAAAGCAAAAAAAAAAAAAAAGAAAAGAACAATATGCACAATAAAAATATGATTAAAAAACTATATATACATACATTTTTCCTTTTTATATTGCTATATATAAAATGTCATTACACATATGTGTATATATAAATGTAATATTTAATTTATCGTTAATAATTATCTATTACTACGAAGCAATCTACGATCATTATAAATTGCATATCAATGAACTTGAAAAGGCAAAATGACAAAAACTTTCTTCCTTCAAGTTTGGATATTTTAATGTGAAAATTATGCATTCTTCATTATTAATAAAATTATTATTAACCATCAGGCGTCTAATAAATAGCATGAAAGCCAATTGTATATTAATGGAAATAACGAATCAGCGGGCAAGACTCGAATAAGAAATCATGTAAATGTTGCTTATATACGTAGGCGCGAAGATTATATGAATTAGAATTCATAAAAGATATTGTTTGGGAAATGCGATTTTAATGCGAGTGTTGAAATTAATTTCTTAAAGTCATAGTTATAATATTAAATTACACGTTAAACCAAGAATTTCACTCTTTGCGCTTACATATTATGCGCAAAATATTCCGATGATTTTTTAATAAAATTACTATACCCCGTATCAATATTTTCTCAATTAACTTCTCCATAAAATAGAATAAAAAAGTAAAATTAAAAGCCACATTGCGGCATTTTATTTTAACATTCTGCTGTCCGGAGTATCGTTTCCTTTTAATCTCTTTGAAGTATATTTATATAAAAAACAAGCGCTCGTGTATCTCGAGTCACTCGAACGTATGTCGAATGCATTCCATGCAAAAAGCAAACTTATCTGCTAACACGAACGAAAATTCTCAACACCCCCTTGAAAAATATTCGTCACCCGCGTGTGTACAGTTACGACGAGGACGGCGGAAGGAGCTTCGCTCTCGAGGGCGATCAGGACTCCGATCTCGATATTTATGGTAGCTGGCGAACAAGACGAGCCCTACCGAGAGAATATTTTATCGAGATAATGGTTGTGGCCGACGCTAAGATGATAGATTACCACGGAGACAGTCTCGCCAGTTACATCTTAGTCCTCATGAATACGGTATGCATGCGGTTATAGTCTATAAGTTTGTCAAACAAAAACAAAAAACAAAAACAAAAAAAATAAAATAAAACAAAAACAAAAAAAAAATAAAAAAAAAAATAAAAAAAAACAAGCAAAAACAGTCCGCGCCATGTAACAGATTGCCTCGGCTAAACTTTCTGCCAATTGTAATTTATGTGCGTATTGAATTTTGATTAATACGTATATGCGGTCTGAGTAAGTGCGAGGTACTGTTGCCTTTTGAATTCTTATGCCGTCGCTTGGAAAATAATCATTTGGAGTCACGTTAAAAAAAAAAAAAATTACGAATTTTTATAACGGTACTCGTAATTAAAAGAATGCGAATTAATAATTGCATACTAATAAATCACGCATTATAAGAGTGAGTTATATTATATCCGTTCGTGATAATAAAAAGGTAATGAAAGATATCGAATAAAAATTTATATTGAATGAGTACATTGCTCATCCGTATTTAACTCTTTATTTAAAAAAATTTGCACATTAAAATTTTATTCGACATAAAATATTAAAAGCGTTTTTGCGTCAAAGAATTATGTAGTAGAGGGTAAAATTTATTTTGTCGATACGGCATTATTTGAAAAGTTTTTATTACATCGTATAAATAAATTATGCTAGTTATTTAAGAAAAGCGTAAAATATTGAATGACTATAAAAGTAATTAATTATAAAAGTAAAAAATTTGACGTTTTTCGCGATAAGTATTGCTCGAATTGCCCGGAGTATAAGTATTTTCATTTGAATTTACGAAAAGCTTCGAATTTAATGCTCACATTAATATTATAATGGCAATATTACCATTGAGTCAAGCATTCTGATATTTAGAACGCAAAATTAATCTCTCCGTTGGAATTCTGTCGTTAGGTGTCGCGGATCTATAAAGACCCGTCTATCGGCAATCCCATAAGCATTGCGGTCATAAAAATAAAGCAAATGAACGAGATTTTCGGCGTAAAGCAACGGGGTAGCGATGGAATTGGGGCTGCAGAAATGCTGAGGAAGTTCTGCCATTGGCAGAAACTCAACAATCCGCACGAGCCATCGCCGGAGCATCACGACACCGCTCTACTTCTCACCAGGTTTGATCGCTCACTAATAGCCGCTCGAAATGCAAATGCTCGCTAAACTGCCAGAAATACAATAATTCATGAAAATATGTTTCTGTCCTCTCGCAGCTGGCATATATTATACCAATTTATTTTATAATCATTTGTTTATATGATCCTATATGTAATTTATAACTTACAGACATTTATTTAGTTCGAGAACATGAAACGATTATTAAAATTTTACAAGAAATTTGAATGATAAAACAAAACGAAGTTTAACGGGCTCTTATGGTTCGTGCTGTTATTTTCATAGAAAAAAAAATAATAATAATAATAATAATAATAAAATAATATTATATAAATACGAAATACTAAATAGTGATAGAATTATTATTGATGTTGAATTATTTGCAAAATTTTTCGAACATTTAATGTCAATAATTATCGTAGAAGCATTGTTATTCAATTCATTTTGATTATCATTCTCAACCTTTTTAAAAAAATATTTACCATTTCATATACAACATATTAATTAATTGAAAATACTAGTTAAACATATAAATTTAAATTTAAATTTAAATTTAAATATATATATATATATATATATATATATATATCCAATCATGTAGGTATTCTATTATTGTAGGACGTGAGCAAGCTAAACAATAATTAGATTAAAAAAAAAATCAAATCTTTTATTTACAAAATAAAACTCACGAATATCTATGTCACTTAACTATAAATAATTCGTTCTAGACTTGTAACACTTACCAACCCGTAAAATTTTTAAAAAACAAGGTAAACAAAAAGTAATAAATGTCATCGTAAAGTACAGTTCTGTATTGAAGACCAATAACAAAGCGCGACAATGCCAAGATTAAAAGCCGCTTAAGTAACAAAAAAAAAATATATATATATATATATATATATATATATTTGAATATGGATATGTAAAAGTATCGTACCAGTGCCAAGTGAGCAATGCAAACACACAAGTTCAGGCAAAAAGCTCCTAATGTATAATAAAAATAATTTCCTGCGCAAGTAAAATAAATCCCACGCCTGTGCCACTAATTTTCTCCCTTAATAAAACCACAAGTTAAAATAAAATAATTTTCTTAAGGTAAGTACAAATAATCCGTTAGCATTCATATCTGTAAACGCTGATCTCAGGCATTTTATCGTTAAATAATTTTTCAATTCAATCTTGAAATGAAATGTTTTATCTCAAAAGAATTATTAATGGAAAATAAGTAAAATGAAGTGAATTGGATGCTATATAATAGATTTTTATTCATTTGCAATAACAATATAATCCATCAAATATTAAAGAATACTGCAATGTATGTGAAATAAAATCATTAAAAATTGTAAGCCCTAATGCGATGCACGATTTTTAAGTTTGTACTGGCGCACAACTACCAATATAGATAATAAAGACGAAACTGGCCTTTATTCTTCAAAGCTCAAGCGGTCTTATCGACCCGATTTTCTTTCTTCCTTCCGTAGAGAAAATCTCTGCCACAATCCGAGCCAGAAGCGTTGCGACACCCTGGGCCTTGCCGAGCTTGGCAGAATGTGCTCCGTTGGTTCGTCCTGCGCTATTGTCCAGGACAATGGGCTCGCGACTGCCTTCACTATTGCTCACGAGATCGGCCATGTGTGAGTATAAGACGAAAGTCGGCTGCTTGAGTAATATACACATTGGTGCACATGTTTGGAGCGAGCGGTCGGCCAGCGTGAAAATTATTATGCGTAAAGTTCACGAAGTAACTGTAAATTTAAATGATTTAACGGCCATCGGATCACTAGTCACGTGTTTATTGGGCCCGCGCGAGAGGTTTCACTTAGGAAAAATGTTACTTTAATATACGCGACGCTCGTTATTTCCCGAGTTTTTTTTTTTTTACGCGATAAAGATGGACAGTTGGGCAAAGTTTTAAGAGATATTGTTAGGTATATATTTGTGAACTGCTCGAGAGGTAAATGGACGCATATATCGATAGTAGTTGTGGATTAATTAAGTAAGGCGCAATTTAGTGCAAGCAGATATGCTTTAATCGCGCGGAAAGTCAGAGTGGAGAATAAATCTTCTACGCTACGCGTAAGTTAGCGACATCACGGTTAACTGGTTTCATGCGCTTCCAGGATGAAGAGTAAAATGAATAAAACACAATAACGTCGGAAACATGAAACTGCTCGTTGCGCTTATAGAATTTACTTTTATCTTAGTGATTTAGTTGTTACTGAAATATCAAATCTTATTGAATAGATTTGCTTAATGAGGAATGAAAGAAAACGATTATTCTCATAATTCGTACGGGTGGTGAGCATTGAAAGGAATATGAATAATAAAAAGAGAGATATATTTTTCAGAAAATTATGAGTAAAATTATGGAAGACCGTACGTTGCCATAATTGCTAATTTGACCTGAAGAAAAGTTATATAATCATTTAATTAAGTAAAGCCGATATAATCGATACATTTATTGAATACAGCTACTATTACGTACTTGTATGTATTGTTGGTAGTATAATTATATTTTTGAATTTATGTTTTTGAAGGATTTAGCTGAAATTCTATTTTTAGATCAACATACTATTATTTCGGAAAATTCCGATAATGTATAGACTCCGAAAAGAGTATGTAATATATATTTCTATTAAATTAAATCAAACTTATTTTTTCAACAAAATGCATTCTTATAAGCGTAAATCTGAGCCCAGTTTTCATTTGTATAATAAATAGCTTAACTAGAAATAATTCTGAAATTATTTAATATTTACATTTTATTTATAATAGACGATAATAATAATACCGAATTTCTTAATAACATCCAATTATTGTATTAATTAAGCTCAGTCAAATGTTCTATTCTTCGTTTTAATTGAACTATACCATAAATATATATACATAGTTGTTCATGTAATCCAGAGATAAAAATTAATTATTTTGACAAAAGTATTATTAGAAATAGTATTTTTAAAGTGAAATGATTTTTTTTATTTCCAATATGAAAGCATTTTTAGAGTTGAATAACTCTTTACATAAAATGAAAAAGATTAATTTAATTAACAACAATTTCTTAATCGATTGAAATAGATAATTAAATATTCTCATACAAAGCAAAATTATGTATATGAAACGCAAATAATTAATTGGCATACAATAAATAAAATTAATGTGTTTATTTATATTTAAATGAGTAATAAAATCGATTATTGAGTTAGCATTTTAATACCAAATCGACTGTTTTATGGAATATAACATTAAACAAAAATATATTTACATATAGACGAAAGTTTTTTTTTTTTTTTTTCTTTTTTGTTCTGTCAAATCTTTAATTAAATAGTCTTAAAATTTAGAAGGCATTTAGTTATAAATTTTATCAGCTTTCATGTTTGTAATGTTGAATAAATATTAATTTATCATACTAACATCAGACATTTTAAACAATTTACTACAACACTATGATAAGAAAAATTATAATCGATTCCAAACAATTAATATATATTCAAATAATTAATTTGATTATAAAATTTAACTACTACGGTAGGCGATACGTAAAATACTTTAATTAAAAAAGAAAAATGTAATAAAGTAAGAGATAAAGGTATGCAAAGATACAAAAACTAATTGAAAGCAATTGTTTAGATGCTCAAACTCTGTTTAAACGAACACACGTACGTAGCTGTATTTTCACAATAATTACTGGTGTGGTCTTTACGTGGGTGGCCTTAAAAGCAAATTCATATGCATAAAACCATTTGTGCGTATAGAAATTATGTTAATTTACGAATATAAAAATCAAAATAATCTTTTAACGAATATTACCAAACCAATCTAACATGTAACTTTACAAAATCCTTAAGATTTATTTTTTGTAAATCAATTATTTAGTAATCCTCGTAAATAGCAGAGAAATTTAAATAGATATTGCGGATGTGAAAAATTGAAGATAAGTAATACGTAATCTTGAAGAATTGATGGCAATATCATATAAACAGGCGATAGTTAAATTAGGATAAACCTTGCGCAACTAAGACTTTCATTGCATATGCGAGAATTTTTAGATCATGTTTATTGTATAAACCAAAGTTTTAAATAATCCACATGTAGGAGAATCTCTATAAAATAACTTTAAATAGAATAGTTTATATTTCAAGAAATAATGTGCAGTTCAATAAAAAGTTATGTAAAACCAATAACGTACAATAGTATATACAAGAAAATCGGAATCGCTCGTATGTTAAAAAAAAAGAGAAAAGTACCCTTGGACTTTTCAACTAATAAATAAGCGATTAACTATTTTTGTATAGTCGGCCCGTAATAAAACTATTAAAGGTGAAAATAAGCTGTCACGATAGATGATATGAAGTGAACGTTGTGAGGCCATCAGTCTATCAAACGATATATCATCCACAAGAAACATAAAACAAAAGTAAACAAAACAAAACAAAAACAAAAAAAAAAAATGAAAAAAAAATTCAAGAAATCAATCGCGATTTTAATCAATTAATTAATCGACGTGCCATATTTATGAATATTTCAAAAATATCAGAGATACTGCTTAATATCGATTGTCCTACATAATCGAAAAGTTAAAGAAAGGCCAATATAATAAAGGCTAATGCTAATAAGCATTTATTCAAATCCACCTTTCAAATTCAAAATATCCATATAGTATAAAAGTATAAAGTGTAAGGTTACACCAAGTGAACGATCCAGGAAGACCTTTACTCGGGTTCTTCGGGATTCGCTTGAAAATGGGATAGCAAAAGGAAAATCCAGTCCAAGGGCTAGTTATTATCTCTCGTTCGTCTCGCTCACCGCGTCGCGACTAAGTTTATAGCTGCCCCTCCTATTAATATTCTCAAGCCAAAGTCAAAGTCTTCGCCGTTCTGGAAGTCCGTGCTTTGCTCGAATAGGAGAATCCCGGGTATTTCCGCGAATCCGATCCGACGCTGATGATCTATAACGCAGTGACGCTTCTTCTGCTTGCAGGCTAAATATGCCCCACGACGATGATCCGAAGTGCACGAGGTTCCGGGATCGCTCAGGCGTCCACAACATTATGTCCCGCATGCTCGACGACAACACCGTGCCCTGGGAATGGTCCAAGTGTTCCAGACACTACGTCACTGAGTTCCTTGAGTGAGTGCGGATTTTCTCATGCACATGCATCTTTCTTGATATTCCGAGAGTCGTAAAGATCGCAGAGGGGAGAAGCGTCTCTGAATATGAGAATAGGACGCCGTGACCAATTTTACCTCCTATACTCGCGCATTTGCACATTCTGTGTCTTGAGCACTCTTAAGCGTCATTCTTACTGTAAGCATGTGCGGATGTACGTTATGAGCCGGTAGGAAATTAGCAAAGAGGATATTTTAAGAGCCCTACTATTTTTATACTATTTTCCCCTCACTTTTATAAAGTAAAGTCTAATTATACATGCGGAATTAATAATTATCATTAGCAAGGTGCCATTGATAAAGGCTCCTTTTTATCTTTAGAAATTAAATACTTTCATTCATGCCAATATTACATTATTGGATATAAATTATTTAATGGATATATTCATCGTCGATATATATTCTACGGAAATAGTAACGAATGTTTAAATTATAACGCCAATTGACTAATTGCGTGTAAAGCGTGAAATTATATAAAATGTAACTGGTGTAATAAAAACAAGAGAAAAGATAATTCCACATGCCAAATGTACATTTAAATAATAATGTGAATTACGGCAGCGATAACGACGAGATGATAAATGGGAATTATCATTCAAATCAATAAATTTAAAAATTTCTAATAAAATAATACAATTGAAGATTTATTGACTCGTAAAATCAAAATAATAATAATGTTCGAATATCTTTACGACTGGGCAGATTAAAATTGAAAAAATTTTCAAACCGTTGTCTCTCGCCAAACATTGAACATACCCCCACCTTTAATTATCCTCCAGACATATTATATACAGAATAAGTCCACCATGGATAGTGCTCAAGAAAAAAAACCACATACGCAACACACGCGCGCGCACAAGCTACGAAATCAGATTAAATTCCACTTAATTGATAACGAATATTAATAAAATATAGTGTTTGCCTTAAATATTTTATCCTCAGAAGGCGCAACAACATTCAATAACTTCCTTCACAACCATAACTTAAACAATTCGAAAAATAATGTTAAGACATTAAATAATACGCGATTGCAATTAGACGGTGAACATGAAATTAACGTTAGCTTGAATAATATATAAAGCACAGCAACAATAAATAAAAATCAATAAATAAATAAAATAACATACTGTTGTGCAATTTAAATTGTCGATCATAAAAAATCGTGAAGTATACATAATTTATTCATAACCTACAACACGCTGGTCAATAATAGTTCGCAATATCCGTTTAGAAAGTTCATAACTTCGCATTTCCATAAGTACGCATGGAAATATAAATCCAAATCTTATTAATGTGCAAATCTACCTATCCGATATAACTCCCATTAAATCATAAATTTAAAGAGACTCCCCTCTGCACAAAGTCTACCACGACTCAACTTCATTAGCTTCGCGACAACATAAATACTCAATATCTATACAATAATATTAATGCGCAATGCGCAATAATAGAAAGATAAGTATGCTAAAGAAAGAAAAATAAAGAAAACTGACAAAACAGGTTAAGGAGAAAAAAAGAAAAGGAGAGAAAAAATGAAAAGGAAAGAAAATAAAAAAAAAAGAGATGAAGGCAGAAAGAAGGAGAAAAAAGGATGGAAACGTCAGCTAGAGCGATCCCTCGGTATCAAAACCGTAATCTCGAGACTATCCACTCAGCGCCGCCCGAATTCCTATTTCAACGAGGCAGAACTGCCCGCGATAGCGAAAAACCAAGCACCCGATCCACTCGATCCACTAAAATCCAACCATCTATCGCACGTCCCATACCCCATCTCATGCCCTCTTCCTTGTCCCCAACGCGACCCGTTTTAACAGCGTCAGCGCTACGCGCTCCTACGACAGCTAACGTAGCGCTAATATTTTCCCGTAGCGCTGGTCTCGGCAACTGTCTGCTGGACGAGCCGCGCGACAGCAAGATAATGTCTCGCTCCCACGGTAGCCGACTGCCTGGCGAGGACTACTCCAAGAACAAGCAGTGCGAGCTCGTCTACGGCTCCGGATCGGAGATCTGCCCGCACATGGGGAGCGATGGTAAGCTACGACGTAAGGAAAGTCATTAAAGCCGTAATCGTGGATTGGTACACGACGATGTCCATACCCTGAAGAATCTTCCCTGCCGGCTGCTGGGACGGTGGGCTAATCGCGAAAGGCGGCTCCAATACGCGGCTGATCGGTCGTGGCTTAACTTCACGCCGGCCGGATTCGTTTCCCTTCCTCCAGCCTCGCTTTTCAGGCTTATAATAATGGCTGCTCGGTAATGCCGAGGCTCTCGTTAACTAGTCCCCCGATGCTGAGCGTCATCCTCTTGACGACAATACCGTGTTTGGCTAAGGCCACCAAGTGCCGGCGACGAATAAACCACTCGGGCTGTTGCGTAATGACTTAACGGCATTCGCTCCGCCTCCCCCCATATGCGCTCCTCGACAGCTATCGAGGCATCCAGACGTGTTCAACGAACATTCAACAAACATTCAACGAACTGCAATATTTACGTAAATGGGCTTCCTTTTCACTGGCCGCATTCCTTTTAAAGTACTTAAACAATCATCCTCGGTGCTCGAACGTCTAAATTGCAAGCGGCTCCAATGTATTTTAGCGTCAGACGGACATGCCGCGCAAGCCGAGACTAACGAGAATTACAACTTTACATCGGTCGACGCTTACGGCCGATATACCACTCAACGACAACAAATAATAATTGGCTCCACGTTGCCACCTTAGTCGCCATCCTCCCCTTCATCCCCTCTCATCGCCCTCCACCGATCGCTGCCATAACCATTACCGTCATCCCTCTCACCCACTAACTCACTCACCGCCAGCCTCGAACGAGACAATCTGCGAGATAGATTTTACTGAGAAAGTGTCGGCAAAGAATGTTGTTACTCGGTCTCGGTGAATACCGCGCGGATACGTCGACAAGTCGATAAATAATGTGCAGCGCAACGATTGCGAAAAGTAATGAGCTCCGTGTCGACCATCCTATCTCGGTCCTCCGATGTCTAACGTAAAAGCCAAAAGCCAAGTCCACGTGCCCAAAATGACATCCGGGGACAATTTTAATGCGATCTACAAGCGTGTTCGTTACCGGTCAGGCAGCATGCAAGAGGTTGTGGTGCACCGTGCCGTACTGGGATGACCGGAGCGAGCAATGTCACACGCAGCACATGCCATGGGCTGACGGGACCCTTTGCGGTCCGGACAAGTGGTGCCACAGGGGCGAGTGCGTCTCCCGGGAGAATCTCGAGCCGGTCGACGGCCAATGGAGCGAGTGGGGTCCCTACGGCGAGTGCTCCCGCAGCTGTGGCGGCGGCATCAAGAAGAAGTACCGGGAGTGCGACAACCCTGCGCCCAAGAACGGCGGCAATTACTGCGTCGGCGAGAGGGTGAGGTACAGGAGCTGCGGCACGAGGGAGTGCCCCCCGGGTTCGAGCGACTTTCGGTATGTTTTTTCCACATGCGATGCTCCTCCTCGTCATCCTCCATCTCTGTCTGCCCCGACGTTCGAGACTTTATTGCTCAAAGTATTGTTCGAGATCTTTCGATTCGACGTCGATTCCTATATTATTTCAATGCTCCCGGTCGAAGCTACAACACATCAAGCTCCTAGACAAGTCCGTTAATATGCACTTGACTAGCCTGTTTTTATGTGCGCGTAACGAGAGTGTTGGTAGCGTAATAATGGCTTGCGCCGTCAACGACCGTTTCGTAAAACTCCCGACACGTTTGTAAGAACGAGCAGTAATGCAATTAACGAGTATTGCGTATAAATTTAATAGAGCACGATGTAACATACGTCCAGCGCTACGTTGCTAATTAGTGCTTTTTCATTGAGAAATGCTTAAAAGCTTTATTTGTTGCAGTACTTTATTTTAGATATTGAAATAGATATTGAAGAATAATTATCTACAAAATCGAAGTATCATTTTAATGGGAAAATAATTGCATGTATTGTATTATTACGTATTAATTAACCAAGTTTTTACTAAGTGATTCGATGAGAAAAACAAGGAAGCAAAATGGCATTCATAATAGCCGCATATTACCGACTTAATTAAGCTATTACTATTAGTTATTTCCAACTAATGATTCACATGATGAATAAATTATTAGCATGAATTTTATATGAAAGTAATAACGAAAGACACAGATATCTCTCGTAGATACATTTATTATTGCGTGTGTTTGTGTGTTTGTGTGTTTGTGTGTGTGTGTGTGTGTGTGTGTATGCTCAAACTCAAAAAAAAAAAAAAATAAATAAATAAATTAATAAAATTTATTGATATTACGAGTATTTAGGATTTTGTTAATAAATTTTTCTATCGTAATAACGAGCGTACAAAGTACGAAGGTAATCGACTCCAGCTAAAAAAGCATAAGGTAAGAAAATATAAGACTAGACGAATCCCTTCGAGTCCTATGAGAAAGCAGTAACGTGGGCTTAAAATAAATTCAGCTCGTTACATAACTCTCGTACTTACAAACGGAAAAGTAGTGTCGTAATGTTTAAAGCAACCCCGGGGCTTTCTCTATCCTTGTAGAGAGGAGCAGTGCGCTTCGTTCGATAACGACAATCGCAACATCCGCAACCTAGCCAAGAACGTCAAATGGCACGCAAAGTACACGAGAAGTAAGTCACTTCAATTCGCAAAATTAGTACGTCGCGACAGATATAAAGCTTATTACTTAAAAACAAAACCGAACATTAATCTCAGTCCTCCCGGAAGACCGCTGCAAGCTCTACTGCCAAGTGGCAGGCAATCAGTATTATATGCTCCGCGACAAGGTGGTGGACGGTACACCATGCGGTCCCGACACCTTCCACGTCTGCGTCAACGGCCACTGCAAGCCCGCCGGCTGCGATCACATGCTCAACTCGACCGCGGCCCTCGACACCTGCGGCGTCTGCCGTGGCGACAACTCCACTTGCCAGAGGATCTCCGGCTCCTACAATTCCAGCGAGTACGGCTACACGAGGATCACGAAGATACCCGCCGGGAGCAGTTACATCGACATTAGGCAGTACGGCTGGAGAGGCTCGCACAATGACAGTAATTACCTGGGTGAGCTTATTATGATTGTTGTTACGATACTTGTGTCGAGGGTGAGGCAGCTGGACGGAACGCTTGCTTTGAGCTTTCCATTGCCATGGCTGTAAGCTTAATTTCGAAAAGCACGTTCGATTGGCAATTGTTTTATTTAATTTTACTTCTTTATCCCACTTATGCTTTGCACTCGATTGCTTCTCTTATCCTTCATATTTCATAGATAATATTACACCGCGAATTTCAGTTATTTACATACTTGCAGGCTTTGTTGGTAGCTCGCGGTCGCCGAGTGTTTTCATTTACCCCGATAATCGGCCGACCGATAACGAAGCCTTTAAAGCTACAAAAGTACACATCACGTAAACCTATTGCACGCTTGTCTTCTTTTCTCAATCTACCAATGTTGTATTCCTAATGACATTTGATCGCGATTGCTGGAAACTACGTCGATGCAATTACGTCGATACTTCCATAATACCAATTTTTAATCGGCGTAGTTTGTAAAATTAACGTGCTCAAGGTCATACTTGAAATTTCAGGCGATATTGTCAGATGTGTTATTTGAATTAACATTTAATACTTGCTTAACAGCCAAAATAATGCTGGATATGTTTACACATGTGCTTCAAATAATCTAACTAATGATCTTGTTATGCGTAACACTGCAAGTAGTCAAATCATTAATTTATTTCCACTTTATGATTGGCACGATTATTAATATAAATATTAATCGAATTCTCACTCGTGTCGAGTAAAATTGTGCTTGTTTTTTTTTTTTTTAACAGTAAACTTCATTATCAATACAACATTATTTGAATCCAAAATGTATGGCGGTTGAGAAATCTCCTGCTTTTATAGACTTTTTAAAATAATTTGCATCGTTTATAGCATTGTGCAGGCAAAGACTACTCACGACATTGACATGTTGAAATATTATCTTTCGCGTACCGTTTAATACTCTTATTCATATGCGTCATGTATTTATCTACACTACGATCCATTTCTATCGTTAATCTATTACAATTATCACTGACGTAGATAAAGTACGAATATCCTTATCAATAACTTTTAGTTACATTGTCATGGATATCCCACTTAACCGTCTCCATAGCTAATATTCATGTTTCTGTAATGTGTATATATATATATATATATATATATATATATATATATGTATCTGTCTATATTATCTATTTCTATTGTATTATTAGTATGCATTCTTGTTTTGCCTAGCAGTTGTAAAATATCTATAATGGATTTTACCGATTGGATTTGTCCCTATTCATGTCGTCTAATGTACTTGCAAACAATTGCACTAGCAATATCGTGTAAATAAATAATTCTATTGCATTCTTTGAAACAACATTAACTTAACCAGAGAACTATTAATAACAATAACAATAATAATGAGAATAATAATAACAATAACAGATGAGACAAATGAGCAATATGCTTCTTTATAATCTGAAAAAATATATTAAAGTAATTCATAAGTTGTATTAAAAAATATTGTCGTGATTTAAACAAATAAATTGCACTCGAGCGATAATTGTCAAGATGAAAATTTATATTACACGGCCAATTTGATTTTTATCACGGAAACAAAATTTTTATAGCTCTACGAATAAAAGAAGGAGGCAAGTACATACTGAATGGAAATTTTATGGTAATGCATCGAAAAGTAATCATCCAACCAGGTGCAACAATAGAATACAGCGGACCTGAACAAGTCGTTGAGAGACTCAATAGTTCCAGACCCATACATGTCGATCTTATTTTAGAGGTGCGTCACGTAACGAAAAGAAAAAGAAAGAAAAAAAGACGGAATCACGACGCTAAGCTCTTTTTCCACACAACAAAATCACTCATCAAATTCTTTTCGTCAGGTTCTTTCAGTAGGAAGTGTTAATCCACCTCAAATTACATACGAGTATACGGTACCAAAGAGGATCTTAGACAGGTTTACATGGGTCTTAAACGACTGGACCACTTGTAATCGTATGTGTCAGGGTATGACCTACCGACATGTCATATGTCGTAGTACCGAGAGCCAAGATATTATGCCCGACGACTATTGTCCAATCGAAGATAAGCCTCGCGAAGAAAGTCGCAGTTGTAATGATCACTGCGAACTTCAGTACGTCACATTTTTATTATCATATGATTATTCATTAAATTGTATTTGACTAACCAACAGATTTTTTTTAATCACGTCAGAAATAATGCCATTATTTTTACAAAATGAATAAGAAAATATCTTTACGTAAAAACGTAGCTATTAAAATTTCGTAGAATAAACATTACACTGTTCATTATATGCATTAATGTTGGCAATAAATTAATAAAGAGCTCATAATTAGCGAGATCCAAGTATCCCATAACGCAATCGCGAAACAAGCATTATCACTAATAAATATACTATATGAGCGAGACTTTTATAGAGAAACTATAAACGTATCTTCGCATCCTTTTTTTTCTTTCTTTTTGCTCTTAAAACATTATAACAAATTGCCAAAGACCCGAAGTTACAATTGCAAATTATGTTACTCTTGTCGTCAGACAACAGTCTGAAACAATACCTAACGCCATCCAATAATAATCCAATAATCTGTCCAACGTCAAATTTTACAACGACATTCTTAATCTCGCGTCAGCGGAAAATAATACAGATCACTTATACACACAAACGCGCGCGCGTACTTTATTATTCAGGTGGCAGGAAGTGCCGGATTCCAAGTCCGAGTGCTCGAGTCACTGTGGGCCCGGTACTCTGCTCGTGCGTTATCGCTGTGTCCAGGCGACACTGGGCCGCGATCGGAGCCACCTAACCCCCGTCCCGCCACACGCTTGCAATTACTTGGAGCGGCCGCAGGAGCGCAAGTCCTGCATGGGACCCTGCGAGTACGCGCACTGGCAGTACGACGAATGGAGCGGTTGCTCGGTAACTTGCGGCGACAAAGGCTTCCAACAGAGGACCGCGAGGTGCGTCGACGTCAACAACAAGACCGTGCCCGAGTCCATGTGCCCCGGTGACTCGAAGATCGTCAAGCAGACCTGCGGGAACAAGTCCTGTCCCAAATGGGGATTCGGCCAATGGAGCGCGGTAAGTCGGCAACTCGACTTGCCTTAACAACTTGTTCATCAATCTGATCCGCCTTTCCCATGCCCCCCCCCCCATTCGCGAGCTATTAATGATTTTTAGACGCTCGACGTCCTAGACTTACACGACGACGCTGATATTTCGGTGAACGAGAGGCCTTTATAGATGATAATGACCGACCGTGAAGACTCGCGATACCGATTTTAGCTCATAATATAACGGATGCCAAGTGCCATTGCAGACTGCCTATATAACAAAATATTTGTTAGCGATTATATCGATAGGGGTAATTGGCCGTGGTAGGTTGTAGATCACTTTTCGCCCTCTATCCTACGTAATATAACAAGCATTCGAGTTTAGGAGACAAATCCCATTATCTCTAAGCTTTCGACTGATATTTCCGCTTTCTGGGCTGTTAAAATTTTAGTGTTCCGTGACTTGCGGAATCGGGAAAAGGGAAAGACCTTATTGGTGTCGCATTGATAATCGCGTAGTGCATCCAAACCACTGCAGCGGTCCACCAATCGGAATATCCGAATCATGCGACGCTGGACCGTGCTTCACCTGGCAGACTGGCGAATGGAGTTCGGTAAGATGATGATAAAAGTAACAAATGTGAGCGGAAGATACTGAAATGAATTCAAGATGATTGATAAAATATAAATTCACTTTAGTGTTCGGCTACATGTGGTGATGCGATTCGCAGAAGAACGGTGCTTTGTAAATATACGAATGGAACGGCGAGTAGAGAATGCAATTCTTCGTCCAGGCCGATTAACTCAATAAGTTGTGCGTTGGAACCTTGTCCGGCCAAAGTACGTAAAAATCTCTTCAATTTGCACATGAGATTATATATCGAATTAGAAATAATAGCTATACTTTGTTAATTTTTGTAAAATTAACTTGCAACTGCATTGACGGTAATTTTAATAATGCATGAAGAGTATTTATAGAGAACGATACTGAGTGAAAGTTTTATATTGATAATTGAAAGAAAGCATATCACACACTATGTAAATTCGTATACGAAAAGAGCAGTTCAGTAAAAAATTTCAATTTCCTAAAGTTTTTAGCAAATATATAGTAAATACACGTGTAATTACATAATTTCGTAAGATATATTCTTTTGCATGATAAAATAATAATATTAAATAACTATAATTTACTTTACATTGCATAAAAAATAATCAAATTTAATTTTTTTTTTCTTCTTCTTTTTTCTTTTTTTCTCTACACATTAGACGACATTCGCTCCGGTAACATACTCTTCAAACTTACCAGCTGATGATCTAGCACAACATGAGAATGACGTTGATAGTCATCGCATTACATTCCGTTCCGGATATACGTGGAATATCGAAGGTTTTGAAGAAGTAAGCAGTTTATAAATAAAATTTTTAACTTTCATACAACTACTCTCTTCAATTTTCATTTAAACTATAATTAAATTTTTATTATTCATATAAATTCAAATTAATGTACATATGTGTGGGCGCGTCTGTTATTGTATGTGTCAAAATTAGTGTTCGAAATCCTGTGGAGGAGGCTTCGCAAATCAAATAATAAGATGCATTTCCGTTGAAACTGGCAAAATCGCGCCAAACCAGGATTATTGTGATATAAAGAAGCGGCCTCATGATTTGGTGGCTTGTAACGAGCATCAATGTCCAAATTGGACAACGAGTGGTTGGAGTCAGGTAATGTATAATATTTCCTAAACTTTGTAGTCTATTGATCGAATGAGCGGATATTCGGATGCATTTCAAACGATCCGGAAAATTAATAATTTTCCAACAATAATAGACTTACATTGTACGTATAAATTAAAAGAGCGGCGTCAAGTTCGTTGAAGGAATAGTCATTGATTATAACCATAATAGTCATAAATAGTCATCTCTATTATTTCTCCTTCTAACGCAATTTACTTACGTTTTGTAAAATTATATTCTAACGGCTTATGATTTATGTTTCGTTAGTGTGACGTTAAATGTGGCGATGGATACCAGCATCGGCAAGTTCTATGCCAAGATTTAAGAGGTGAAATTATGAACGATAGTGACTGCACGGAAAAATCAAGGCCACGACATGCACGGAAGTGCCAGAGAGCTCTCTGTATTACTAATAAAACTAACTATAATTCACAAGCCACACAATCTTACAAATGGCGTATGGGAAGCTGGAGCGAAGTAAGTACTGTCACGAAATAGGAAACAAAAGGAAAAGAATGAAAGCAATTAAGAAAATATTCATTAAGAAGAGAAAAAAAATTATCGAACTCATTTTGATGCTTGTGAAATGTATTCGGTCTAGTCACTAATTTATAATTAAATTTGTTAATTAGTGCGTACGTGTTTTCATTGTATAAGACATGTTAAGGCGCATTGATGGCTTTTGCAGAAGAATTAAATTTTCTTATATTTCAAAGAATCTGTATTCATTGGATGTATATAGGTACGGGGAAGTATTATATATATAGAATATTCTCATTTAAAATTTAGATGAAAAAATTTGTAAAATTTTCGCAATCATTTGTCTTTTGAAGGAAGAAATTTAAAGAATTTGCATTCAATTTTAACCGCACTAAGCAGCAGGTAGACGGATTATTTATATTAAGTCGGTTTTTTTTTTTCTTTTTTGCTTTTTTTGTTTTTAAGCAGTCAAACGTTTATTTTTATTATTCAGACCCTCGTTCTTATAACTGACATTTCAACTACAAAAAAAAATTATTTTCGACTGCATCGGACAAGCGTAGAGACTACAAATTTAGCATAACATAAAATTCATCTCATACGTAGGTAATTTCGGTTGTACAATTTTTTTTATTATTTATTTCATTGAAATTATAAGCACAAATAAAAGCTAAGCTATATTAGAGATAAATCCATTATTAAATTTTATGAATGAACATAGTGCGTCGATCCATAAACGAACGCATAAAAAATAAAGGTCAATCGTCATTCGGAAAGAACATAATATTGGTAATGATGCGTTACAACCACCAGCCGCAGAATACTTTATTGTATAATACTTTATTTGACTTCCGGTTTTTTCGTTTATTGTCTTATTATGGACATTGGCCGTAGATCAATCGGCCCACGGTTCCTATAATCTGACTTATATCAATGGCCTCGGTTTATTTTTTACGCTCGATTCCTCGACAATGCCATTCCATGAGATCATCCACGAAATCACATTGAATCACATGAATAATGCGAATTCCCCCCCAAACAAAAAAAAAAAAAAGTCATAATCTCAAAAAGCTCCATGCGGCATACAATCCTCCCGAATCAATTATTTACGATCTAAAAGCAGAATCTGTTGATTGAACAAAGTGCTCGGCCAGCTGCGACAACGGGTTCCGCCGTCGCGAGGTCACCTGTCATCGCGTCAACGGCTTCGGATGGCAAGACCCGAGTCCAAGCGCCGGCTGCTCGCCAAAGGACAAACCCGCGAGTGAGCAGCCTTGCAAGAGTCGCGGATGCGGCGATCAATTCTACTGGGAGGCAGGCGACTGGAAGAAGGTAATAATGCTGGAGGTTAAATTGCTCGTTAGCGGGCCAGGTTAATAGTCGTCGTTTGGAAGGGCGACTCGACGATTGGAGCGCGAGGGGTTTACGATGTCTGGCGTTATTCCAGTGCTCGCAGCCGTGCGGGCGTAAGGGCAGGCAAGTGCGACGGCTTATATGTCGCGATCGACAAGGGAAGAAGGTCCGCAAGCGCTATTGCCCGGCAAATCTCAGGCCCCAACGAAAGCGCAAATGCAATCAGAAGCCGTGCACGGGACCGACCACGTGCCTCGAAGTTCAGAGTCGACTGAAAACTAACGAGGATGGCGAGTACACGCTGCACGTCGGAGGAAGATACATGTCGATCTATTGCCACGGGATGGAAGGCTCTGAGCCCCTGGAGTATCTGACGTTGCCCACCGGCGAGCGGGAGAACTATGCCGAGATTTACGACAAACGGTATGGATAATTGGCACTTGAGGCACAGTTTTCTAATTGCCTTCGGTGAAACTGGGTAAAGGCGGTTCGATGCGAATCTGGCCAGACAATTGCTTATTGACATTAAATTAAGGTTTTTAAGTGAGTCGGTGATTGGTGGGGGAAGGATAAGATTGAAATATGCGACATGGGTCTATGAAATATGCTAATGATTTGTCTAGGAAACGTATTTTTTTTTTTTTTAATATTTTCAAATAATGTTCTAGGCTTCGGAATCCACACACCTGCCCTTTCGACGGCAGGAGAAACGATAGTTGCGAATGTATGACAGAGTCGGTAACAATATCTGGTAGAACACTGTTTAAAAAAGTGAGAATTAACGTTAACACGTTGAGCATCATAGGTATGACAAATTTTCAGCTTAATTTGCTTTACAAATGATTTTAAAATTTTAAAGAAAAATGTGACTTCCAATTGTAGGTGACGATTACAGATTTTCCATGAAAATTGGCGCAAATAACATTGAATTTGGAAAGGCTGGCGACTGCTATAGTCGAATGAATTGCCCTCAAGGTCGATTTGCAATTAACTTAAGTGGCACTTTGCTAATGTTATCGCCGGAGGTCCATTGGCCAAAGCAAAAAAATGCCTACGTTATCATTAATAAAATAGTGTGTATAAAACATTGTCGATTTATTTGAAGGAAAGTTGATTTACTTCGCTATTTAAAATGTACATTTTGATATTGATATTTTTCAGAATAATCAGCGAATAATTGGAAAATGTGGTGGATACTGTGGATTTTGCACACCTTCGTATGGTTTAAAATTGAATGTTTTGCCACCATAGAGTTGCGATAAAAAGCAAAAAAAAAAAAAAAAAAAAAAAAAAAAAAAAAAAAAAAAAGTAAAGGCTGCAAAAGAACTTGCAAATTTTTTCTGTTGCTAAACATTTTTTGTTGCTAAAATTATGGCAAAGCATGAAAAAGAATTTACAAGAATTTTAATTGTAAATGTCAAAAGCTGGATTTAGAAGAAATACTTTTATAAATTTTAGTGATAACAATTTGAGAATTTAAAATGTTGATGCCATAAGTGTAGCCAAACGTGTACTACTTGTTGTGTATGAATGCGTGTATATACTTTACCTTAGTACTTTATTCGTGAAAGAGTATTTTATATAACTAAGCAAAATATTAATTTCCATTATAATACATTGTTTAATAGTGCTAACATTATGTACATTGTACATTAAATCACTGCATTTCTTTTTATAAAAAGATTACACTGCCGTTATGAAAACAAAAAAAAAAAACAAAAAAAAAACAAAAAAAAAACAAAAAAAAAACAGAAAAAAATCTTAACTATTTGATTTACCGAATTTTGCGTAAGATCTGCTTAGCAAAAGCTTATAAACAACTTTGAAGTAAAATTCAATGCTGTTTATTATTACATTTGTATAATTAATCCTCATTGTCCAGCATAATTTTTTTTTTTTTATTGTCATTCTAAAATTTAGTCTCAGAGAAAAGGGACTTGAACACATGTAAATGTGTCTGTACTAGTCATTTGTTCCAAGGCACTTCTTATACAAAAGTAAAAAAAAAAAAAAGAGCATAAAAAAGTTCTGCTAACAATTTATTAATGAGGTGCCAGAAAAATTTTTTAAAAGTATTGATTTTATAATTGTAACAAAAATACATGTAAAAGATCGTTCTCATTTATTCTATCGGATAAAAAATAAATGTTAATATTAGATTATCATATGTCAATAAAATCCAATACAAGAGACTCTCTAATGAATTATGTAACGGTGACACTGCCAATTTATATGTAATGTTGCCAATTAGATTAGTATTTATTGTATATCTCATCATGGATTTATAAATTAATAAGAAATTTATAATAGCATTCTTACGTCATTTAAACATTTTTTTATAAAAAAAAAAAAATTTAATAAAGGCAAAAAATGATACAAAAATTGCAAATAAAATGTTCTATTTTTTATGTACCCTGAAAATATTATTGCAATATCAACAAATCATTGTTTCTACTGCTATTTATATAATGTTTTATGTTAGAATTAATTTAAAGTGATTATTAAATTAGTAATTATCCAATTTTATCATAAAATTTATACGATAATTTATTTATTTTACCTTTAATATATAAAACTATTTGATTTACAAACTCATAAAAAGTGAATTAATGTTTTATTCACTATTGACAAATACAGATCAATATAGTTGATAAAATCCTAGACAAATAACATTGCATTCTAATATTCATATTTTAATAATTAAAAAAAAAATAATCATAAACGATAATCGATCATCAATAGAATTTAATGTACAATACCGACAAATTTAAGTGTTTATAATTTATATTTAATTATTTCAAATAATATAACATTTGAGAAGCGAAGTAAATAAGTATAAATTAAATACTAAAAATGTATTTATAAAAATATGTATAAAATAAATTTTAAAAACTATTTATATAAAGAAAGTATAAAATAACAAATTAAAATAATATTTATTTATGTAAGTAGAAAAGAATAAACATTAACTTACTTTTATTTTTTAGGCTAAAGTAAGAAAATATTATCGGTATATTGATGAAAACTGATCTTGACGTAGTCAAAATATATAATTTTAATAAAAAAAACTGTAAGAATTCAAGAATATAATTTAATTTTCAATGAGTTTTCAGCGAAAAAAAATTCGTTAAAAAAGTTATGAATCAAAATATTCGTGCAATCATTTTTTATGTATGAGTTCGAATGCGCATGTTTCTGCCTAATTTTATATAATAAAATCTATTATTTAATAAGTCTATACAAACTCGACCTACCCTAAATCTTTTCTCATATTATATAAAAATCTACTTATTTTATAGATCTCATTTGCTAAGATCATTGAACGTGATATATTATTATAATTGAATATACATCGATGTTTAAATGTAATAGAAGGTAGATTTCAAGTATTTATCTATATTTCTTGAAGTATCAACAATTTGTATTGATAATGGAAAAATCGTTTTTATTAGTTGTATAAAACATCTTTATATAATAATATATAAATGTTGAAATTTCAACTGACATATTTAACGATGAATTCATACATTAAATATGATTAAGTATTATTCATTTTTTTATTTAATACACTATTCTTACATTCAAATATACTGTATAGTAATATTGTATATATGTATAAGAATAATGTAATAAAAAATCATTCTATAAAAAATTAATTGGAAATGAAAATTGTTATTATATGGGTAATGGATATAAACGATGATAGACTTAATACAAATAGAAATAAATTGACTTTTACTTCACATTCAGCATGTACCTATGTCGTGTATATTTTTAAGTTATCTGTTGTGCAAATAACTATGATACATAAAATAAATATTTTATTCATAACAGATTTATATACTAATAATAAACTACTAGAAAATCAAACTATATCAGCTCACTGATAATACCTACATTGTTTAAACGACTGTATGCCAAGATTTATTTATTAATTCGCTTAAATTATAATTTATAAAAATCATTGTTTATAAATTATAAATTGGAATTACAATATGAAATATAATTCAAAATACTGTACTTATTTAGCCATATTTATTAATAGGAATTTTTTAATTTAACATAATAGACGTGCATAAAACACGTAAACAGCGAAATTATTTTCATTAATAATTAAATTGATGGCATTGATGCTGGTACATGCATGAGCAATATAATACTCTCTAATTCCATTATAAATTAAGTTTTTCTATGTTTATACAAAAAAAAAAAAAAAAAATCCTTATTGAACCGTAGATTATAAATAAATTTCATTATAAGTATATTCTTGCTTAGATTGCATATTAACTTTTTATAACTTTAAAACTATAAATTTTCTATAAAACTATAAAACTATAAAACTATTTTGAACGCAATAAATTCAAATTATTGTTTTTGCATAAATATAAATCGTGTCATCGTTACATAATTCATCTATTGAATTATATTTCTATTACATTTTAGGTTTACTAATTCTATTAATTATCTACGGCTATGAATTATTAAATTTATACAATAAAATAATTTCAACAAAGCTTATTTAAAAAAAAAAAATTGTTAATGTAAGGAAACATTATTTGAAATATTGAAGTATTTATTTTTTATGACGTCAAATACTAAAACTCTATTTTGATGATCTCTATATAGACTGGCTTCTATCCATTTTGTTCTGTAATCTGTAAATCAGAAACTCGTGATAATATTCTAGCGCTACATACATACACTAACAGAACAATTAAATATTATTCGTAATATAGGAAGTAATATTATATTTAATAAATCAGGGATTCATTTGCTTTATGTCTAATTTGTATTTTAATATAGATTATGTTAAGGATCTATAATTGCACGTTATAAATTATAAAGCAATCTTTATCAGTTTTCGTCTGCGAATCTGTGTAATAGATCTCATCAATTTTATTATCAAAAAAATATACATCTGGAAGATTTTTATTTCGTTTAAAGTATCCTCTCCATTGTATGAGAACTTCTTCTTCAACAATCAAATATAAGTTTATTATTATAAAAATTACAAGATTATATGGTAAGGATTCAATGTTTTATAAGACAAAATGCGGTGACTGACGTGTACGTTAAATTAATGAAACCTTTTGTATTAATATTTTTAAACGTAGAAAAATGACATCTGTATTCAAAGATATAGAATTGGGGCCACCCATTGAGGTTTTTCTACGTAGTAAGGATTTTCAAGATGATTCACATGAATCAAAAGTCAATCTAACTATAGGAGGTAAAAATTATATAAATTTTAATGAGCCTACAGATTTACCTAATTTATAATTCATTTGTATGCATGTGCTTTATTGTATATTGAGTTATGTCTTAAACTGAGCAATTATCAATGACCATGACTAAATGAACATCATCATTAGTATTAAATAAAAATAATATTTATTAACCATTTAATAATTAAAATCTTTAACAAAACAAAAATTTTATCCATTAATATATTTCAGCTTATAGAACAGCTGAAGGGAAACCATGGGTACTTCCGGTAGTACGCAAAGTTGAATCTACTTTGGCTCAGGATGAATCTCAAAATCATGAGTATCTTCCTGTATTAGGTTTAGAATCATTTAGTCAAGCAGCTACGACCATGATATTAGGAGAAGACTCTGTGGCCATTAAAGAAGGCCGAGCAATTGGAGTGCAAACTCTGTCTGGTACAGGTGCACTAAGAGTAGCTGCTGAATTCTTAGCTCGAAATTTACATTTTAATACATTTTACTACAGTAAACCAACATGGGGTATGATTAAAAACAAATTTACTATACTTTGTTTATAATTTAACAAAAAAAAGCTTTATTTAATTGAATAATAACATTAAACATTCAATTTCCAAATATTTTTTTCATAGTTATATAAGTATAGTTGTATTTAAAATATAAATAATGTATCAAATGGTTAATAATTATAAATAATTTTCAAAAATTTTGAAAATTATTTAAATTTATAACCTTATTTAATACATGTTGTTAAGCATGTAACTATAATACCCAAATTTTTTGTATAATAGTAAATTACTAATTTACATTGTTTTTTAATAATTAATCGTTTGCCATTCATAATATATTGAATAGTTAGTATGATTAAATAAAAATTATAATTTTAATTGTGGACTCTTAATTTATCAGAAAATCATAGATTGATATTTTTAAACGGAGGATTTAAGAACAATTTTGAATATCGTTATTGGAATCCAGATTCTCGAGGTATTGACTTAAACGGAATGATAGAAGATTTAAGGAATGCACCTGTAAATGCAGTCATTATCTTACATACTTGTGCACATAATCCTACCGGATGTGATCCAACTCATGCACAGTGGGATAAAATAGCTGATGTAATTGAAGAGAAACATTTATTTCCAATTTTTGATACAGCTTACCAAGTACGACAATTTTAATTTTAATAATACTATATTACAATATTATATTACATATACAATAGAGAAAATGATAATGAATTAAATTTTAATTATTTTTAGGGGTTTGCTAGTGGAGATTTAGATTATGATGCTTATGCTGTCAGATTATTCGCTAGTCGAAATATTGAATTTATATGTACCCAAAGTTTTGCAAAAAATTTTGGTCTTTATAATGAAAGAGTTGGAAACCTTGTATTGATAACTAATAATACCAGTAAGATTCCCGAAATTAAATCTCAACTAACCCTAATTATAAGAGGGATGTACAGTAATCCACCAAAGCACGGAGCTAAAATAGTTTCAGTAGTACTCAATGATAATAATCTTTACACGCAATGGTACTTAAGAATAAAATTAATTATATGTATATATAATGAATATTTTCTAGTATATTAATGTAAATTACAATATTAACCATAATTTTGTTAATTTTTCTTTGTTTTTTAGCAAAAACCATGGCTGAATAATAATGAGACTACAATAACAATAAAACTCTAAAATTTTTCTATTTCATTCTTGATAATTTAATTAATTTCTGTATCTATATCATTGAAATCTAAATAATAATACTATATTATTTGATTAAAATGTTTTATAATAAAGCATTCATAAAAACATAGCACATACATATGTGTATATACATATATATGTGTGTGTATATATATATATATATATATACATATGTACATGCATTTTAAATAATTACTTTAAAACTATTACATTGAAACAAATATATAATATTAATAATTATAAATGTTTAAATATTTTAGGAAAGATCATATACATACAATGTCTGGAAGAATAAAAGAAATGAGAACAGGTCTTTATGATAGATTAATGAAGCTAGAAACTCCTGGTACTTGGCAACACATAATCAATCAAATTGGAATGTTTTCTTACACTGGTCTTTCAGGTAATGTATTTTTTCTAATGTTTATATTATTCTGTAATGTTTTTAAATAAATTTATAAATATTTTCAGAGAATCAAGTGCAGTATTTAATAAAAAATTATCATATTTATTTATTGCGTAGCGGACGTATTAATATGTGTGGTCTTAATGAACAAAATTTGGATTACGTAGCCAAAGCCATTAATGATGCTGTAACCAAATGGCCTTCATCATAAAATACTACATATTTAATTATACTAAAAATATTGTATATATTTATGTAATAAATTGAATATAAAATGTGCCGAATTAAATTGTAATTTGAGTGCATATTCGAAATTTTATTTTTTCATAAAATAAATTTTAGCACGAAAATATTTATACTTTGAAATAAATCCTAAATGTGTATGCAGGTATATATGTTTATATATACGTGTGTGTGTGTGTGTGTGCGCGCGTGCGCGCGCGTGTGTATCTTTAATTACAATGAAACTAAATTAAACTAAACTTTAAAAATTAGCTGTAATAAATATTTGTTAAGAATTAAGAAAAATGCTTTCAATAGTACAAAAATAAGTAATATATGTATATGCAATAGATTTACAAAGACATTCTAACTTTTAATGCATTAAAATTCTATTATATAAATTAATTAAATAATTTGAAAGCTTATTTTGCTTATATTATACAATTAGAATTAAAGTTAAAGAAATATTAACGAATTTTGAGATTAAAAAAAATCTTTTATCTGTTAGTGTCAAAAAATATTATTTAATGGTTTACAAGTAAATTATGTGACAATTAAAAATAATCAAAGCATTATATGGCATTGATAAAAATTACTTTAAAAATATTGTTTTCTTTGGTATAAACATATTTTAGTCTAATTTCCAATTAAAATCATTAACAAACAATAAATTCAATTTAACAGTTTACTTTAATGCTAAAGAATTAAAATTGCATCATACTGTCCATTTTGATACTTTCTTTTTAAAAGTTTCTGTACCATCGGCTTCAATGGCAGAATAAAATCCCATTGATTGATATTTTGATCTCATATATATTATATAACCTGCACATCCAGTCATGGCTATTATACCCAAAGCCATTATAATACTATTCTGTAAATATATATTACATATTATAAACGTTAAAATTATATGATTGGCAAATAATTAAAATAATTACTGGCTTAACGTAGAGTTCATAATTAACAGCTCGAAACAATGGAGAACTTTTAAGAGAACGGATGCCATCTCCTGGTACATATTTTTTATCATTTTTTTCTTCCATTTTAATTTCTTATAATAATACTGTTATAATATAAATATAATAACAGTATATAAATTCTATATAATTATTGTCTACGTGTAGTTATATAAACATATTTTATATTTCATCACTATCCATACATTTCCGATGTTCACTCACGTATATTTATTTACACAATTTAAATTCACATAAAATTTTTTATACAAGCAATTCAATTTGCTTAGAAAGCTTCACAAAGCAGTGCTTGTTACCCCTTGAACTTCAACTGATGACTGGGAACGGGTTATATTTAAAATTTTAAATGTCGACGATAAAAGCATTGAGTAAGTGAAAAATATACATTTCAATTCTTATATGGCCATAGTCGCACTTAAAATCTTATTCGGCGCTTATTACACTAAATAAGTTATACAATAAGCAATGATATTGTAATTAGTTAAGCTATCGTCACTCACATTTAAGCAACAAATATTATTTTGATTTTGACATTTACTTATCTACGTATTTGATATTCTACTCCAAATTATCTTCGCTCACCACTTCCTAGTTACCTACGTGACACGCGGTCAAGTTAAAACTTTTACAGACTACAATTTGCGGAGCAGTAAAGTAAATAATTATTTAATAGTATTCAACCTTACTTCCGTAGTCCCTTTGAAAATTTAAATTTTTCAATAATATGTTACGTATAAACGTCTTTTAATAAAATAATAAAAAGAAACTATGTATACTAATAAAACTTAATAATGCAAAACGTGGAGAAAATTTTCAAACCTATTAAATTCTGAAATTAAGAAAGGGTTGAGCATAAAAATGGTCATGAAATACGAATGTATTACGTTTGAATAAAATATTTACTTATTTATAATAATATAAGATAATCAGAGATTTACAATATGTTTTAGTTCAAAATGTTAATTGATCTTAGCGAAGCTAGTTAGTTTCTAGTGAAAATAAGAAATAATAAATTTAAGATAAAAATTTATAAGATTAATTATGGATGCATTTTTTACATTTTCATTTAAGAGATATAATATATATCGTTTAACTCTGTCTAATTCGACAGTCAACATATTTTATATATATATATATATATATATATATATATATTATATTATAAAATTTTATTAATAATATACATTAATATAATACCGTATATTAAATAAAATTAATGGCATTTAAGTTATAAATTTTTTAACAATCAATAATAAATACATTATGGAAAAAGAAGAAGGTATATAACATGTAGAATTAATTTCTAATTATATTCTATATATTGAAACAATAATTTGTAGGAATTATTCTTTTCAATTGTATCTTTGTCTATTAAGAATTGAATGTTTATGTACTAACTTTTGAACTTAATTTATACAAATTAAGACTAAGACTTTGTATGTTCAAATTTTATATTTCAATTAGAGAATGCAAATATTGAATTTTGAATTTCTTAATGTAAAATATTTCAATTAACAATAGGTTCGGTTAACTATGCAATTTAAATGTATAATTATTTGTATATTTACGAATAGATAATATTATTAGTGAAAATATTGAATATAAATTATCCTTGTAAGCAACGAGTAACTTAGAAATATAGAGGGAAAATAAATGTATTAAAATGCATATTCGTTCTTGTATAAATTTTCATTCTTTTATAATACATTCTTTTACATTTGCTCTTGTAATCATGTACATCTTATATCGTTATACATTCATACAATCTATTTATTACATATATTTTCCCGTTTCTCTCCATTCCATTTAATATTGAAAGTTGAGTAATTATAAAATGTGAACATTGATATATTGAAGAATGGCATCAAACAAAATACCCACACATATTTTCACAATTCACTTTTCTTCCAGACATTTAACTGAAATTAAGTATCATTAGTATTATACAGTCATAATAGTCCATTCAGACTGATATTTCACTCAGTCTGAAAATTTCTTTTATACATGATATTTTTTTATAACTCGAATGTTCAAGCCTATAATTGTTTAAAGTGTCAAGTGAAAATTATAAAAACTTTTATTTTATTACATAAAATTGATTTGATATTTAAACAAAGTTGATTTATAACAAAAAAATTTTTAACGTCGCTAAAAGATGTATCACAAATATTTTACCAGTAAAAATTTGTGTAACTATTTTATAGAAAATTAATTAATTTCAAGATTGTCCGCCAAAACCTCCCATCAAATTGCTTAAGCTACCAGCTGCACCTTGTTGCAATTGACGCATCATATTTTGAAGGCCAGACATTCCACCTACATAAATATAAATGCATAAATATAATAAAAAAAAAAAAAAAAAAAAGAAAAGGGTTGAATTTAGTAATTAATATGAAACTGTAAAGAGCAAGAAATACTGTGATTGCAGGCGAATAAAATTATTATATTGCAATACTAATTATATAATTTTACAAAATGCATTACTAATACTAACAATATTATATTATTTTCCAAGCTAGTATTACAATAATTTGTACAATAAAAGTAATAAGCAATAATTCAGATAATAAAAATAATGAGATTAATATCTTTTATTAAGAGAAAAAGTCTATCAGTTCAAATATAATACAATGATTTTTACCCATTTGATGAAGTACACGAGGATCCATCATTTTTGCCATTTGTTGATTAAGTTTGGCCATTTGAGCAGGATTAACGTTCTTCGTCATATCACCGCCTTTAAACAAACCTTTAATTCCTCCCATCTTTTTCACCACAGCAGCAAACTTTGTGTACTGAGCTATTAAATCCTTGACATCCTTTTCCGTAACGCCAGAACCTCGAGCTATTCTCGTAATTCGTCCAGGTTGTTTACTAAATAACTTAATACCATCTCTACTATCCAATTCTAAAATAATATAATTTTCAAGTAGTAATATAAATATAAATAATAAAATAATTTTGAAACAATCGGCCTTAGACTAACCTGCATCGTTCATACTATCCATCATTGTCATTAATTTCTTTAAACGAGCCATAGAATCCTGTTCTGTTCCTTTAGACATAAAATCTTGACTAAATCCAGGTATCATACCCTTTTGCAAATAAATAACAATATTTTAAACTGATCGTTATATTTCTTATTGATTAGACATATTTAAAATACTAATATACCATTATTTGTGAAAAAGGGCCCATTTTCATTATGTTTTGAAATTGTTCATACATGTCTCGTAATGTAAATTGTCCGTGTTTAATTTTTTCTAACAATTCTTCATTATCGTCTAAATTTAATTCATTAACTTTATCGATCAAACCTTCGATATCTCCCATACCTAATAATTTGCTAATAAATGGTTTGGTTTTAAATGGTTCTAGATCATCAATGTGTTCTCCAGTTCCTATAAAAATTACTGGACTCTTTGTAGCGGCAACACTGTACGAATCATATATTATTAGTAAAATAAATAAATAAAGTAAAATAGAAATTACTACTCGAATACATACGCTGACAAAGCTCCACCACCCTTTGCGTGACCATCCAATTTTGTAATAATAATAGAGCCAACGTTAACGCGTTCTTTGAAAGCTTTAGCTTGAGCTTCGCAAGCTTGACCTATTGTTGCATCCATTACAAATATAATGTTATCCGGTTGCTGTAAATATTAAAAATGAGGAAATTAAAGTTGTCCTTTATAATAAAAACATATAATTTAACGATTGAAATTTTTCACCCACAACTGCATTTGATACTTGCAACATTTCCTCGAATAAGGATTCTTCTTGTTTATGCCTACCGCTTGTATCGACGATAATTATTTCATAGCCTTCTTTTTTAAACATGTCTACACCATCCTGAGCAATCACAACGGGATCAGCTTCGGTATAACTATGAAGTAAAAATATTTTAATATAAAATAAATACAAAATTACGATTTCGCAGCAAACGTTAATTATCAATGACTGCCGTTTCAGGTGAATTAAATTATTTGACAAATAACCTTCCATAAAATGGAATCCTAGCCTTTGTTGCATTCTGCTTAATTTGATCATAAGCTCCAGCACGAAATGTGTCCGCACAAACCAAACAAGCTTTCCAGTTTTTCTTTAAATAATGATAAGCTAACTTTGTACATGTCGTAGTTTTACCAGAACCTTGTAGACCAACAAACATAATAACATTGGGTCGACCTTTAACCAGCTGATATGCTTTAACTCCTGGATCTATAAGCTGAATTAAATAAAAATTAAGGCATCGAGCCATCGTCCATTCGATTCAATGGCATAACACGTATAAGGAGAGATATACGAACTTTTACAAGTTCCTTAAATACAGCACTTTGTATCATTCGTCTTTTATTAAGACCACCAGCCATGTCTTCGAAATCAATGACCGTTCGAACATTTTCCCTCAAATTTTTCACCAATCTAATGTTAACATCGGCTTCAAGTAATGCCGCACATATTTCCTTTAGCATAGAATTTAATACCTACGACAATTAGAAATGCAAATGTAACATCTGTTTACATACATCAAAGATATTAATAAAACCACATAACCTACCTCCTGATTAATAATCGTCGCATTGCTTAACGAGCGCAATGCGGACGTTATTTTTCGTCCCAGATCCGCCAAAACCATTTTGGCGAATTTTATGGACAATCAGCGATTTAGAAATATAAATCACCTCCTTACGTTCAATAATACACTAAATACAAAAGAAAATTGTAAATTGAAAACAAATTGAAAACACCTCGCATAGCAGCTAAACGCACGACTACACCTAATTACCCTTGATATTGTCTAGCGATCACTACTAGTAACTAACTTGGTACTCGATAGTCGGTGTCAGCACTCCCATACTTCTCAAACAAGTAATAAAAGTGAGATGCAAATAGTGACATTAAACTAAACAGCTGTTTACTAGTTATTCGTCCTTGCTCGACGATGTAACTTTATAGCGACTAGCTGAAGCTTATATGCGCGCACGCACACGCACGCACGCGCGCACGCACGCACGCACGCACGCACATATATACATGCATTTGCATATATAATATATGCGGTCTAACATAATTTGATCGCTCACCAACATACCCTGCATACTTTATTTAAAGTACTTTAATTAGCTCTCTTTATCAATTCTTCATAAATTGCATTCACGCGCAATACTTGAGTACTATTGTTAATGAAAGTCTAACTGTATTCTAAAAAATTTGGCAAAAATAATTGAATTAGAAGAAATTGTAAAATAGATAGTAGCTACGAGAAGAAAGTTCCTTTTTTTTCATTAAACAAAACTTTTAACGTAAAATTTTCGTAACAACTTGTATATTTTTTTCGTAATTGCCAGACTCAAGTCTCGATGGATCGTACATATCGATATCTCGACTTTCCATTCGTCGACGACCGACCGGCTAAAAGAAAGACAGGAAAAACGATATGCCAGTATCACTAGCGTGTGTGCATCGTTAGCCAAGTGCACGTATATGCATGCCTATAGGCGTCACTCAAAAGCCCACACACGCACGCGCATCTCCATAAACATTTATATATATATATATATATATGTGTGCGTATGTTTATGTATAGATATGCACGTAATAAGCCTTCATTCAAGAGTCGTCGAAGACTGTTGTATGCATGCATGCATGTATGTATATATATATATATATATATATATATATATATAAGGCATATGTCGAAATGTTCGTCGAAAGCGGTTTACGTACGAGCGGTGGCAGGCACCAGCCAATACATTACGCGCCATCGACGGACGCATTTCGTTTTGTGGACGGATATGTAGTGTGCGCGCACCAGTACTTATATGTCGATGCTTCTCATTACTCTTGTATGACGGGAGGGGGAAAACTCTCGAGGAAACGGCAAAAAAACATAGGCTGCAGTGCCACGACCAGAGAGTTTCTCGATTAGTCTTTTTCGTTTAAAAGCGGTGCGTTCGTTCCGACCGTGAACGCGGTTATAACATCCTCCTGTTGTAATTCACACCCCCACCGTTGCTTTCATTTGTGCGCATTTGTAATATACATATATATATATATATATATATTCAGAAATATATAGTACCTGCATGTTCGTATATATATATATATATATATATATAGCAATTTGGGAAATCGCGCTTCGATGGCATCAACGATATATAGTGTCCACGCTCAAATGTATACATAAGTGGAACATCTTTCTGCCTGTTGATTACTAGTGGTATTGTCTTCAGCAAACAACAGACTATATTTACATGACTCCCTTAAGCATAATAATAGCGGCAATGCATCGTTTTGTATTTTAAGTGTGTGTACAAACATATATGCATATATATATACGCAAATATATTTATGTGCGCGCGTGCATGTCGTATTGTGTACCCATGTTACTACATGCATTTAAAGAATTTGTAGTATTACGTCTAGTTACATCATTTTGTAAATCATTAGCGTAAAAAGGCCTCTGTATTCTTTTTCTGCCTAATTCCATAACAATTATGTCCTGGACAAACGACAAGATGAATTATTCTTCCACTTATAAGTTGGTCGTTGTCGGCGGGGGAGGAGTCGGCAAGTCCGCTGTTACTATACAATTCATTCAGGTGAGTGACAGATCTAGGCTTAAGATAGACATTGGTCTTTCTCTCTCTCTCTCTCTCTCTCTCTCTCTCTCTCTCTCTCTCTCTCTCTCTCTCTTATCCTCGCTCATCTGTGCAACGCGCGTACACATCCGCTCGCGCGCGCAACTTACATCTCTATCCGTTTCTGTTTTGCATTGGCCGTGACACACCTTTTTACTTTTTACTCTTAGAAGCTGCTGTATTTTAGTATTTTTACTTCACTGTTGAAAACACAATAATTCGTTATTTCGATCTTTAGATTTCTTTTATTATTATTATTATTATTATTTTTCTTCTGTTTTTTTTTTTGTTTTTTTTTTGTTTGTTATTACGATAAGAAGCACACGTTTCCGTAGTTAATAGTATAAATTATTTCATTATTAAGTTTCATAGTTTTAAAAATGTGATGAAAGATATAAAATTCTTTACTTTTATTTATTAATTGAATTAAATGCCGAATAAAATGCCTGGTAATAAATATATTGTAATAATATAATTATAATCTAAATAGTAATAAAATATATAACGGTATGTATATTTTACATTGTTTATTAATATAAAACAAAAGCAGGAGTATTAATATTAATAATTACAAAATTGCCGTATCAAAAGAATGTGCGGAATATGTAATTATTAAATCACTAGAAAGAAAGTTTTGTTATCAAATTAATAAATCAACCAACGCTAATAAACGAAAGTAAATAAAAATATTTCAATTATGATCATCGTCGATTTCATAAGCCGACAAGCAAATAAAAAAGAACTGTGTTATTATGGAATGTAAATATTTTTACGAAAAACTCTATAATATTAAATTATGGAAATATATATTTGTGAATTACTTTTCAACTCGTATTAATTATTCTTTTTATCTCAAAAACAAATCTATTTTCTGATTTTTAAATTAACTTCTAAAATTATTTCATGAGTGATAAAATGCCTTCATAGACAGAAATAGACTTGTTTATATTGTAGTTATAAAATCTATCAGTTGAGTTATTTTAAGAGTGCTCTAAAATCTAGAAACACTAATCTTAAACATGAAATTTAACTGGTAGTTTTAATCGAGATTTACATTCTATAAACAAATAAACTGGATTCTCGAAATATTGATTTACAAAATGTTCAGTTTTTAAAATACATATAATCGTTTGCGAATTCGTCAACAAGTTGTAAAATATTGTTTTCACGAATTATCTGACAAACGCACACATCTTTCTTCATTATACAAGTTCTTAAATTAATTTCACATTCACATTGAATTATGAAAAAACTAATGATTTCCTACATTACGCTTTTATTATTTATTTCATGCATGTTGTTTCTAACAGTAATTTATACTTTAATACTTCCATTACTATAAATATAAATTTTTCTGCCTTAATATAGTTAAATCGTACCACGTTTCTCTCTGATGCAAGAAAGATAAAATCGAAACATATAGGTATAGTCGATAAATAATAATCCGTGAAATAAATTAGAATATTTGATGAAAACTTGCATTACTAGAATTTAATTGCAGCTACTATATTATTATAAAATTGTCCACCTCAAATATTTCTAATAATCAAGCCTTATTCTAGTATCTAAAAACAATAATAGTCATAAAATAATAATAAAATATTGTCAAATTATAAACCAAATAATAAATGAACCATTCTCTCATACAACAACTTTACGTGCATTTAGTATTTTATAAGGTCAAATTTATTAAACTCGTGATTTTTTTTTCTATCGATATATTTACTTCGAAAAGTGACATTAATGATTTTATATAGTAAAATATTTTCACTATTTAATTATGACATTATTAATCACTCAAATTTCGCCTTTCTAAACGTAACTCGTGCAAAAATTAGTATAGTAGTTAAAAAGCAAATGCCTAAATATTCGAAAGCTACAGTCATAAATAAAACTCTCTATACAAATTACATTTGTGGTAATCTATTGATAATAAAATGCTTTCTTATTATACATTATTTTTAAATGCTATTAAAATTGTAATATTTAGAGGATAATTAATGACGCATTGAATTATATTCTCAACTCTCTTTATTTCCAGATATTATTCAAGACATTTATCTAGAATTTTTCATATATTTCAGTACATTGATATTTTATATTCAATTACCATAATAATAATGATGAACTTATTATACTTATGACAACATTCGTTTAACAATTTCAGATGAAAAATTTTATGTAATAGCAGAATTTAATATCGCATCATTTCTATATATATATATATATATATATATATATATATATATATATCTCATACACTTTGTTACTAAATATAAATTTTATATAATATGTTCTATACTTCGGAAATAGGTAAATTTAACGATTAGTTAACATTGCGATTATAGAATACTGGATACGTAATATCTTTTTCTTTTTATTTTTTCTTTTACATTCACACGAATCGATGAAATACTCTCGAATAAACGAACGGACAATATATAAATGCAAACGGAAGACTAATTGTAAAATGAGACCTGAAATACGTTTGAGCGTTGCGTAGGCTGTAATAATAGTAAATATTATAATTCCGCTTTTGTCTCGTTTGAACAGACATCAAATCTTAACTGAAAAAATAAAAAATTTATCTATCAACGTAAAAAATCAAATGTTAAAAATTGTGTAAAAAATAATACAGAAACACATTAAAATATAATATATAAGTTTAAAATGTAATTAAATTAAATTTTAGAATTTATGGTTTGTATAAATTTGAAATTAAAAATGTTTGTTATAATGACAAATCATTGATATTCAATAAAAATTATTCTAACTTTTTTTTTATAGAGTTATTTCGTGACTGACTATGATCCAACGATTGAAGATTCTTATACAAAACAATGTGTCATTGACGATGTTCCTGCGAAACTGGACAGTAAGATCCATAAATTTATCAATAGTACGAAAAATATAGATACGAAATTAAAGAAATAAATATGATTTTATGTTTTTCATAGTTCTTGATACTGCCGGCCAGGAAGAATTTAGTGCAATGCGAGAACAATACATGAGAAGTGGAGAGGGATTTTTACTTGTATTTTCTGTAACAGATCATTCGTCTTTCGATGAGATCTTTAAATTTCATAGGCAAATCCTTCGGGTGAAGGATCGTGACGAGTTTCCAATGTTAATGGTTGGAAATAAAGCAGATCTCGATCATCAAAGAGCGGTAATTTCCATGTTGTTCTATATTTTATATTTAATGAAAGAAATATGTAATATATTATTTTCCAAAATATTATTAATTACGTATGCAAATACATTTTCTCGTAATACTTTTAACTTTTAACTTTTAACGAACATTTCTTCTTTAATAAGATAATTTGACATTTATTAATTTGTTGTGAAATTTTCCATAAATATCAATGGAATGGTTGGAAAATTATATCAATTGAATAAATTGAATAAATTGAATAAATTTTATAATAATAATAAAAAAAATTTTAATTTCTTCGTCTGAAGATTACATTTTATTAAATGTCTGTCGTCTCGATAAAAATTTTAAAATTCGTTTGTAAGTAATTTAATAATAAATTGAATAGCCATGTAGGTTACTATAGACTTAACAATGCACAATTATCGTATTTCAATCATAATCAATAACGTGACGTTTTAATTTTTGTAATAAAGGTTTCGGTGGAGGAAGCTCAGAATCTTGCACGACAGTTGAAAATTCCATATATCGAATGCAGTGCCAAATTACGTATGAACGTCGATCAATCATTTCACGAGCTCGTTCGCATTGTACGCAAATTCCAGCTTTCTGAGAGACCACCGTTAAAACCCAATTATAAAAAGAATAAGAAAAAGTGCTGTGTTTTATAAACAGATTTCGTCAATTATCGCCATTATTAGAAATTGTCGAAGCTTTGAATCGTTGTGAGAGGAATAACGCAGCCTCTAAACGAATTAATTCACAAATTCGTTATTATTACAATGGATTAAGGTTTCGTAAAAGAAAGACCAACAGTCATTATAATTGAGTATGAGTATGTACAGAATAGATTAATGTTTCGTATATGTAAACGAAGCTGAGCTTCCGACATAATTTAAAAATTTGTAGCTCAGTTTTTGAGCAACACTGACATTTAAAATTTTAATGAAAACTAATGCGAATGTTATTACTAATATATTTGTACATTTTTATGTGTAATAATTCGTATTTTTAACATAAAATTGTCGAGGGGAAATTAACTTTTGCTATGACTTAATGTTCCAAAGCACATATTAGTAGATTAGTAGACGATAAGGATTTTTTATATCATTTTACTGCGTTTTACTCGCAATGTATAACTTAAGATTTTTTTTTTTTTTTTTTTTTTTTTTTTTAACACAAATAATACCGCTAAGGTTATTCTAGGGAATTTATTTAACTGTATTCTTCAAGATCTGCCAATGATGCTGTCTTTAATTATCTATTATAAAAATTTCGTAACATTGATTTTTTTACTCGTAGAATTGATTAATTTAAATTAACAAAGTGTATTGCTATAACTATAACTATACAATAATAAAAAGTTTTTTATAACGTAAAGTTTAAAGTGTTATATTTTATAAAACGATGATATTGTCTTCTATTGAAGTCAAAGTGCAATTAAAATTTTTTAATTAAATTTTACTATTAACTATATATATTTACATATTCGAACAAACAAATTTTTAATTTTAAAAATTGTCATGTCTTATAACGATCGACTTATTTATTATAATACTCTGAATTACCAAATAAATTGTAAGTTGTATTGAAAATTTGAGTGTTTATTAATAAAATTGATGAAAATTCTTCGGTTACAGTGGAACAAAAATCTTTAAAATTTACAAAAAAATTTAATTTTAATGCAATTATGGATATAATTTAATAGTTATCCACTTACGCTGCATATCCTCGAAAGTATTTGATCAAAATCACTCATATATACAATATGTCGATATAATTTTTATATCGTAAATTAAATTAATAAAACATTCATCTTTATAAGTATAATCGATCGCTTATCTTTAAATTCTTCATTACTTTACGACACAAATGTCTCAAATCTCACTGTTCTTTTATAAGAAAGTTTTATCTTTTATTACGACCCTTAAATAAACATGTTATATAAGCTAATTGATATATTAGTCTATATAAAATATGACACCATAATAACCTTTAATTAATATTGTATTCAAATAGATTTGACAAATTGATTTCAATTCCATTGTCTATATTTTATTAAATAAATGCAAAACAAGCAATCTGCTTCAGTCATCTAATTAGTCTTTTAATAATTTTAATAAAATTAGTCAGAAATTTCTTCCAAATTTAAATCACGTTTCAAATTCTTATGATTTTCCTGAAGATTAGACTGTATTTGCGGACAACAATAATGAATTTGAAAGGATTACATACTTCCAGTTGGTCTCTCATTATTGCAGCTGAAAACAAATAATGGAATGAAATACTCTAACATAATAATTACAGAAAACGATAATTAGATAATTTTTACAACAATCTAAAATTTTAACCACAGATTGTATCGTCCCGTTCATATGATTACATATACTACAAAATCAAGACCACTCGTTGATCGAGTGAAGCTTTCATTTATATATAATAAATAAATAAAATATATAAATATACATTTGTAAGGAATTGCTTCAATTCCTATAAAAGTAATATCTGATTTATCTCGAGAGATCAGTTATAGCATCAGTAAATTCAACTATTACGTAACAATAGTGTATTATAATTTTTTTCATCATTTTTGTATTAAGCAACTGTAACAAAAAAGGTTTGTCCTGTGTATTTACAAAATAAATAAATAGATAAAGATATAAGGTCATAAAATAGAAATATTCTCCATATTCTTTGATTATTGACTGTTTGCTTCTAAATCCATATCTGACCAGACTGCCTCAGTTTCACTTTCATCAGCTGCTTCATCATTATCTGTATCTGGTAATCCTTCTCCAACTTCATAAGTTGGATCCGTGTGTTCTTCTCCAACAGCCATATAATAAGAAGAAGAATCCATTGTGTTTGATGTACTTTCTAATCTATGCATACCTTCTAATACTCTTCTATCGCTTGGATTAATACTGTAAGAAGAGTAGATAAAATAAAATACGATGAAATATTCCCCTATTATAATTTATTTAAAGTAAATCGATTACAATACGTTAAGACTACAATAAACCAACTTAAAATAATAATTTGAATATTTATATTTATTTTGAGAAATCATGATTTAGATATAATTAATACGCTTCCATTTAATCCTAATCATAAAAAATATTTACTTTAAAGCTATGGCATAATGATCGAGAGCCTTTTCTGCATTGTGTATCCTTGCCCACAAATCACCAAGCATTTGATGTAATTTACAAGTCGGTTGTGCATCAGCTTGCTTTTCTAAAAGATCAATAGCAGCTTCCAAATTCATTTCTTGCTCATAAATTTCTGCTAAATAATAAACAGCAGGTAAATATGTCTCTTCTTGACTTAATGCCTTTTCAAGAAGATTTTTTGCTTTCCCAACTGTTACCGGATCTTTCATTAAAATTGAGGCGTACAACTAAAAAAAATATTTTTGAATATTAATAAAACGTAAGACGTATACTTTACTTTACTTATAATTTCATTGATCTATTAAAATTAGCCATAATTATCAGAGTAAAAATTAGATTTTCAATGTTGAATTAAGATTTGTTTTAATTTGAATATTGAAAGGTAATATTTCAAAATTTTAAAAATTTTATATAATAAATTTAATTTACTGTGAGGACTCTGGGTGTGGGGCCGAGTTGTTTGTAAGCACTGCTGGCAATATTAGAGGCTTCTCTTAACCGATGCATTCCAACAAAACAATCGGCCAGTCCCTTGTGAGCTTCGTACCGATGAGGTTTCAATTGTAATGCTTGCCGAAAATGATGTAATGCCTCTTGAAATTTTTTCTGCTCTATAAGAACATTACCCCTAAGAATTATTGCTTCTACATTGTTGGATGACATGTGTATGGCTTGATTAGCTATGGTATTAGCTCGATTCAATTTATGCAAAGCAAATAAAGCATAAGCCATTGCAGTATAAGTTTCTGTCGAACATTCACTCATTGCAGATATAAAAGATATTAGTTTTTCTAATTCTGCCACATGATGAGTTCGTTGCAGTACAGCGGCATATATATCTAAGCTATAATCATATTTTTGAATAATTAATCATAATGAATATACTTATGCAATTAAATTCTAAATAATATTCTTTTCAATCGTTTGAATTTCGTAAGATATTAATTTTCCTTTTCCTTAAAACTTTTTCATATATATCATTAATAATTAAACTTTTACTTATATACATATATATCTATATATACGTATAAAAAATATTTTTAAAATCAATGTATTATATAATACTTTACATAATTACCCTCTAGTTGAATCAGGTTCAATAATTCTTGCACGCCTTAAGCATATTAATGCATTTTTATAATCTCCAGAATAATAATAACATTCACCCATAGTTACAAGTAAATTATAATTATCTCTTAAGCAATTAACATTATCTAAAGAACGTAAAGTTGTCACTGCATGATTATATTCCCTATTATTAATATGAGCATGCGCCTTTATCCAAGCGTTCAGCCAGTCAAAATTTTGTAAATTTAAATTACAGCTCATTATTATTGAATTCACTTCAATTCCTTTCACTCCTAAAGCTAATAGTCCTTCTGCTGCTTCAAGTGCTAAAGGACATTCTCTTAAAACTTCTTTGTACGTTGCAATGGCAGAACGTTCCATATCATGCTCTTGAAACATTTTTGCTAAAGCCATGTTTATCTAAATCATAAGATATTCATGAACATATATAAATTTATTTAAATGAAATAATTTATAAAATGTTCCATACAAGGCACACCTTTTGTGAAATGTCTGTTCTTCATGTTAATTAATTACATTATTATATTATTTACCTTTGGAGTTCGTTGTTTACCAGGAATGCTTTGCAATACTTGTAGAGCTTCTTGATGATTCTTTAATTTAATTAAACATGCATAAATTTGATATTTGACATCTACATCTGATGCAAGTTCCTTATGTCCATCTTGATTTGGCTTTGTAGTACTTTTTGTTTTTATTAAACATTTTCGAAACTGTAACGATTTTTTATACAAAGATTCTGCTCTCCTATATTTGCCAAGATAAAAATATGAGTCCGCACAATAAACGTAAACGAGAAACTTTGTGCACGCTGGTAAAAGATCATTGTTGTGATCGCTGAGAGATAAAACTAAATTTGCCTAAAAATATTTAAAATAATTGTACAATTTATATTTACTCCACAGGTAGTGTAGTTATAAATAAAACTGCATTAATACTGCCATATCGTAGAATTAAAATACGCAGGCATATAAAAATTTACAAAAATATAGAAAAATGACAATATTTTTAGGATAATCGATGTTTATATACAGGAAAATCAATAAGTTACCAAAGATATCACGTTAGAATATAATGCTTGATCATAGAGGTGCTGGATCTGATCGAATAACGTGGTCATATTTACAAAAATTAATTCAATTAATAATGTACAAAATATATATACAAAAACTGTCTTGAAAATTGTGTAAAAATAAGGTTATGTTGTGAAGATGGCGCACTTAGTTATTTTCATAATAATACCTACGACTACAAAGTTTAAACATTGCATAGTTCGAATTTTCCAATCCACTATTAATATAAAATGAATTTTAGTGTAATTAGTCTGAAAATATATATATATATATATATATATATATATATAAAAGTTATAATCGAATAAAGAGTTTTGTGGTATAAATAATATGACTTGTGTAAATTTTGTTTAAATCTTGGAGTTACTCCATAAACAGTTTTCTTCTATGTGTTTTTACTTTGGATATACAGCGCACATTATTTTTATATGAGATCAAGTTTTATTAAATAATTTTTAAAACATTCAAATATAATATTATATATAATAAAATCTAATTAAAATTAAATCTTTTTTTTTTTAATAAACAGATTTGTCATAAAAATGTTAATAGTTCATTAAATGTAATATCCTAACAAATCTTGATGATTACGCTGAAAAAAATATGTAGTATTTCTCCTCGGAGCGAGGCTTTCTGCAGAGATGTCAGCATTTTCTATCTAAACGTCTACCTCGATCTCTATGTCGCCTAATGCATCGTTAATGTGACGTTAAAGAACATTATCATTCATCCTTAATCAATTGATTTCTTGCGAATCATCCGTTGGTATGATAAATCATCTTAAAATAATATTTAATACAAACATCCTTATTTTATTTTACGTTTTTCATTCTTTAATTTAAATAGTGTAACGTAACGTTCCCGGACTTACTTCAACTTTTCCAATTAACTTTTCACTTATTACATTAAGACAATAAGTAGGATAAAATATAAAAATAAAAATATAAATACATTAAAAGAAGGGGCTTAATGATGTAATTATAATATTTAATTTCATTACTTATTCTGTATTAAAAATTTGATCTTCGATTCAATGTTTCTCATATATTGCCTACCAAAAAATTCATCGTGTTATATAAAATAATTATTTTATTACTTTAATATCATGATTCCGTAACAATAATAATACCAAACAAAATTAATACCATAACAATTCCGTTGAACATAATGATTTAACGGCATACATAAATAAATAACTATTTCATGCCTTCGAACAAATTTAAATATTATTCCTACGAAATAAATGCAGTTAGATTTTAACAATGGTTACTGAAAAATTTTTTTTTGCAAATGTCCAGTTAGTACAATTCTTTTTTCTATAACCACTATGATTTAGCTAAATATTTTTAAAAAATTAAAAAAAAAAAAAAGTCTATTAGTTAGCTAAAAATGTATTAACGTTTATTGACATTTATATACTTTTATAAAAAGTCTATGTGACTTGAGTATATTACTTAAAAATTTTATTATTAGTCAATATATTTTAGAAGATATTTTTAGATTTTATTAATTCAATTATTTTCCTTTTGTATATAAAATCACTATGACTGAAGATTTGAATAATAAAATTAAAGACTTATTAACTGATTAAAATGTATGTACGATTATCACTAATTTTTATTTATAATTACTAAACTTTACTTCACAATTTTAATTCACAAATTTTGCATAATTTAATAAAAACAATTGATCTCTTATACTCTCTCCATTTTTTTTTTCTTTCATTAAATTTCGTCCAAATTTTTCTTAATTTTTTTTCGGCTATCTGATGAAAATTATTTAAAATTAAAATTCAAAATCACCATTATTGATCATAATCATTAGTAATGTTACAACTGGATTAATTTCATAAATTTATTCTATGAAGAAAAGACAGAAGTAACACTGATCTGAAGTCAAATATCAATTTTACATGATTGAATGTGGTAGCCTTCATTTCAATCGTTATATTTTAATTTTTTTTTTAATTCAATTTCTTAAAGTTTTATTATTACTTAGCATAGAAAAGGTATGTATATCACGAATATTTTATGCAGACATATCTTTGATGCAGATATGTGTTTTATTAACGAACGTATATATTATTTGTTGTTGTATAGTGTTCGAACACAATTTTACATAATTGTATTAATTGCGGCAACTCTATCGATACAACAAAATCTTACAACAGTTTCATGCTTTACCATAGCCTATATAAATAGTATATTTTAAATATAATAATTTTATTTTCTACGTAACAAATTAAATGTTAAAATATTCCGATAGGTTATAATATTTTTTAGATTCATTATTATTTATGGTATTTTATAAATTTGATTTGATATGCTAGAATTTATAATAAAATATTGCATTTATTATCTGTATTAAACAAAATAAAAATTAAAATAAATTGTACAATATTTGTATAGTTTAAATTCAATATGCAATAAAGTTTTAACGTGAAAAGAGTTTTTTCAATTTTTATTTTTGAATAACTTACACTTTCCATATTTGTTGTTGGGGCATGCGCATTATGCACACTGAATTAATTTATTAAAGTCTTTGTATCTTTTTATTAATAATTTATAAATTATACGCTCATTCGATAAGGAATTCATAATCAGGATACATGTTCATTGAATTAATTTTATTTACTTAACAAAATAGAAATAATGAAAATAGGTTATGGTTCATTGAATGTTTTAACGTAGCTCCAAGTTTTTATACGCAAACAATTATTATTGGTTTAAATTTCAATCATTTTTAAACAATTATTAATTCAATAATCAGATCGCAATTAAATTATATCCCAGATCTATTTAAATATATTATAAATTAATTTCAAGATTTATCAACGCGTAGTTGCATACACCGACCGATTCGTGCACTTTTCATAATAAAAGTATGTGAATTGATTTGTTGCGTGTATTATAAGATTTTATGAATATAATTTTTAAACTCGCATACAGCTTTGATCGTAAATTCAAGAATTATGTATTTCACAGTTAGTATTAACATTATTATATTTACTGTTTTTAAATTTTTGTTACGTGAATTTCGCTGAAGAAGATTGAATATTCTGAATTTATCCGTTTTAATTTGTAGTAATTATATACGTATTTATCATTGTGCAGATTTACATATTGTTTTATTATTTTATTTTAAATATAATAAAATTTCAAAAGGGAAGTTATTGAAAGAAAGTTGTGTACGTGATTAACAAATCAAAAAGTATGGGTATCCATTTTTGTGAAATGTGCTCCCGATTAAAGTTATATAATGGTTCAAGTTAGCACTAACATTGAATTGATAATATTTTAAATAAAAAAATATTATTTATGATAATTATAAGTGAAATATCATTTTGTATCTTAATAAATACGATGTTAAATTCTTTACTTACGAAAACTGTATTATAAATATACTATGTTAAATATAATTGGCTTAGTGTGTGCGTGTTTCTTTTTCAAATTCTTTGTAATTTGTGATTTATCCTAATTTCAAAATAAGGAAACAAATTTTAATTATTAATTTCTTTTGTTTTTAGAATCTATGTTAATTTTACATACAACGATTTGTAGATTAATAAAAAAAGTATTATTCTACGAAAATGGTAAAATACTTTGCATCTAGTACAATTTTTCAATTCAATTGGGATCAAGTTACACAAGGTTTTTGGCGCAGATATCCAAATCCCAATAGGTAAAATAAAACTTAAAAAATAAGACTTAAATAATTTTATTCGACTCGATATTGTTGGTAAGTTAAGTTTATCATTTTATTTGTTTTCAGTTCACACGTCGTAAGTGAAGATATAATTTCAAGAGAAATTAAAGATGGAAAATTATATTCAAAAAGATTATTAACTAAAACTAATAGAATTCCAAAATGGGGTGAACGTTTTATAAATAAAAATTATGTTAACATTATTGAAGAAAGTATAGTGGATCCTAAGGACAAAATTCTTGTTACCTATACTAGAAATTTAGGATTCACCAAAGTAATGGTAAGATATTTTTATTTATACCTTAAACTTGTGATATTTTAAATACAAAAATAAAATTAAATAATGCTTTTAGAATGTCATTGAAAAAGTAGTATATACAATTTCTGAAGAAAACCCTAAATGGACTGTAGCTAAAAGATCAGTATGGATCGATAGCTCAGTTTTTGGTTTTAGTCTTGCTATTCAAGCCTTTGGGCTCGACAGGTTTAAAAAAAATGCAACAAAAATGTCAGATGGTTTCAATTATATTCTTGCTCATATGTTTCCAAATACTGCTATGTCAATGAATCCAAATCTATCTCAAATGGGTTTTTCAGATAAGGTAAAATTTATTGTATTGCAAAAGTGCTGCTGTTAGAAGCTTAGAAAAGTTTTTTAATATTTAACACAATGAATATGTACATTTTATGCACTCTTTGCTTAATATTATCAATTAATCAAAGTAAATAATTTTTTTAATTTATTTTCATTGTTTGCAGAATATTGAACCATCTATAACAAGATTGACTCATGCTGCTGAAGATTTGCAGCATTCCTTACAGGATAGAGCCGAAAAAGTAAAAGATGCTGCTAAAAAGGCAACAAACCTTGCAAAACAAAAAACTCAACCGGTATATGCAGCTACCCAGCCATAAATTTTTCTTACGATAGTCATTATACTATTTCAAATTATTTCATAGTAATGTCTGAAACTTTCAAAAAGTAATTGCATTTTCATGAAATCAGATAAAAATATTGTCTTTGAGAATATTTACGATTTTCTCCTTTAAACATGTAAATACATAAATGTTAAAGCGTTTTAATTTCTTTGTCATAAATAAAAACTAATTTTTTGTTTATTGACAATTCACAGGAATTAATAAATAAATAAATATATATATATATATATATATATATATATATATATATATATATATAATAAAATACAAAAATGAAAAAAATTAGTTTATTTTAATGAATGATTGGATTATGGAATACTGGATTAGATAAATCTTATTACGAGTACAAATAATTTTTTTCAATGTATATCATTAGACAAATATGTTTGGAAAATAATTTTAATAAAAATACAATTCAATTTTATTAATATTGAAGATCGTCTAAAATTACATATAAATACAATTATTTCTAAATTTTAAGAACTTATCTAATCATCTAGATAACATTCTAAATAAACAATTCTGTTTGTGGTAGTAACTTGAAACATCATACATCTGTATTCCTATTTATCCTCCTATGTATACTAATAATTCTACTAATATCAATAGCAGCACAGTCGATTGAGTTAATTTTATTATACATAAACATTTTACTATTATAAATACAAATCATAATTCATAACTTAGATATAGAAATATTGTTATATAAATATAAAAGAATTTATAATATATAATTTCGAAGTAGAATCTAAAGTTTGACAATACTGGTTTATTATTGTTTAATTTCTAATATAACATTATCCAAATGTTGTACATAATCGTAAAAATAATTTTTTTTTTCTATATTTCTTTTTGACTCTCATCTTTGTCTATACTTTAGTATATTAATGTAATAAGAGGAATCATTAAGTTTTTAATGAGATTCATAATAATTAGTTTTATACAATGCTGAATATAATTTAAAAACAAACGTTTCATAAGATATATTTACAGAAATTTTATTAAATCATTAGTTATTTGAATTTCTATAAATTTTATTATATTTTATTAAGTTTATTATTTTTATTAAAATTTAAAAAGCAAAACAATATAAAGTATCTTTATATTGTTTTAATACTATTAAAGATCGTGAAAGAACGAATGATTTCTCACTATTGAATTTTCTTATTTCTCTTAACAGACATACCGGAGCGATCTATTTATGATATCCATTGTTTTATTATAATATATATGTATTTTATATAAATTATATTTTTTATGCATTAATATATTCTTAAAATAAGCAAAGTTAATATATCAAGTACAAATATTTAATATTTCTACATATACAATTATGTAAATTGCTTATATAATAATTACTCAGTTTACTTTTTGTATTTGCATTGTCCAATTTACGCAATGTTGATTTCTTTAAAAATTGTTATAATTATAAATATGATAAATTCTAGATGTGAACAAAAAATATAACATATTATGCGTCGGACGTTATTTGTAATTTAAATTATTCAAGCTTTGCAAATATGTTCTATAATATTTAATATCAATCGAATAAATTGGTTAAAACATACATATCTTTAATATTTTTTCTTTTAAAGAATAGATGTTAAATTTTTTAACTTGCATATATATTATAAAATTAAAAGAATATTATTCACTTACTCAGAAATATTTACAAATATACCAAAATAACATATAATTGTTTATTATTTTTTATTATAACTATAAATTTGTAATCTATCAATTACAATATTAAATATAAAATATCTTTTAATAATTACGTATTAATAAAAAAATAAAATTACACTGTAATTTATTTTAATCTACATGAATTACATTAAATGAATATTGAATAATTTCCGTAACGGATAATAAATTTAATTATTTATTTTATTACATAAACATACTATATAGAAAAAATGTCCATAGTTTTAAATTATTTTACGAAACATTTTGCATGAGAAGTTCTAAATTAAATTAATTTATAACAAGAAGAAATTTTAATAAATACTATATAGATGGTATTTACGTTATATAAATATGTCAATGATCTTTTGACGAATTAAAATCTTTCTTAACAATACTCAAACACTTTCGGTATTTAAGATATTATAATAAATTTGTACTCCTTCTGCAAATGAGAATCATTACTATTACAAATAAATATAAATTGCAACATTTTTTTTAATTTCAAAAAAACTTGCAATAAATTTTCTATTGCTAACCATTAAAAAATTTGAAATTGAATGCAATCGAATTATAAGTTTAAAAAGTAAATTAAACTTTAAAAGCTTAACATTTTTTAATAAATTGCAATAAAAAGTAATGTATAAACATTGCTTAACTTGATTACAGTGAAATCATATTTGAACGATGTTTCAATTATCCAATAAATATACGTATTGTAAAATTTATATAATGAATATTTTAACAAAATTTTCCCTAGTATATATCACGTCGGAAATCATTATCATATTTTTAAATATACTTACGATAATATATATATATATATATATATATATATATTAAACAATTATACTTTTAATGTTATAGATGATTTAATATCTTTCTTTGCTCTGTACATATCTCAGAATGAAAATGAGAAATAACTATATCTTCTTAGCAGCGAGATAATAAAATTAAGTTTACAAGAATCAATAAAATAAACTGATAAATAAAATACATTGTAATTGAAATGAAAAACATAGAAAATTATATTAAAATAATTTCAAGAACTTAAGATACTTTATTTTTTCTATACTTCTATACTAATTTTATCTATACTTTTACGGTAAAAGAAGAGAAAAATACAATTTTACCATTAGTTTAGTAATTTTTACCATATCCTACCACAGTAATTTATGTTTACTTTTATATAATTAATACAATGCAATCATTTATCAATTTCTTTTTAATGAAGTTTTTTAAATTTTGATATAGTGAATTTTTACATTAAAAATAATATACATTGTACATCTAACATAAAAACATTTCTCGAAAAACAATAGTGTATATAAAGTAATAATTGTTTTATTATTAAAGGCTTATTAATTTATTAATAATTAGGTTAGCGCTACATAATCCATATGGGAGTATTTCAATTTAAAACATTTTTATCACTACCTAACCTTGCTATAATCTATAAAATATATTTAAATATATTAAATGTATTTAGAAATTTAACGTTTTAGGCACTTGTTAAATTGAATTAGTTAAAATATTCTGTTCAATAAAAAGGGATGCTTAAAGTGTTTAGTAATAAGTTTTAAATTTTTTATTCGTACCAATAATAAGTGATAAAAAAAAAAAAAAATTATAATTTCGTCATTATTATTGATAATTTAAATTTTTATTATTAAAAAAATTATTAAATTTCATTCTGTGGTTTTGATAAGAAGCTTATTAAAATATAGTATTGAAAGCTTCTCCCTTTCTTCGTTATTAATTTACAATATAATTTGTAATATGTTCACTGATTATATTCATTTAATTTCATCAATATCAAGAAAATAAAAAATTAATATTTGAAAGCTTTGTAATATAAGAAAATTTTGTTTCTATGAATTATGTCTCATTACCTCTTGTTATTTGAATTTAAGTGTTTGAATAAACTAATTATAAAATGCGATATTGTATTATAATTAATATGATTCAATTATTAAAATCTTAATCTATTTTTTATAATTTACTGTTTTCACGAATATAATATTCTACCGCAATCTCATAGAAATATTTTGATGCAAAAATTTATTCTAAATATTAATAATTTAAAACTTCCATTAACAATATTTATAGGAACTGATCATTATATACATTATTTTGAATAGTATTTTAAATCTTTTATATAATTCCATCATTTTCAAATAATCATTTCATAAATGATTAAAATAAATATTTAATCGTAGATGTAAAATACAAATATTTAAAATTTTTTTAATATTTTTATTTAATCTTTTAAAAGACTAATATATGAAGTATATAGAATTTAATATAAGTGTAACATATGAATTAATTATTTATTTAAATTACTAATAAAATACTCGACTGGTAGGTTTAATAAAAAAATTTCTTATCAAATCCTTTTTCAAAGCTACATTAATTTTACTATTTTTATATCTCTTATTTAAATATTCATTCATCACATAGAAAATCAACACACGTCTATAGGATATTGGTTTTGATAATAACTTGAGGCTATTGTGATGTGTATGTTATTTATGATATTATCACCTTCTATTATATTATTATCAATATGTACGACATTTTTATAAATAAATTTTAATTGAATTGAAAGAAAAAATAAGATTAATTAAATATTTAAATTAAATTTAAATTAAATTTATAAATATGAGAAAATATATAATTTTTATTTTATACTATACTATACTATTTATACTATTCTAACTAAAGATCAGTTTATTTTAAAATATAATTATATATATATATATATATATATATATATATTTGAAGTACTTTTTAAAGGAAATTGTTATTCTTTATTAAGTATTTTAAAGAAATTTTGGTGGAAAATTTATTTTAGTAGTTTAATATAATTGATTAAATATATATGCGAGTTCCAAATTTATAACTTGTTATTTTGAATAGAATTTATTACTGTCAAAAATTTCTTCTCTCTCTAAAAGCATTGTTATCATCGTGTAAAATTGAATATCATTATTTTTATTTTAATTCATTTAAAATTAAGCGGGACATATAGACATTATTTATTTTCTAGCTTACAAAGAATTACCAAATATTTAGAATGAGTAATTTTTTATTTAATATAACATATATGTGATACATATAAGAACATTTATAAAATCCTGAATGAAAGTTAAATGTTTTATAATAGCTCATAAGTCGATTATTAAGTTTAAAATGAAATTAACATATGAAGATATATAATTTTGAAAATGTTGGGAAATTAAAACAAAAGTAAAAGAAAAAGGAAATCAAAGGGTTTTTACATTTTCCATTATTACAATCTATATGAAGATCTAAAATAGATCTATCATTGAATTTTATTTATATTAATAGTGAAAAATAAAAGTTATTTTTTAAGTTGTCGATCATCTATGTCCAAGTAGTCACGGCAAGGATTTTCATATAAAATTTTTAAACCTGAAAATAATAATTGTGTTACATAAGCGAATTATATGTATTATATATATATATATATATTAGTACACTTACTTCGATTCAAACATTTTTGAGCGCATGAAAATAGTGAAAGATTATCGTATGTAATTCCATTGTTAGCACAAATTGGACGATAAATTTCAGAGGAAGAGACGCAATTGCATCTTACAGCGCCATAATTATGTGGTTTTTGATTATCATTACAAGAACCATAATGTACTACTTGTAAACCTTTAAGAAAAACACTTAATTCAATACACAGGCTGGTTGCATGCATTTCATCTCAGATATATAAATTACAATTTTACCTCTATTGATAGATTGTTAAACCAACAATATAATTAAGGAAAATTTATTAATTAAAATAGTTTTCTAGTGTTTAAGCTATTGTTTATTTTTTTTTTTTTTTATAATTGTATAAACTATGCGCTAAACGGAATTTCATAGACTGCGTGAAATTAAGAAGATACATATTGAAAACATATTAATTATTGAAAATAATCTTAAAATTAATTTTGAAGATCTAACTACTATTTAAAGTTTTTTTTTTTTTTTAATTAGAATTCCCTAATAACATAAACATATTTCACAATCGATTTTATAGTTGGATATTGTATTGTTTGTAGAGGTTTAATGTCATGACGCATCGAAAAAAAAAACGAAAAAATATTTTTAACATAACATGTTAAAATATAATTTTTTTTTTATTGAAAAATTTACATAAACAAAGACTAAAATTAAATTGAAGATAAAAATTAAATTTACAGATTTTTTTAAACTGATTAGAAGAATGAAATATAATGAACATAATAATGTCAATATGAATTGAAAATAATATTTTACTAACAAATAGGAGTTATCTAATAAATCGTAACATATTTTAAACAAGATTTTTTAATGTTTATAAAATTCTGTTTAAATAGGTCGCGTCCTACGTCACAAATGAATTCATTAGTTTGTTAAATTAAGTATTACTATAAATGAAAAATAAAGAAGTTATGTTCAAATGGAAAATCATCGTTTTAATATTTAAAAATATATCAAAGAGATTTTTAAATAAATTCATTTTTGGGTTTATGGTGCATAATTATTATAGTTTTCAATATGTCATTTATAAAATTAATTTATTATAGAAAAACTATAAATAGATTGTATATATGTTATGTTATAAATTGTAATTGTACGACTTAACATCGCAAATGTGGCAATATATTTCTAATATATATATATATATACATAACAAAAGAATAAATAATAAATTTCTTAGAGATAACGTAATATTAATTCTTATTAAATAATATCTTAATAAACGATTATGAAATATTATAATATATTTATAATTTGAATTTTAATAATAAAACTAAATATGTAATCAACGAAATCCACTATGTAAACAATATACTGAAATATTTGACAATAAATAATTTATATGAATGTTTTTTGATTAACTATGATTAATAGTTGATGATGGTAATAATTATGAAGAAAATGATCCATATCGCAATTTACAAATTTCCCTTGCCAGTCAATAATGTAAGACTCAACAATAATATGCCTGGCACTTAAATCAGATGTAGTTGACAACAACGATAACATCGTGAAAATATACAGTTGAAGCGAATATCGTATCTGATAAAACAGAAGTAACAAACGAATGCAACAGTACAGAGGAGAAATTCTTAATAATAATTCAATAATAATAAAACAATTCTGGATGAAATAATTACAAGGAATATGTACAGTGATGAGTTTATTTTTTTTTTTTAACAAATAATTCAGAAAATAAATCAATTTATTATTGATCAAGAAAATAATAAAGAAAGACTTTTTCTTACGAAGGGAAGAAACTGATAATTTCAAGATACAGATTATTTATGAGTAAGAGGAGACAAAAAAATGAAAAAAAAATATATATAAAAAATGGTAAATAAATTATGTATGATTGTGTTAATGAATTAAAATTAAATAAAATATAAAAGCGTATTCTATATGAAAGAGAATAGTTAAACACAGCAGAAAAATATTAATATAATTAATCAAGAGATAATAAAAAGATAAATCATTTAAAAAATTTGTACCTAATACTGACAAATATTCATATCCACTAAATACGATGAGCCAACACCGTTGCGATGGTATATCAAGCGCATCATCACTTACGAGAACGTCAATGACGCAATTTTACACGCGTCACATATGAAAATGATCTTCCTACATTCGTGTAGCGGTCGCTTAGGAAATACAAGTGGAATAGAAACATACAAGATTTTAGTTGAATGTGATTCGTTATTCATGATTAAATGTTGCTTCTGAATTCTGAGGTGAGATGGAACGAACAAATCTTGATTACGTATGACTAGAGTGGGGAATTCGGAAACTTAATCGAAATTCCTATTAATAAAATAAAAACCTAATAGAAAAGAGCATAAATTAAACATGACGTAGAAGGAGAAACCTTAAATAAGAAAGTTTCATAACAGCAATGTCAGAAGCAAAATGCTCGGTATTGGTATTAGAGGAAAGCCTAGGCGTAATCTATCCGAATATATAATATCGAAAATTGTATGAATAAACTATCGTAGCGAGTATCTTCCAATTAACATATATTATGTGGATAATATCGTCATATTGATTTTTTTTTATTTAACTGGTATAATATATCAAATCAAAATAAAAATTATCCTTTTAATGTCAATCTGAATATGATTTATGATCTTTTAATTAATTTACACGACTCATGCACATTTCAACAATATCGTCCAATTTTCTCATTTCTACATCATATTTAATTTATAAATAATATAAGAGTACCATAAAACCTCACAAATTAGAGCTTCAACAAGATATTGCATCCTATATAAAGTTGAAGCCAGTTCTTATAGATGATTATAGATCTTATAGATCAATCTTCTTATAGATCAATCCAATATGAAGATCCATACATAATCTATGTCCTCAGAATGTACAAGTGGTTTATAATATGAAATATTTCGAAGATGAACGCTTAAATTTGCATAAAAGTAATGCTGTCAAATAAAATGATATGCAACTAAATTGAATAAATCTATATATTTTGTGAAATAATTATTTAAAGTATTTTTGTATTTATTATTATTATTTTTTTTTAATAATACTTTTTAATCTTTTAAATGTTAATTAATATTATTTATTAATTTACTCACAAAATATAAGTTTTTCTCCTTATAAGTCTTACTATCTGAAACTTGTTTATAAGTGCTTTGTGTTCAATTTTGCATTTATTTAGTTAACTATGATAAATTCTAATTGTTAATAAATCAAATATTTTTAATTAGGCAAAATTTACATTTAATTCATTATATTATAATACATTCAATTTCTTTCATAAACAAATATTTCAGAAAGCAATCTATTATCTTCATATTATTTTATTATTAGTTGAATTCTCGACATATAACTTACACACACACACACACACACACACAAAAGTAATAAAATAAAAATTTCTTTGTAGAAGTAATATTTGAATTATAATTGTCTTCTGTAATCGAGAAATTATTATTAAATCTTTAACGGTAGTTAAGATAAAAAAATTTCTTCTTAATGATCTTTATTAAATTTTTTCTCATAATGTTTTTTTTTTTTCATAGATTGTATATTATGCGTTTAACCATGAGAAGATTTATGAAATGAGAAAATTATTGAAATATTTTTTCATAAAAATATTGTTTATCTGTAAAACGAAAAGAAATTGTAACACTTTCACTTACTTGGATTATTACATTCCGTTACACAAGACATCGCCGATAAATTAGGATAAGTGTATCCGTCAGTTCCACAAATTGGATCATATTCATCATTGTACATGCAGTTACACTTGTTTATAGCATTAGTTAAAAATGGTAATACATCTTTAAAATATTCTTCTTCGCGACAAAGACCAAAACGTGCTATATTTAAATCTGAAATAAATTGAAGTGAACAAATATTTTTTAATAAATTATAAAAATTATAAAGAATTCCTTTTTTAATTAGTACTCAAACATCGATATTGTTATTATTATTATTGATTAAATATACCTAAGATGCTTTGCTACTACAAGTATATTAAAAGTATTCATAACAATTGTCAATTAATATTAATTAATTTTAACAAGTCATAGTTACTTATATAGCAGAATAATCAAGCTTACGTTACTTACTTGATTGTTTGCATTTTTTGTCACAAAGTAGCTCTGACAGATTATCATAAGTAATCCCATTACTTCCGCAGACGGGATTATATTCGGAATCTATTGAGCATGGGCATCTGTTTAAAATTTTGAAATTTCGATTTGTTTGTGTCGAATTGTGGTTCGTTGAACTTCTCGATCTTGGTTCATTAGTTTTACATAAACCTTTATGCAGTAAGATTAAATCTACAATAAAAATTTAATAAATGTATTTTAAATTTTATTTTTTTCTTAATGTTTACAGTAATGATGCCATTAGTAATTTTATAAATAGTTTTTTTTTTTTATACAAATTTAATTGGGAATAATGATTAGTTGTATAAAATATTTTGGTAATTATTAAAACATTTTTAATAAAGGAAGTTTTTGCATGATTAATTTATTTACAAACTATGATATATATATATATATATACATATGAAACTATGAAATATAAAATATTAATTTAAATAAAATTATCATTTAATAATTTAATGCAAGTTTTTGAAATTATTATTTTGTATGGTTAATTATATTGATTTACATTTTGACGAGATAGAAGTTAATTAATTTCACTTACATACATATAATTACTAATTACAATATTATAATTTAACTTACCTGGGTTTTTACACTTTTTATCACAGTGAAATTGAGAAAAATTAGGATAAGTAAATCCGTCACTTCCGCAAACAGGATCATAATAATTATTAACAAAATTACATCTGCATTCGTACGCATCATCAGAAGGTATAGTTTCTGATATTATTGGTATAACAAATATTTGTGCTTCAACACAATTAGACGAAAACACTAAAAGTACAAAGCCTAAAAATCATTTATAATTAAAAAATGTAGAAATACACGTTTAACAACATAAATTTTAAAATATTAAATAATTAATGAATTGAATGGTCACTATTCATATTCGTAATAATAGAAATATACATAGAATTATAATGTTAATATTTAAAAATTTTAAAACCCAAGAGTACAAAATATATTTATTCTATAATTCAGTAGTACGTCTTTAAATTTTATTCCTTATTATCTTACCAATGCAGCTTGAAATAATTACTATAAAATCCATTGAAAATTGCAAATATTATCTTACTCATGTATGGAGCCCTTTTGCAAACTTCAAAAACGAGTCTTATATATACGAACATCTAAACTGGATATCCCCACTACCAATATTCTTATTAATTAAGCATTGATCTCTGTTCATTATAAAAATGTAAAAGCGTAAAACAAGTCCAGCAGATATGATGAGGAGAAACTGGTAATCCCCACTGTCCTGGTGATCGCTGTACACATATAAAATTTGTCCTGTAGCGTCGAAACTACTTCAAGAAATATAAAGTATTAAAAAATTTTGTTTGATAGTCTTGCTTGAATAATGGATTTTGTCGTTAAAAGAATCACTACTCATAAGCGATTAGCAAAATACGAAGTTATTAACTGTTTACGGATTAATGGAAATTCTTTTAAAAATATAATATTTTTATTCGATATTTATATGATTGAAATAATATTTTAGAAGGATTTCCATTAATCCGTAATTCAAGTGAAGAATTGAGTTAAAACTTTAAAATTATATTTCCATATTATAATTATAAAAATTTAGTGGATTGCAATAGTTATGTGTATACTGTTCATAGTATTTATAGGAATTATATTTGATACATATTTTACAAATTTTATTTGTATTTCGAAACTTGTAAATGTATACTTTAATATCAAAAAGATCAAGTTGTGAACAAAATCATTAAATTTCGGAGTCTAGATGAAAAAATTAAAAGTGAATAAGTAATAAATTATTATTACCTATTATGAAAGAAGAACTGATAACTAAAGTTATTACTTTATTAATAAAAAAATAAAAATATATTTTATTATGTTTTTATGAAAAACTATATAACTAAAACTTATCTAGATCTACTTCTCTAACATTCAATTTACTGTTATCTTCCTATTACTATGATGTCTTATCTAAATGTCTTTTTCCTAGTTTCCGTACTAAAACAATATACTTTTTTATTTTTTAGTCTAATTATAGTTTTAAGTCATCTTGTTTTATATTCTATTTTCATTACTATACTAATGAGAAATAAATACTTAGAAACCATTGATTTCAAGTAAATTATAGCAAATATTGTCAAATAGTATGCTATAATTATTATATGTGAAAACTTTTAGTCGAAAAACTTTCTTCTTACTATTAATATGATATACAATATTTAAGTTTTATGATATACAATATTATATCATAATTTACCAATAAAATATTCTTTATAAATATATCGGTACTGGATAAAGTTTGAGAAAGAAGAGTATTTCATTGCTGTTTAAAATTATAAAATTAATATTTTAGTATTTTCAAAAAATACTAGAAATCATTGAATCAATGTAATCGTAATGTTAAAACAGATAGAAATTATTACTGCCAATAAAATTGTAAAATATTTAATATTGATATTAATATATATCGAGGCCGTTATATTATATATATATTAAATATTAAAATTATATATAGAGATTTTTATGTTAATCTTTCGATTATTTAACTAATCAAATTACATACAAGAATTATTTATGCATTATAAAATTAACAAATTTCTTATTTTAGTAAACATTTGAAAGCAATAAATAATTTGATATAAAATATTTCATGAAAGATTTTTTCGTAATTGAGGTAATGCCAATGCAAATGAATAAGGAGATAAATGTAAGGGAATGATTACATTTACAGATTAATAAATAAACTAATAAACATCGAACTCTATGTTCTTATAAAAAAGATAATAGTCATTATATATATGTCTACACATATATAATTCGAATATATATTGAATATAAGTATGGAATGTATAAGAAAAATCAAATAAATCTTTCAAAGTATTAAGAGTTACAATATATATATATATATATAACAAATGCCCATTGATGTTCATGTTCTGAACGGAAATTAATTTTAATATTTGTAATAATCATATATCATTTTCTATTCACTATTAAACTCTTATATATATATATATATATATATAATTTAATTTATTTCAATCATTGTTTATTTTTATGCATTTTCTATATTAATCTAAGTTATGAATTATTACTATGCATTTTATAAGAATTAGTATGATAAAGTTTTTAAAATATTTTTCAATTCAATAATTTTAATAGAAAGGAACAGAATACATAAAGAATAAATATATTCTAAAGTTATTCAAAATTGATGTTTCAACTTTTATTTGATTTTATTTAACCACCAAATGTATTTATATTATTTATATTGTTGACATGTTCTACCAGCAATGTGAGGCTGCAACTTAGGAAAGACAAAAGTATATTACAGACTATAACCTAAGTCAATCATATCAAGAAGCCAGGAGCTTTGGAATAATAAAATAAAATGGTATTAACATTCAAATAACACTATTAATAAATAAAAAGTATTTTTTACAAGCATTTCTATTATTGAAAAGTTGAAAATATAGAAATACATAGTGAATTAAGAAGACCTGGCAAGCGATTAAAATGTTATTTAGTCAAGTTAATAATAAGAATAATTCACTACCAAATTTAAAATAATTGATAATTTATGTTAATTAAGAATGAAAATACGCGAGAATGAAGCCTTTTTGTTATATGAAAATCCAAACCATCGATACTTTATCTAAATTTAAATATTATTTCCTTCTCGATAAATTGTCCGTTATGCTCATATTTTAGTCTGCCAGTTAAAACTCTATAGATGCGAAGTTACAAATGATTTATTCACAACAAATGAACTGAATAAATCCCTGGACCATTTATACCAAACTACTTATTTATCATTCTCCAAAAAAAGTTGCTAATTATCTTAAATTAGAAAGCAATTATGATAATATAATTAATTTTATTGTATAATATGTAATGTTTAAGATTTTGTTATGTATTTTAAAAATTTTGTCTCTAATATTATAGGTATTTTCTTAACAAATTTACTATCTGAAGTGATTACCATCCATTATGAATAAAATTAAATGCAATAAATTCTGTCTGCATCCACTATCTAGAACTTTTTTATCCAACTGATAAAATCGAATGTTTGATTTGATAAAAATATAATACTCTATTATTTTATATTTACAAGTAATATTTCTAAACTATATAAATATTAATTATACGTTAGTTTTCTACATTATGATTCTTCTATACAATCATATATTGGCAGATATTATTTATAAATGAATATTAACATAAATTATGTAGTATAAAAATTTCATAATAAAAATATTCATTTCATAATATTATAAGTTATATACAATAAATACAATAATTTTATATATAATATTTAAGTACATTTAAGTCATTTATAAAAATTTTTTAAAGCCAATATGACACTTTTTATTTAAATTAGATACTAAATTTTATATATATTAATGATATTTTATTGTTAATATTATAAATGTATATGATAATATTTCTTTAAATAACAATAATGAAAATATTCAATTTTTAATAGGAAATTTTGTTTAAGTACGTTTTATAAAAAATTTTAAGTCATTATAATTAGAACCATATTTACAAATATTTTAATTTATATCTATATTCAAGATATTAATCGATATAAGTAAATCGATAAAAAGTCACATCGACTATTTAATTATTTAAAGAAAATGAAAATTTAATTCATATCATAACTGTAATTATCAGTATTTATCAGTGTATTCATTTAAATTGATTACTATTTAACTTAATAATTTCATTCAATTTTTGCCCAATGCGAACTTAACGTATTGTTGAAATATAAATAATTTCATCATATCAATTGGTCTTAAAGTTAGTAAATAAATTATCTTTTGTAAGTTATGGTTCTTAATTAAAAATAATTTACAAATTCTCTATCTTTTGTTTAATTAATAAGTAATTATAGTAGCTTCTTCCTCTTACATTCCTAATACCTAATTTTCGATTTATAATATCAAATTAGATTGTTTATTTATATATAAGCCAATATGTAGAATATAGCTAATATATAAATTTTAATGGCAGTATATAATAAAAAATTTGATTAAGTATCTTTAATTGGGTTCTTGTAATATACTTGTAATACACATAAATATAAGTTTTATTTCTATATATAAATTCTTTTCAATTATTTTAATAATTTAGATATTTGATAAATCGATCTTGTTATTACGTCTGTTACATATAAATATTTTTTTCATCCAATATGTTTAGTTTAATGATTATTTTCAAAATTCAAATAAATAATATTCAAACTTAGTCCCTCATATTTCCTTTATTTTATTCAATCTATTAAGTAAATTATCTCCTTTAATTTTTTATTTACTTCATTTGATAATAATAATAAAAATTGACGTTTTAATTATTACTTACATAATATAAGCTGTAAATGATATACGAATATATCAAAAATATAACATAAGAAATAGCTTGACAAATATAAATTTTATAATGGCCTCTTCCTGTTGCGTAAAACAACGCTTAGTTTTTGAACAAAATCATCGTGAATAATAATGATATATAATATTCAATAATGATATTTCTTACGTAATAGTAATTATAAAAACTTAACTAAAAGTAGTGTCCTTTATTAAATTTCATTTTTAATTAGTTGTATACAAATTTGCTCGCATATGTGTACCGCTGCATTCCCAAACACCTAATGACCATATTTAACAGCGTCCATCGCGTACTTTAGTTAAATCTAAAACAAATTTATATAAAAATGTATATATATATTTTTCTTATTTACATACTCTTACATATCTAACGGATGAAGCAAATATTTGATATAGAATAATCGATCGTTAATAATCATTCAAGACGATCCATTGAAATAAAATGTTAATGTAAAAATTCAAAAGAAATTCGAAATTTTGAGAAAATAGCTTACGAAATACGTCTTTTAAAATACGTTCTCGATATTATTGCTGAATAATCTGTTTAAGCTTACAAGATTCACACATAAAGGTTATACGGTCGAGTTAATAATTATTTTGAGACATAAAATTATTTCCTACAATCTATTTATTTCGAATATCCAAATAGTTTCAACCTATATATAACTAGCAGTAATTCAAAATTTATCTCTATTACAGATTTTTCATACAGAAAAAAAAAACAAAAACAAAAAAATAAATAAATAAATAAATAAATGCTGCTTCTTTACAATGCTACTTCCAAATACAACAAAGAATTTGACAGAATAATTGAAAATTAAAGAATATACCATTTCAAAGTTTAAAATAAATAAATTTCATTACCATTAATTCGTAAACATCTTTTTGCACATTGCAACATGGAGGGATTCGAATATGTGACTCCATTGCTCGCACAAAGCGGCAAATATTCAAAAGTTGCAATGCAGTTGCAATTTTCCAACCCTACATTTTCTTTCGGTACTGCATCCAAATCATCTCCTTTTACTACTGTCGACAATAATACTGGAAAGGAAGAAGTTGAATGTAATTTTTCTTGTCAGCGCATGTTTTCTAAATTCTCGGAAGTATTTCCCGTAAATGTGGCAAAATGTTGAACAACGTACAATAATTTCCTAATTAAGTCTTAGTACTTGGCTCATTATATAATAGCAGTCTTGTATAATTTTAATACACTATTTCTTTTTGCAAAGGAATTTTTTCTCTTACACAGTACGCGTCGAAAACAAATGAAATATTGTCGGTACATGATCAAAATATTATATTATCAGTTTCATTTATCGCATTTGATTAAATAAAGATTAATTTTTATACAGTTTGCTCGTTCGGCTTTTTAAACGCCCAATGACCTTGATGGAAATAGGTACCCACATGCATCTGTATATACGGGCAAACATATAACCATAGTGAACTGTATAAAAACAAATTAAAAGTTTTTTTTTTTTTTTTTTTTTTTTTTTTTTTTTTTTTTTTTTTTTTTTTTGAAATATAATTACTGAATTTGCCTGTGTGAGTAAAGACACTTTTTTTTTTTTTTTTTTTTTAATTTTAATCAATTGTTTTTAATACGCCATTAGCAGCAAAAAGTTTTAAATCTTGATTGTCTACATAATAGTTCTCTTTTCATAATAACAATTCATTTGAAAACAACGAAACTATTTAATGCTTTCTATAGCATAAATTAACGTCAATATAACTTAACAGAGGTACCTTACCAATTGTAGCCAAAAAAATAACTGTCAGTTTCATCATCGTGTGGCTTGTGTTCTGCTTTATCTACAATATATGAGACTTGAGCACGTATAACAGTTCTCGTTTGATCGAGATTTCTGGTATAATGCCTTTAGAAATCTCGAAACCGGTCTTATATACTGTGAAGGTATAACGTTCGACTCCCCCACTTAATGCGATGATGTTTGATGATGTTCGATTTTTGTGTACTCATGAGTCGTTTCAAAAATTTTAGTATGATATTTTTTAAATTCAAAATAATTATTCAAATTTTTACTTTTTTTTGTGTAAATTAAACAATTCAGTAAGAATACTAATTACACACACACGCGCACGCACGCACGCACGCACGCACGCACGCACGCACCAACACACCAACACACATACACGCGCACACCAACACACGTAAATATGTATATTCATGTGTATGTGTATGTTCATATATGCATGCGTTTGTATTTATGTGTGTATTAGATTGTACATTTTACTTGTTTAAACATTTTTTGCTAATTAAACGTGTACAATGACAAAATAAAAATATCAACTGCTTGCTTTAGATAATACATTAGTTTCTGTTAATTTGATTTGTTTTAATTGTATTAAATAAATGCTTTTATATAATTTTATTTAAATATTGATTTTAGAATTTAAATTTCAAATAATAAAATATATTATTATACGAATTACGCTCATATATTTAGAATATTTTTAATGATAAGATTAATAATAAAATATGCTTCTAAGCTATTATACGGAAATTTATTCGTAACCGAAAAATTGATCAACACCATTAATTGCTTTAAGAGTTATTTTATATTTTAGTATCCCAATTGTTTTTATTGTTCTTATATGCTTTATTTTTTAAAATATATTGCTTATTGTATGGAAAAATATATGAAAAGAATTTGATATTAAGTTGGATAATTGAGATATTAATATAAAAAGTTTGATACGAAAAAGTTTGAGATTAAGAAAATCTAATAATATTGGTCGTCGAAGATTTCTCAATCTAATCCTAAATAAATGAAAAAAAAAATCTTATAATTTTTATACGGTATTTTATTTTTAATATTAATCAACGTTACATTAATTTTCAATACAAAAATCTTTCGATATAAAATATTGGATGAAATCTAAATAGCAAATAAGGATTATCTCAACACTCTGCTTAATCAATTGCACAATTCTTATTCAAACGAACACCGTCTTCGAATAATTAATTGTCTCTAAACTTATAATTTCCAATAAATACACGTATACTGTATATAATATGTAAAGATTATCGGTTGAATAATGTAACGATATGTAATGAAACGATAACATTTTATGTTTTACAATACGTTAGCATTTAATGTTAGTATTAATATTATTCGTTCGAGGTTCCTTATCCTTAGTTAGAAAATATCTTGAAGCTGATTATGCCTTACAAGGTCCATGATGCATTTGATGGATATCTATAGATAAAGAAAAAATTTCCATCATAGAATATCGCCGAGGAGATGAGGTCACTTATTGGCCAAATATTAGCTCATTAAGAAGAACGCTAATGTTGCTTAATATTAACAGCACACACACACACACGTATACTCACTATATTTGGCGCACTTGTCCGCGCACTTGAGTATCGCCAGATTGGGATAAGTGACGCCATTATTGCCACACACCGGGTCAAATTCTTGGGTGTACAGACAGTCGCATCCCTTTGGAATAAGAGGCTCATTCGCCGCAAGGGATTCACCAATCACCAAAATCACAACGACTGCAGGCCCCAAGCAGCAACAAGCAATAACAGTTGTTGTTTTTATTATCACTTTCATTGTTATTGTTATTATCGTCACCACAATCATAATCATTAGACTTATTATTATCAATTTAGTCTTTAAAATTCATATGTATCATGTGTTCAATATGCCCTGGCTTGGCTCATCCATACTTACTTACTCCCATTTCAAAATTCGACACTTTAACTTTAATAGTCAATGATGCTTTTCACTTTAACATTATTACTTTTCGACAATTATTAGACAAGGATTAAAAAAAAGAAAAAGAAAAAAGACATAATATTTTTACTCTCGCTAGATATGGTTGGCTTAAAAATTTTTTAAGTCCGCTTAAACTATATCTAAACTATTCATTTTCTTTTTTGATTTTGATTTACCAATAATAAGCCTAATTAATAACTATTTATGATAAAAGTATAGTATTTTTTAAATAATTATATATTCATAAATAATTATTGAATTAATACAGTAATTAATCTAATTCTTCTTCTTCTTTTTTTTTTGTTGTTTTTTTTTTTTTTGTTTACCGAATGCATAAAAAAAAAAAAAAAAGATATATTAATGCAAGTATTAAATATAAAACAATATCTTATCTTACCAATGGTTGATATCAAAATGACGAATGACTTTGACATTGTCAAATCTTTTGATTAAAGCATGAAATAAAAATGTCTATTTCAAATGTATTATCAAGAGAGCTATAAGCTGTTCTGATATGTACCAATGTACAATGCTAACTGTTTCGTATCTAAAAGAAGAAGTACCCAGAGAGTGAAAAACGTAGGATGATATGTTACGCATTGGGATTTAGCGGTAAGACGCCGAATTACCAATTCAGATAATCTTCAATCAGCCTTGTATAGCTATAAAATATTAATTATTTATGATAAAGCGAGTATTGCAGCAAGCGAGTGTTTTGAAATTAAAATAGTTTTTTAATCACATGAAGTTTTTAAGTTTTCATATATTACATTAGATGGAAAAACTTTATTCGCTGATAATAATAACAATATTTTTCACTATTAGTAGCGTTTCTATGATGCTATATTCAGAAATGATTGACAACAAATGATTAAACAATTATTTTGATAATAAAAATACATAATTTCTAATAAGTGGTTGAATATGATTTTGGTAACAAGTATAAACACTATGATTTATGCAATTTTTTCAATGTTCAAGTAATTAAATGCTCAGTGATTTCATAAGATTTTTTTAAATGAAATAAAGTGTCCTTTGATATAAATAAATTTTTGTAATATATTTAAATATCTGTTGTTATATTTCTATCTTAATTTTACTGTTAGGGAATATCATATTTTTTTTTATTCTTCGATACTCTATTATTATATTCTTTTCATAAACATTCAACACATCTTATATCTCATCGTGCTTTAATTATATAATTTATTTATATAATTAATTATACGTATATTATATTTTACAATATTGCTATAATATGATATAAATTGACATAGTTAGGAGTTAATTCAATATCGAAGTTGTAATGAGTTACATAACTATTTTCATCGGTAGGACAAAACTTGTCATCATTAATAACTTACTATTACATTATTTGAATACTTCTTTCTTTTAAAAATTCCATCGAAATTAACAATATTTATGCAAAGAATTTATATTAAGCATATAATTAAAAAAAAAAAAAAACTTGAATATTCATAACTCTAATAATAATTCTGTATTGACAAAAGGTATAAATTAAGGAATTTATGTACTCTTGGAATATTATTGTTACAATTTTTAAAATAACTTTAAATTCAAAATTTATTAAGAATAAAATTTGAACGTCATAATAAACGAAGACAATTATGTAAAATAATTTAAATAAAAATCAAATAAGCGAGTAATGATCATATACTGTTGCATTAAGAAAACAAATAGTCATCATTCATTTTCATATATTATTTTTATATTTTTAATATTAACAACAAATATATTGGTGGATATAAATTTATTTTCTGAAATTACATTATTTCAAATTACTTTTAACATTCCTTACATTCCTATTATGCAATAAATAGAACAAAAAATGAATACATCTGTATATATTTAAAATTCGAGTATATAGCAGGATTAAAATTTAATTTGATATCTTTTTTTATTCATATTTATTAAATATATTTTATTAAAAATGATGTATTATCTATTAAGTAGAAAATGTAATTATTATGAAATATGATAAATTATATAATATTTTTCAATTCATGATTAATAAATAACATTGTATATTGATACAGAATCAAAATTTAGTATTTTATAAACATGTTTTTTAAAGAGATCAGAAACCCCAATAAGTTTCTTTTTATTTAACTGATAGAAAATAATGTAATGATAAGAAAAAGTCACAATCAATTTTTACAAAACTATTATTATATGGATTAATCTAAAAACGTTTTTAATTAATATCAATATCTACAATTATCTATAAACTTAGAATTGATTTTAAATTATCAATATTAGAATAAGGACATGTGCGGATATGTATGTATATCCCCCGCCCCCCTCTCCCGCCCCGACACACACACACACAGAGGGACGCACGCACGCACGCACATACGCAAACACACAAATTTACAGAGAATACGTACAATTAGAAATATACTTTTGCAAACTTATTACGTTCTAAAAATTAATTATTAGGAAATACTCAATTTTATATTAAATATTTAATTTTGTCACTGAAAGATAAAAAATGTTCTGCGTTTATTAAAAAATTAAAATAAATATATGTATATATGCGGATTACTCTATATGCAATATTTTTCCATGAACTACTAAAGTAACTCGTCATGAGTGATCGACATCACAATCCTGCTTTTTATTTATTTATCAAATATAATTCTTGATAAACGTTTAAGATTATGTTGTCATTTTAGGTAAGTACATTTTATGTTTTCATTAACTTTTATCAATAAATTTTATAAATGAAATTTATTAAGCTAACAAAAATAATAAATATTTGAACCTATAAAACAGTCATATTCATATATAGATAATCTATATATATATATATATATTTATAATAAAACTGTATTGATTGACATTAAGTAATAGTGACGAAATGTTGCTTTTAGTAATATAAATTTGAGTTTTATAAAAGAAGAAATAAAAATATAAGGACAAATATTGATTGAGGATTTGAACTTTATCTATATTTCTCTCATTTTAACGATAATATCTATGCAAATTAATACAGTTTATTTATAAATTAATTATATTTTATTAGTTGCCAAATAAGCCTAATCATTTTTAAATATTAATAGTTATAAATTTTATTGCTTTATGGTGAGTGTTAAATTTCAAACGTTAAATAGCATAAATAAATGTCGAAAAGCTCGATTCAATTGTTAAAACACAAAATATATGAATCATATAAAACATCAATATTTATACAGACATATTTTAAAACTTATTATTGTGATTCCAACGAAATTAACGAGTTCCTTGAAATAAATTAGTTTCATCTAGAATGTAAAACTTTTTTGTTTCGTAATGCTAAAGTCTACTACTCGCAGAGGAAATATATATTTATATAACAATGTTTCATCTACAACCTACTTGATTTGAGTAAATATAGTTTGGTCAAATATAAAAGAAATATAGCCATAGAATAATATATTAAAATAACATATTTAAAATTACATATTAAGTTGTCTGTCTACTAGACTGTTTTGAAAAGACAGTTTTGAATGAAGAATAATTCTTGAATGAAATTTCATGTAAAAATGCATTTGTACCTGAATAAATTTGGGAATAAATTAATCAATAATTATGGTATATTTATATGCTTATATTAATTTATTTAACAATATAAATATTTTTACATTTTCTACTTACTGTTATATCCTTTAAAATTATAATACCAAAAGACGTTAAAACAAGTCGACATTTTGTAATATATTTTTTTTTTTCTATTACATATTCTCTACCGAGATTGAAAATGTTATATTTATATATATTTTTAATTAATTTTTTTAGTGCTTTTTTGTAAGGCAACGTTAATAATAATTATTCAATGATATTGACTTAGCTAATAAAATAATGACGAGGTAGACTTTAATTTTTCTTAGTTCAAATTCTTATAAAAAAATATAATATAAACAATAAATTATCTTTTCAATGCGTCAAATGATTTTCATTAATATCATAAATAAAGAATTTACAAGTTTAATATACGCGTGTATCAAGGTTATGTTAAATGAAAAAATAGCTTTGAATGTGTATATATTAATATAAATGATCAAATTATATATCAATTATATATATATATATATATATCAATTAGATAAATAATATAATTTAACGTATACAAATATTAAAAATTCCATCGTTTCTAGAAAAAATGGTTATTTAAAATATCTGCATAATTAATTCTATCTTAATTATGTATTTAAGACTATAAGTGAATTTTTAAATCTCTCAAAGTGTATTGTACAGTCTATTAATTTAATTTTTAAAGCAATTCTGACAAACAAATTAATAATCTATAAATATCAAGATGAAATAATGAACTAACATTGTTATAGAGCGTACAAATATTGAACGACAGAAACATCGCAACCAATTACTGGAGGAAAAATATAAAAGCGAAGGTCCTTGTGATTTCTTCTCAGTTTCTTTTCATCTTCTTTATGCAGATTGTGTATTAACTTTCAAAAGATTCTTTTAAAGATGATGTTTCACGCGTGCAGCTATTTTTTATTATTTATCAGTGAGTTATCTGGCACTTCATTACAAATTAAAAAAAAAAAAAAGTTGTCATCATACTAATGCTACTAATAATTTTCAGTATACACAATTACAAAAATCAGATATAATAATTATTAAACTACTTAAATTAAACTACCTACCTTAATTACTCTAGTTAATGTGCCTCTATCTAATTATCAATCAAACTATTTATTAGTAAGAAAAATATTATAGAAATAACGAGTATTCTATTGTTTCTTGATTAAAAACGAATTATAAAATATTACAAAAATATAATTATACGTATAATAATTTCATGAATTCCTAACTTCGAGAATTGAATTTTTCAACATTCATGCGTCTGTTATTTATTCGTTTTAAAGATTTTTACTTATATTTCAGTTACCGTCGGTTTCTCCAATGCACAGGTAAATAATTAAAATATAAAAATGTTTTGCGCTAATTAATAATTATCACTAATTATTTTTCAAAATATTTACTGAAATTGAAAATCACATTAATAAATTCGATGTTATTTTTAAATTGATAAAAATAATATTTTATAATTAATTATTCAAACAAAAAGCCTTAGCGATTCGGATTTAAGCAATTTTTTTGCACGCTCGCTTCTTCTTTATCTATTTCTCTTTGTCTGACTACTTATCCACCTATCTTTCTCACCTGATTTAAATTTACCCTCTTTCTTATTAGAGAGGTAATGACAAATTTTCGAATCAAGATGGCTTTGCCTTTCCCGGCGAGGCTGATCGACCTCTAAAATATCCAATTCAACCACAGAATCCAAGTACTAATAAACCTTCGGAACCTATTGCAAATGGAGTAACGACAGAGCCATCGATCCAGGATTACAATCAGTGTATTGATAATTGTCCGGTAGGTAAAGCTGAAATGTATAAGCTACTTCGTGAATATTATAAGATTAATGATTTTATTCACTTATAAAATATTGTAATTTATGTACATTCAATTACGACAAATCTAAGATTGCCTCATCAAATTATAAAGTATGTCCTCGTGCATTAGAACAATACTCTCTTTAAAAAAAATACGGCTACATAAATAACAAAAATATTTAATATTATTATTATTTATGAATAAATATAATAGAATTATACCTTGTTGAAGCATATATAGTAAATAGATAATAAAATGTATATAATTTTATTAATAATCATTCTCTTAATAACGAATTATTCTGAATTGTTCATTAAAATCTGAATATAAAATAATTAAATTAAAATCCGTGCCAGTATAAAATTAAGAATAATAATAAAGTTTGCCAAAATTGAAAAGTATTTTTTATTAATTTACGTATTCATTAAACTAGAACTAACGCTGTACTTTCAATTACATTTATTTTATATATAATCTTCATAATTCATAATTTTCATAATTTTAATTTTAAATAAAACTATAATTAAAATTTGTTTATTAATGAATCTAATAAAAGTTTAATTGTAAAATTTAATATTTTCGCAAAAAGTAACGGAGTATACTGAAGTTTCATGCAATTATATTTTAAACATTGACTTATTTGAATATAAGAGCATTTTCATAAGTGCTTGGGAATATTTTATAAGGAGAAATATCATGATGTTAAAAATTACTTGTAAAATTTTTAAATTGAATTCCAAATTCATGATAATAATAAATCATAAAAAATCTTTTTACTACAATAATTAATATTTAGAAAGTCAAACGTCATTCTATATTTTTGGGGATTCTTATTCGTTCCTTAAATAATGCAAATGACTTCCTGATTTAATATATTTAAAACATTAAATAAATAAAACTTATCCGTTTAATAAATCGATTAGAATCGTCAATATAGATTGATTTAAAAATTGTTACGGTAAAAAAAAACATTTTGGAAATATTGTTATTCAATAATAAAGTAATTGTCAAAATTTCATAGCATACAGATGATATTAATAGATATAATGTAACCAATATCACTTTATGGATGGTTCCATTAATGATTATTTTATTATTTACAAGTTCCTTGATGATTTGTAAATGATATAACATTCCTAAAGATCGATATTTAATGCACATTTGTTATATAATATTAGTCACAACAATAGAAAAATATTCATGTATATATCTTTATTATTATTATTATTATTATTATTATTATATATATATATATATATATATATATAGAATTCTTCACGATTTATATTTTCTTGTGAATAATATTTTTCATTCTCATATAAAAATAGTTATTATGCATTTTATTGCTCTTATAAATCTTAGTAGTGACACATTAAATTATTGACATTGCCGATCAGTCTTATTTATCGAAATATGATATTCTCACCGATAATATTAAGTAGAACAAGTACATGATTTATTATAATTAATTTATTTAACAATGGAAAATTAAAAATTAAATTTAAATTATAGATTAAAGAAATAATACTTTGCTATCTAAAAATATTTAATATTTAAATAGATCTTTAGATTATCAGTCTTGCCTCATTAATTTACAATAAAGTATAAATAAATTTCTTAATGCATGCACACATTATAAATTTTAATATGAGTAAATTGAAAAATGTAAACAATATGACAGTTTCAAATGTTCCTTATATTAAATCGATTTGATTTCTTAAAATTATTTCTCTTCTTCTCTTCTTAATCGTATATATACTGTTCATATAAGAAGACTATTGTACATATTGCGAGTGTGAGCTGAAGAATATTTTAGATAAATTAAAGAATTAAGAATAAGTTATAAACTTTTTATTTGCTCATAAGAATTATTAAAAATTTTACAATGTCTGCAATACAACAGTTATTTACAATCTAGGTTACCTCGGAGTACAATCCCGTTTGTGGAACTGATAACATTGTTTATAATAATCCTGGAAGTCTTAGTTGTGCACGAAACTGTGGGAAATGTATGTTTTATTTAAGTTTTATTTTTTTAACAATTAAAATCTAAAATTTATAAATTTTAACAATATAAACAATAAACATCCATTATATTACATTGAATTACATTTTGTCTTTCATTTAGCGGTGGAAATTGTAAATTACGGCCGATGTGATAGTGGAGCTGGAAGAGGATGACAAAATTTAAATGATTGAAAATATATTTTAAAATAAATATTTATAGATTTAAATTGACGACTAGTAAAATTTCAATATTTTGTACAACAGTGCAATGTATTGCACACGTATAGTAAATTATATTCCCCATATATAATTACATACTATATTTTTACGTCAATCAATTTTTCTAATGTTATTTATAATTATTGTATATAATAAAGATTGTGGAAAAATTTTGACAATTTGAATTTTTTAAAATACTACCACGAGTATCATATGTAGATTTTTATACTTAAATAGTGACTGAACATTGTTAAGTATATATATATATATACAGATTATATATAATAGTTTATATTGGTGTCATAAATACTATGTCAAGGCTGTATATTGACAAAATGACTTAAGTTCAACTTATTAGAATACATAAAATTTACGTTTCTATTATTAACTTTATTTTTTCTAGATAAGGATAAAAAAAAGTTTTAATTTCATCTTTCTATACATAAATATCAATATGTCCTTTATCTTTATTTATTATATTAATTATTTCACACCAAGTTTTCCAATAAGAATATAACCAATTTTTAAGATGGAATTTATAAAAGAATATTTTTTACTAAAATAATTGGTATTGTTATAAGCTGGAAGAAGTTTTGAATTAAAAAATAACTTATCGTTTTCTTTTTATTTTCACAATTGTTATATTCTTGAAAAGTAATTTAATTTAATCAGTTTCTATATTTAATTATAGTATTATAATTAAATTATTCGAATTAAATATTCATATTTAAACAAGAATTAATTTGCGTCTATAAATTAATTCTATTAATCGATTGTGAATATTCTATATAATATTGTTTCACATGGGTTATTGATTGCAATAATAAAGATATTATTATTTATAATTATTTACACATGGAATTATAACTATTATATACTAATACGTACATAATACTATTATGATTAATTAAGTGATAAAATTGAAAAAATTGAAAGTGTAAAAATTCAATAGTTGTACATAATAAGCAGGTAAATTATATATATATATTTTTTTTTTTTATCGCTGTCAAGATATTTGTTTGTGCAAAATTATTTTTTAATGTACGTTTGAATATGATAATTTAATTTTAATGCAAAGTGGAAAAATTAAGATTAGCCTTTTAAATATGAACAATAATTTTAATATCGATTATCCGCATAAAATATTCATTTTATTAATGCTGTTTATTTCAAACGGAAAAGTCCGAAGTTTTTAAAAGCATTATGTCACTAATTATTAAGTCTCTAACTCATAAGTAACTTGAATTCTAAAAGTATATTAAATTTCTTTTGACTAATATTACACAGTATTATACAAACAATTGCAAAATAGAATATTCTATTGAAATTTCAATATAATCAATATGAAAATTCTGAGACAAAATCTTTGTATAATATAGGAGAAGGATAACTTTCACAAACTTCATTAGAATTCAAGTTAAATTACTTATTTAACAAACAATATTTATACCCATACTATAATACTTTTATTATAATAATAATAATATAAACTGTTATTTTTAAATTGTTGATTTATTGCAGAAATAAGACATCTATATATAGTTAAAGAAATTTTCAATCAAAATGGTGTTAATGCCAGATAATAATTAAATATATATGGAAATATTATATATACATAAAATATAAATATGTCATACGAACATTAAATTACTGATTTTTATCAAGTTTCATTTAATTAATATTTTATATATATATATATATATAAAGATATATAAAGTGATAATTAAATGTTTTGAATTTTATTATCTATTAAAATGACTTTTGCAATGAGACATCGTTTAACGCAAATATTTCAATGTATCTATAATATACGTAAAATTGTTTTAGAAATCAATTTCAAAGCTTGTTTTGAAATTTTTTTTCAGCATATTATAAAATACATAATTTAGATGTTTATATAAATTTTGGTATTTTGGAAGCATCTTATGGATATAATCAAAATATATAGAATTTCTTTCGTGTATTTACATTGCCTAAATATTTCCATAAATGTTCACTCGTCGTTTAGCTTTTAATATAAATTTTTGCTTCCACAATATCATAACTATTGATCTAATATTAAAGCAAATTAAATGCAATAATTTGCATTTAATTGAATGATTATAATACATCGGATGCATTGCGCTAGAATTTTGAACGTTGAAAGGGGTAAAGTCTTACACCGATAGGAGTTTGATGTTTGATTTCTATTTTACGTGACTAAATAACTTGTTACAAATATTTTGTAAAAATGTATTAAAAATTTAACATTTAATTTTAAAAAGGTATAAAAATTTTAAGTAAAAATGCTAAATACATTATCAACACTAAATATCATATGATAATGTTCATTAATAAACATTAATAACGTATTGATATTTTAATATTAATGAGGAAAATCGAGGCTGTTTCAACGGTAATAATGATAACAATATATATGTACAACAAGTATACAAGCACTTTTGACACGGGAACAGACAGCGACTTGTGGCTTATGTACAATGCTCGATTAGCTTAGGGATGAGCTGTTATTGTCAGCCCACCGAACCCTCCGTGAAATCTCAAAGTTGCCCCCGTGGATGCCGTACAAGTGCCGCGCCAAGATATCCGCACGATCTTCCTCCGCCCGAATCGCCATGCGTCTGTAAGTTCTAACGGCAAGGACGCAGCTGCCGATCAATCCAATCTGCATCAAGAAGAGAGCGAGGCTCGAGTTCATGCAAAATTGATCGTCTATGGGATCTAAAAAAATATGATCGATTGAAATTTATTTGTGTATTTGAATTAGCCTGAAAGCGGAATTTCATTAAGTTCTAATGGACTGGATCGAAGTGATATAAAGCAAATATTAGAAGCAATATGCCGAGACCGGATAATGTTGCATAAATAAATATCAGATATTATATTTCTCAGATATTATCTGCGAATGATATTATCTGCGAACGAGCGAACGGACTTTACCAGATCCGAATATAATAAACGTACAGGTATTGTCTTTGGATCTCAAAGAATTTGAAAATACATTTTGATTATTGGATCTCGTATCTTGGACAATGATAGACGCTTGAAGAGGAAGTTCATCGGATGTACTATTGCCGGAATATTTATATAATTCAGTAACATTTCCCTTTATTGCTTGTGAATTGTCTATTGAACGTCTTTTACGCCTGTGAGACACTTGATTATCGTTGCACTTTACCTGAAAATGAAAGCAACTGGATTTAAAATTCATAGAAATTAGCATAATTTTTTTTTACATTTCATACAATTTGGTAAAATATTCTTTAACTAATTATAACATAATTCTAAACTTCATTGCTCATATTTACGTGCTCAGAACATTGCTTAAAATAATAATAGTAATAATAACAACAACAACAATAATAATAATAACAATAATAATAGGCACAGGAATAAGAAGAATTATCATAAAAATGTTATATGGTCGTTCAAACGTTTCTTATTATAGAGTTTTTTTTCCGATAATTTTCTTCCGATTAATTACACAAGAAAAAAGTAAGTATTGTAAAATATTAAAAATGTGATTAGAGAATATCAATAGGTAGAATTATATTTCCGAATAATCAACAAGGAAATAAAAGTGCCAGTGAATATAACATTTTCGCGAGTGCAAATGCCACGTACAACTAATATACATTTTCTGTCTTGTTCTCGCAAATTATTGTTTTTCTTAATGGCTCATGTCTGACTTACAGTTTCGCACGTCTCTAGGCAGAACTTCACTATCACGTTGAAGCGCACGTGCTGACTGCTGGGAAACTTGAAAGCACTAAATTCGGCAATGAGGGAACGGTTATCGATTGGGTCTTTAACAAGACCAGGAAAGACCTGAGTCACTGGGCAGCCCAATTCGTCTAGCAGCAAAAGTGACGAGTCCCCGGAATTCGTGCTTGCAATTAAGTGTCCCGCCGTTATGTCAAAGGGCCCTTTTAATAAATGCTTAGTTAGGCCAAAAGTACGTTATAACTGTTGATATTTGATGATTTGCCCTACTTATTTTCTGCACTCGATATTTCATTTTTATCATATTTATAGAAATTTATTTTTTCAACCTGCTATGTATATAATTCAATTAGATTATATTTATATATTGTACTCAAATTGTGCATATTTTGAGCTTTAAATTTATCAATTCTTTAAATTTATGGAAAAATATTAGCATGGATAAGATTACTCAATGGAAGTTTGTAATTAGAGAAACAAAAATCAATTACTCTATTAAATACGTTATTTTTCAAGTTGAAGCTAACATTTCGAAGTGACATAATGTTTAGACATAAGAACGTTTAAGTACTTTCTACGACATTTTATAAATTTGAAAGGCAAATCTGACGATAGTTCCACTATTTAGTACTCGTAAATTCCTTTTTAAAAGCTTTGACAAAGTATCTTAAACATTTTAGCCATTTTAAATGCCAAATATCAATTTCGTTATCTTAACAATAAAGTAATCAATAATTATGATGCGACAATCATTTTTTCCTCGTTAAAAGCTACGTTCATAATAGCAACAAAAGAAAAGTATTAATTATTGAAACTTTCAAAGCCTACATGTACGTACGTAAAAACATAAGATCAACAATTTCTACGAGGTATCCAAAGAAACGTAATGCAACCGATTGAGAGGATCAGGTTGGTTTATTAAATACATCCAAGCTTTCGTTGGTTAATTAATTATTAATTACGATTCTTTCCTCGAAATTATTGGATATTACCATCCCTAATTTACGCATAATAAAATGATAAATGATCACTGTCAACGATCATTACCATTGTTAGGCGATATCTGGATCCTGAGAATGAGCTTTTGTCCAATGTGCGTGACGTCGGCGCGATTCATCGATTCATCCAAGATATTCATCGTAACTGTTGGCACCTCCGACGATGTATTCATGACAGTGGAAACTATGGGCGGCAAACCTGCACTGCGGTGTATTTGGTCAATATGCTGATAAACAGGAATTTAGGAAAATGCTATTACATACTTGGAGTCGACAAAAGTAAAGCCCGAGTAGACGGTAACGTTCTGAGGTCCAGGCACTCTTCCATCGTCTAGGACACATCCGATTCTAACGGCTTGATCGCCAAGTCGTTGGATAATGGGATTGAATTGGACTATGACGGTCGACCAGATAACCGCCCGTGTTCTGACATCGCAAATACAGAGTCATTATTAGCATTCAAGGAAGACTTGGTGGATTTTATTACTAAGTGCTAACCTTCTTAACTTTTCAACGATAAACGCTTTTAACTGCCATTAAACGATAAAATAATACTACTCGATGTTTTTTTTTGTTATCATTAAAAATTCATCAAAATTACGATTGATAACATGGAATATAATATTTGCATAAAAGTTACGGCAGCTAGGTCAAAGAATTTTTAGGCGTATTAGCGAATGTTAATTATAGAAAAGTATCGAGGCAGTGTCTCCTTTTTTCACAATAATCGAAATGATTGAGCAAAGCACATAATTCTTTTAATACAGTTTTGTTAAATTGTTATTCATATATATATATATATATATATATATATATATATATATATATCATTGATAATCCATAAATTATTATAAACAATTAGATTATAAAGAATTATTGTAAGTAATGATCTTCTATTTTATTCGCTAATACAACTGCGTATGACGATTGGCTCGAAGCTACTCATTCTCCTAAGAGTTACGCGAAGGCAAATTAAACATTAAAACGAACTAACTGATTATCTTGATCGATTGAGTAGGCCGGAGATAATCCACACGACATGACAGCCGTGTCAACGTTGCTGGTATTATTAGGAAGAGGTAAGATCAGCTTCGTAATATTCTCACCGTGTCCTTGTACACCACAAGTTTCACTAAAGCCGCTTGCGTACATTCGACCCATGAAAGGTTCGCTAGTTCGCAGTTCAATTATTAAGGTCGAGTTTGTGCAGCGTACACTCACTGAGAAATGTTTATATATACTCTTATGTAAATATATTTATTATGCTGTTAATCTGAAATGCTTTAAATAACTTGTCTACGTTATTGACGATATCGTGTTTGTCGAATTCAACATTAGCCGATACTTTTATACTTCAACTTTTATGAAATTGAATTCTTCGTATTTTTGTCGAGCGAATTGTCGATGAATCTCCATCCCCAGTTCAGAAAAACAACAGATTCACGTAGGCAAACATTGAATGACGCGAGGAGAACATGATTCATTAGAACGTCAATGTCAATGCCGAATATTTAGTTACACACATAAATACGCATTGCCAATGCATAATGACATTTTATAATATCTTCCATATAAGAGAAAGTATAAAGCAACGACTTTTGGATAATAATTAATAAACGTTATTTCAAATCATTTTAGTATCTACGTAGCCAAGCGAACGATTTTAATATAATTACTGTCGATGCAGGGCTCGCGCTCCTTGTAGAATGAATGGGTCGAGGTAACGAGGAAACTGACGCCGGCGCCGATTGTGTCCTCCGAATGAAGAAAGCAAGTTGATAAGTTGGAGTTGGAATTGTCGATTCCGTAAGCGCGACACAAGAAGCCATCGTTACTCTCGTCGCACTTGCGCTCGCACTTAAAAAGATGCACGTTTCGTATGTCATGAGAAAAGAATGGATACCGTAGGTAAGAAAGAGAAATGAAAGAAAGAAGGGGAGCAGAAAAAGTAGAAAAAACGTAAAACAAAAATCTTTTCATGAAATATACGCTTTTGTACCTGTTTCGCATTTAGGCCTTGGATTTTCAAGTCTGAAAACGGCATTGTCAGGTTGGGATATTCGGCGTAAGAGCAGAAGTCGGTCTTTGCTAAAAATAAAATAACAAAACAAAAAAAAAAAATAAAATAAAAAAAAAAGAAAGAAAAAAGAAAGAAAAAAAATAGGTATATAGTGTATGTAATATGAATCGTTTATTATCGGAAAACGTATAATAAGAATTCCAATGTTGCTTGAAACAAAGACATTGTAAAGATATTGGCAGTGTGATTCTGCTTTTGCATGGATAAATGCAACTTATGGAACAATAACATTATTACTTAACTAATTATGTGTGATAATGATAGGAGTACTTGCTAATCTCGTCTAATAGTGTACTTATTAATGTGTATTTATTAAAAAAATAAAAAAAAAAAATAAAAAATAAATAAATAAATAAATAAATAAATAAATAAATAAATAAATAAATAAATAAATAAATAAATAAATAAATAAATAAAACAAAATCATGAGGTGAATTATTGAAACGTGTTATGACGAATAATTATGTTGTGCGAATGAAATGTTAGCCAATGTCATTAAATTATATGAATTACACGAAGCAAAAATAATTAATCGAGCAACGTCTGCTTCGAAACTCACAAATATTATGGCACTGAAACTCCAAATATTCATCTCTGTACAAGGAAGCTCTGTAAGTTTGGGGCTTTGTTCCTCTCTCTATTGTCAAAAGTGCGCAGCTTCCAATAGTATTAGTAATTTTAAGATCTTGGCTGGTTCGAAATTGAGCCGCTTTACAACTCTGTCCTATTGCATATGAAAGCACTCGTCAAGTCAATTAAATATTCCGAACGAGGCTAATTTTATTACAACATTGTAAAAATAATGTGTAAATTATATACGGAATATTTTTTACAACAACAACAACAACGTTACCTCTACCAATATACTCAGATTTCAATGAATATATTGAGTACTTTGAAATTATAACCATTTGTTGTTGTTGTTGTTGTTGTTGTTGTTGTTGTTGTTGTTGTTGACAATATCAACCGTTAAAAATAAGATCTTGCCTTGTTGTTATAAACACTACTGGTGATAAAAGTAGTAAATAAATATTGGAACTACCTTTCTTAATACAAGTTTCATAACACTCGGCTCTAGTGGTTGGTTGAGGTAAAACATATGCCGATGAATCAAGCAATACCGAGCCTAAATTCCTTTCCACTTGCCAATATCTTGAATACTTACAGGACTCGGGAACTATTAAAATAATAAAATGGAAGGACGTTAGTTTATGGTGTGCGTAAAATTGATTAATCATAAATTAAAAGACGAAAATCAATATTTAATATATGATTTAATGTTGAAATTTTTGGAAATTTCATTTTATTTGTCATTTATTCAGAGACATTATGCCATATTATTAATTATGAGCATTGTATATCAATTTTGTATAAAATAAATTTTCATTATTGCAACGCCATTGTATATCAATTTTGTATAAAATAAATGTTTATTATCGCAACGTATTGTATTATTAATGAATATTGTGAAAATCATCGAGAATGAAAATGATTTGGACTAATCAATATTGTCTTCATAAGCGTCGGTACTTCATGCCGCCATTATTTACAACATATTATTGATTTAAATTGCAGGAAAGCTGCATGGCAATGATGCTGTGATCTTACCTCTAAACGTCGTCGGAAAAATATTTAGAACTCGATGGAATGCAGCGTTATTGGGCAAAAATTGGGTTCGTTATTGATAGCAGAAGCTTCAAATCAATGAGATTTGAATTTATACGATGGACTTTATTTCTCAATTGTTACATCAGATGTCAGTTACCTTAGATGGGAGGGACGTTTTTAATTTGATGAGACGGAAATGTCCTAAATGCATCGTAACATAATCTGAATACTAACGCAATATAATGTGGATTAATAATAGAATTATGATGAATAGCTTAACTGATTAATCAATTGAAAACTTAAGCTAATTTGTCAATATAGATTGATAAATTATCATAAGATGCAATTATTAATTTAGAATTTTTGTAAAAAATTTACGGAATAAATGTTTAATTGAGTTGCCGAGCTAAAGGATTTACCGAACGGTAAAACACCGTAGAGTTAGTTACATTCGTTATTAAAAATATTTTTCACTTTATTAAATTTTAGAATAAATACAAGGATTGCATATAAAGATAATTAAACATTATTAAGCCGTATACGATGCATTTAATATTTGTATTAAATTACTTTAACATTATTTCATAATTAAAATTTTAATAATTGCAATACACAGGCAGTGCAATGTGATAATTTTCGATAATGAGAAATCGGTAAGATTAATTGATTATGCATCCAATGTGTCGATAAAAATTTTAATTAATATATTGTTATAGGCATGGGTGTGAGTAGTTGATTGTACACATATGTATTTATACAAATAATTTATAAAATCCGTATTATAATATGGTTAAAATGATAATTAGTATTTATAACATTAACAATTGATTTAGCAGCATTTATATAAATTTAATTTCATATGTTACATTCGCAAAATTAAATCGAATAATTTTGCGGTCAATTTAGTTGAAATAGAAGATGTTAATTATCATAAAAGTTTTCGTAAACAATGATATCTGAATTACTTTCAGTTTACAATTAATATATTCTCTCTATTAATTGTAATTGATTTATAAGAAGAAATATTTTTACAATGAAATGGCACATTCTTTGTGAATTTTTATTAAAATGTTATTAATATTTGTCTACGTTAAGAGCATAGTTTATTAGCAGAATAATACTATCAGTAATAATAATAGTAATCTTATGCAATTCAAATTATCGCATATTAATTGCGATAAAATAATTAATGCAGCTCTGTTTAAAATATTTGAACACTTCAATGACAAATCATTGGCGAATGTGTGCGTCGATAATAAATAACATAAAGCTAACATTGTAAGGCAATCAATTGAAGTTCCCTAAAGATGTTCTTACGTTTTGGGAGAAAAAAAAAAAAAAAAAAAAAAAAAAAAAAAAAAATAGAAAAAGAAAAAAATGCAAATGCATTATGTCAATAGTCACCTTTCAAGCAAATCTCATGATAGAAAGTGACATTTGGCTCTGGGACAAAGTCATTGCCGTCCGGTTCGACGCTGAAACAGCCGCTCCTTTCAAGGTCGACGATAAATGCACTGCAGTTTAGAGTCCTGCACCTAATTAAAACGTACGCGCATTAATCATTATTATTGACATATTGACGTAGTCGCGTGCGTAAATGACGTACGCGCACACGGGGATTCCATTGCTTTTAACTGCAACATTATCCTCGACGCGAGCACGCGTTCTGCCATGGATACACAAGTTTTTACATTTGCATTGTTTGTTAAAAAGAAAAAAAAAAAAGGAAGAAGAAAAAGAATAAATAAAAGAATATAATAATAATAAATTATGGAGGATCGGGATGAGCGATTAACTGAATAAAGTAGGTGTATTTCATTTGGATGGAAGCTCGATGCTGCAGAGATTATTAGCACTGGTTTTGTACAAAACGATTTTTATGGACATTTATTGAGGTTGCACGGGTAATGAATTATATCGTTTTTATGGCCTTCCTTAGCTATTTGTGAATAAGCAAGCTGTTCTAGGGCTTTGATTTTATAGATTTAAGCAAGTGAAAAATTTCAATTACGATTGTAGTTATAAAATGAAAATCATTGGCTATACTAAATGCCTTGATATTATAAATACTTTCCAATGATGATTTATTCATCCGTGTCACTTGGAGCAAATTTAAAAAAAAAAACACTTTTCTATTGAAATTGTACAAAGCGACGAATATTCTGTAAATGGAGAAAAATCCGTTTTCTCCCATCATTAAGTCCAATGATTTTCTCGAAAAATAATTGGTAAAGTTACATTTTAACAACAATAAGTACATAATTACTTAACACAATGGAGTTTCACCGCGAGCAATGTGTAGCGATGCACTTATACATCAATAAATCGTCATATCGCTTTATTAATATATATTTTTCTTAATACGTTATACCGTGAGTGAAAACAATGCATCCTTAATCGAAAACGATCACGAGGAGTAAGTAATTGCATATAATTTGAAATTTAAAATTTTTATATGAGTGAGTGTACTCGAGGGAGCGAGGATGGAAGAAGTATCCTCCTTACTTTTCGAAGCATATGGCGACTATACCCTGAGAATCGACTCCGGTGTACAGGATTTGGGTCGTTTTCGCATACTCCGGCCTCATACCTCTGACCTTCTCCCATGCTCTGTCTTGGCAACTTGGCGACTGTCCTGCAATTTGCAATTCATTGTTATTCACTAGCATAATCATCCATGCTCGTCTGATTGTCAAGAGCGCATATCGCCTATATGCCACTTAACGACTTAAACATTCACTCCTTAATTCAAGTAAGAAAACTCTCACACGAGAAAATGTTTTCGCGATATATATGTACATAATTATGACGGGGGAAAAATTACAATCTGTATTTATTCGAAGGATCGAGATGTGTTTAAATTAAATGATTGCACGAAATTTTGAATTTTACAATCAAGTGTACTGCATTGCCCTATACATGCAATCGGATATCTTTTATAAAATATAAAAATGAATTTTTTCAATTGAAAATGTTTACGTGCGTCGAGTAATGAAGATTTTAAAATAATTATTATTAGCATCATGGCTATTATGCATTTTATTATATAATGCTGAGGTTGTAATTAATTTAATATTTCATTAATTTAGATATACATGACAAATATTGTAAATATTGATTGTAAATGTATAGAAGTAAATAAATTAAAAATTAAGAATTAATTTACAAGTTGAAAATTTAAATAAAAATTATTGCTGTTGTTATTTGATATGATAATACTTTGATTCTTAAAACACTTTCTAATAGATAATATATTAAGATACTTCTTAATAATATTATTAATTTGTAGCCAATTTTTATTAAAACTTTTTTTAATAACTACCGTTTGGTACATTGACAGTTTTAGAAAATCTGTAATTTTACTTAACTATAATGGTATTTCCAACGATTTATATATACATATATATATATATAAATAATTTAAATAGATTTTCTCATTAATTGTATAATTTGATAAAAATAATAGGCATTCTGTATAAGGAAAAATATATAAATTTACTTTAGAATTTTAACGAATGTTACAGTATTTTACAAATTTATACTTTTTTTTTTTTTTTAAAATAATTTAAAAATCTATACTACTTGTTCAACTTCAAAGCCGGTAACAGTAAAAATTGAAGAAAAAAAATTCATTTGATAAACAGATAAAATTATATTTATATAAATAATGTTATCATTGATAAAATAGATTATATTATAGGTGGGTTAGATTTTTCCTAAATTAGAATATTTACTCTATGTTAATCGTGGTTTTACTTTTCAAACTTTTACTAGTTACCCATTTGACTTACATATATATCAATTATGATTTAATAAGTATTTAATCATGAATGCAATGTTTATATAAGCATATCAATATATTGTTTACTAAAAGAGTTAGATATAAATTGTCTTATTATGTAGATGTAAAATATATTTTAAAAGCATTTGCTATTGTAAGAGACTTTTTACTTGAAAGAAAGAAAAAAAAATAGTTAAACTATTAGATGGTGAAATATATATATGTGTGCGTGTGTGTGCGCGCGTGCGCGCGCGTGTGTGTGTAAATGTGGTAGTTTGAATATTGATATTTTAATACGGAAAAAATAGCAACAGATTTTCGAAATCCTCTTATAACGAATTATTAATATTTTATAATTGCAATATTATAAGCAACATATGTATATCCTTGTGTTATGAAAGGCTTCCAACTATTCCGTGAATGATAATGATTCCAACAACGATTTGATTTATTTTAATAATTCTATATACTATAGTTGTGCCAATTAGTAAAAAACATATTTAATTCCGCGATTTAGCGCAAATAATAAAATGAGCGAAACCAATCTCATTTCATAGAAAAATTAATCAACATTAGTGATACATCATCTAATCTCTGTTTACTCACGGACATATTCATAGTATGGGCCTACGTGACTCTTGGCAATTATGAAAATTCGTCGGATCAATGGTAATAAATGGAAGTAGGGCGACGCCGCGGCTAAAGGTGTCTCACCTGACACGAGGAGTGCGGCGGCCAGGATCCCTGTTATTAGTGCCAGTTCGTCGCTCGGCCGCGTCCTCGTTCTCATCCCCATCCTCATCCCCATCCTCATCCCCATCCTCATATTAGCTCTCCAGGCCGGCTTTCGGGACTAAGCACTACGAAGCACCTCATGCCTCGTCTCCTGTCACTCGCGCAATCGCACGTGCTCGAATGGGAACGGGCCCCGTTGGATAAACAACCGGGTCGAGAGAGTAAAGCCGGAAGAGCCTAGTTGCGTTCTCCAGCGTTCCCAGGATTTTGCATTTCGATAGGCCGAATAAAAGAGCGTGGCCCTTAAGAGGAGGACTGGCACTCAATCGAGTGGGATCAGCGTCCCACTGTATCCCTCGACATCGGCGGCAAACGAAAACGAAACGAAAAGTGACGGAGCGCGTGGATGGTTGGCACGTACTCGCGCACTCATCCGTAGCGACTGGCGGCGGCTACGGCGGCTACGGCGGCTACGGCGGCTACTCCGGCTACGTCGGCTACGGCGCTCTTGTGTTGTATGAGTGCGGGAAAACGCAAAAGGCCTATATATCCACCTGTAGTATTGTCGTTGAAAAAACGACGAGCCACTCGAACATGACACATCGACACACTTCCGTTGCGAATGGGTGGAAGCGCGCGGAGACTCGGCGCTCGGTTCCGGTGACGCTCGCTCCGAGCTCGGCCCGGAGCAATAATCCAGTGCGAATAGCCGCTGCCGACGAGATAAGTAGCTGTTTTGGTCGGGGGAGACTTTTCCCCGGCTGCGGATTTCGAGTCGCATGATCGACGCTGGAGAAGATAGCGAGCGCTAGTGATAATTCACAGCCTCCCGACACTTTCGTTCCTCGCCTCCTCCTCCAAGCCTTTCTTCCAGCTATTGCAACACTTTGGACGATCGGCGACAATTTCACGCTGTTCTATTGTCAATACGCGTATTGTCTGCAAGACGAGCGATAAGATCTCACACTGACGATGTCGTACATTTCGAGGAATTCATTGTTTAAGTAAATACAAGTATTCTGTAAATAGAGTAGATTGTATTATTTAAGACAATTGGGTCTTTACTGTGAAAAACTTTAATGTATCTCGAATGACGGGCATTCGATTTTATTAGGTTGACGATGTAAAGCTTGAAAATTTCGGGCTTGAGAGATAGTTGATTTTCAATTGTCAACGCGCGAGCGTTTAAAATACAATGTTCACGAAAAGAAGCGAAGGTTGTAAAAATGACACGATTTCGTGTCACGAGCTTCCCAAGGCAAATAACCATTCCTCTAATCATAAAAAATGATAGATTGTCCATAATCGCTCGAATCCGTATTTACCTGCTTTATGAACCTATCTCTCTTTACTCCCCCCCCCCCCCCCGCCATCCTACACCATTCATCACACCCAAATGACACTCTCATCCAAATGATAAACGTAATATCTTATCAATTATCACCTGAATCCGTCAATCATAGAAAAGTAGATCGTAAGAATGAAAAACAAACGCGGACGCAGCTTAACGGAGCGAAGCCAGGGGATTTTCCGAGCTAACGTCAACGAAAAGAAAACCACGGACCACCTGTGGATATGCAACATATAGACAAACGACTGCGACGGATAGATAATACGAAATTTACATTCGCCTACGACTTACACGCGTCACCGTAACGAACGATTCACGCATGACACGAATCCTGCAATCGTCGTGAGTTACATTCGATAAAGTACGCGCGCACGCGCCGCTAATTGTTACTCGTCGTCATACGTGTTTTCATTTTGTCGTAATGCCGGGCACATCGTACGCCATGCGGGTGTCGCTTGTGCCTCCCCAGAACAATGAATTTTGCATCATCCGACTATAGGCGAGCCCGTCTTACCTACTTTTCGAGGAATTTCATTACCGTTGGCACATATTAATCGGATGCGCACTCAACTATTATGAACTTTTCTATCCCTCCCCTCACCCCTCCCCCCCTCGCTCACTCACTCACTCACTCTCTCTCTCTCTCTCTCTCTCTCTCTCTCATTCATCGTGTTGTTACTCAAGCAAACGACCGTAATAACTGAACGGATTGTGCCGTTGCTGCTTCGTGAAAATAACGAACAAAATAGCTCATTATTTGATAAAAAATTCGAGATGATCATTCAAAATTTGAAGATAAAGTTTAAGTTAAGTTTGGTATTATCGGGTGAAGATATTTTTGTATTTGTTGATTATTAACTTCAACGTTGCGAACTTGATTTTAATTTGAAAGTCATAACTTCCACAATTACTTGGGAACGGGTTTTTACAATTTTTCCTCAAAGTATGGTAAAAGAAAAAAAAGAAAAAAAGAAATGGATAAAAGCACAATAGAAACTATTTCTAATGATTAAATATTAAATAAACTCTAAATATTATTTATTAAGTTTTCTGCACAAGTGGAAAATAATTCTCAAATAACATTTGTTGAAAATATCAATTTTTTTAGCTCATACGCTGGCAGATATTGTTTAATGTAAAAAACCTATTGATTTTTTAAAATAATTTATTTCATAGAGGCATTTATTCGATACATCGACATTTTGTAATTACATATCTGTAAAATTATCTAATTTTGCATATTATGCATATTATATATTATAAAATATAAAGACAATAACACTTCGGTATATAAGATCTTATAATGAATATCTTTCTTATTACATTACAAATAATTAGATTGTCTTTAATATGTTTGATAATCGATGATTATACATAAATTTAAATTATAAAAAGCTCTGATGTAATAATGGATACATTGACAAAATATAGCTTTTCAAAATTGTTCAATAATACTAGTTTCATTTCCTGAGAGTTTCGTACATTAGCAAATGTAATTGTAAGTATCATTAATGGTACAGCTACGATTATATATCCGTTATAGGCTGCGCAATCATGTTCGCTAATTTGATGTTAATCGTGTTGGTTACAAATTTATTTCATTCAACAATATTACGTATTATTATTCAATTTAAATTAAAAAATGTCAAATAATTCATAATTATCAAGGTAACTCTTACTTCGACAAACTTAATTTTCTATATTAGTTGTGCAGTGACAGGTATAATCTAAATTTATCATAAAATATAATTACTTTCGGCTTTCAATTATATAATAAAAGATATTTATAGTAAAATAGGAATGAAAAACTTTCGTTTTAATAGTCAGTAGTCTATACAAAGTAATATAGTCATGACCATGATATTTCAATTTTTATTATTTCAACTAGTTGATTTTAATCAACTAAATAACGAAGGTTGTCCATATTGCAAAAGAATATAATAATATGTAATACTTGTAAAATAATCTATTATTTAAAAATCGACTCAACAATTATATAAAATTTAAAGCATTTATAGAACGAAATTAAAGTACTTAAAAAAAAATTCGGCTATCATATTAATATTATAGTCCAAAACACTTGATGTAATACATCTTGTAAATCTTTAATAATACTAGTTGAATTATTTAAAGCTTTAATTGTCGAAACCAATATTTTTTATAGTTTTTATAAAATTTCACTCGTTAAATTTCTTGTTAAAAAACATGTTGATGTTTTTACTTTAATGTTACAATATGAAACACTAGTTATATAACTACTTAAATGCTTATCATCATGTGAATCAAAACTGAAAGCTTTTAAAAAATATACTTATGATGTAGCTATTACAATTTTAGTACAATGTTTTAATTAAAATATATAGTTCGCAAACTGAATCCATAAGAATACTTTGAATTTCAAATAAAGGCTGAAATAAAATATTCGCTTTTATAAATATATATTTAATTGTTCAATCTTTTACTAATAATAACTAGTAGCCCAGTAATACGAACATTGCATTAAGCATTTTAAATTATTACATTGAAAATGGATTTATTTTCTTTCTACTTTATAAAGCTGTATTAGGACAAAATTAAATATACTTAACTGAATAAGAAAAAATTGCCATTTTCAAGTCATATGCGGGCGATTCTTTCTAATTTTTTTTTTTTTTTTTTTTTTTTTTTTTTTTTTTTTTGGTATTAACTGTATATATATATATATATATATAAAGTTGTAAAAGTATAATAAAAAAATTAATTTTCCTTTTAACAGTTCGTAATTTGTACTTAAAAAGAAAATATGTTTAAAACTAGATTTAAATAGTAAAATGAAATGAAATGTACTTTAAATTCAATAGTTTTTTACCAATTTATTTGTTACTTAATGACAAGTTATATTATATCCAAATTTCTAAAGAAGAAAATTAAAGATAAATTCTTATTTTACGAAAAAAAAATTTAAATATCTTCAGCGATAACATTATAAAAAGTATTATATTTAATGACGAGGGCTGAAACGTTAATATGTTTATTATTTCTTAGGTTTTCCACAGTTTCCACTATTCGTAACGTCTTGTATAATTGAAAAAAGTTCTATTGCTATTACATTATATCAAAGATATATGAAAAATTACATTGTTGAATGTATAGATTAAATAAATAGAATTGCATATTTAAATATTGAGATATACAAAAGTGAAATATCAATATAGATTTTTCTTCATTATTACTAAGTGTGTTATTAATGTTAATCAAATTTGAATTTTGTGACCCAATATGTAACGATATGTATCAATAATCATTAACAATAAAATAATTATTAATAAATCATAATTTTAATCATTTCAGCAATTTTAATAATAAGTGTCAATAAAGTGTTAATCAAGCTTTTCCTTATTATTTTTACATTCAATATCCAATTTACAATATTTGCTTTTCAGTAATACATACCATTAAATTTTTCAATTTTACAATATTATATCTGCAATATATACAATATTAATAAAATATTAAGTTTATTTTAATATAATTAAATGTAATTGAATTATGAAGTGTTTAAAAAATTGTGAATATTACTTATTGCTTTATCAATTTTCTGTCACCATCTAGAGAATTTGCTATTGTTTAAAAACTTTTTAAAATATTTGTATTCTTACAAAACTATATTTCTAATCTCAAAATGTTTATGTAGAAATGTGTACAATTGTTATTCCGTAAGCGAATATTTTCTCTTCTTTCTGCATACAACTGAAATCGTTATTTCATTATTTTCCCGTAAAAAAGTTTATTACTATAAATTATATCAAAATAATATATTATAGAATATAAGAGTCCATAGTAAATATTTATAAAATTTTTAATGATCGTATATTTCGTAAACTATCAAAAGCCATAATTTAATCACTTTGATTATTAAATTAAACATCAAAAATTAAATCAAACAAACTCGATTCACTTATTAGATGTTTAATAATAACAACAATTGTTATATTTGTATAATATTTATTTACTGTAAAGATAAAGTTATATTAAATAATAAATAATATTCATTATAGAATATGTGAGATTGTATATATAAGCATTTGGTCATACGCGAT